ACATTATGCGCCCCAATGCAGAAGAGACTACGTCTATCACATGATGACAATGCTTGATAGTGGAATGGGATTTACGAAATCCAAATTGGTGTTCTGGGATACTGTTTTAGATATTAGAATCAAGAATGGTTGTTTTAGCTGGAATGTTAGGAACAGCTTTAAGGAGAAGATTGGAGCATATAAGGATTTCCTTCTTCTTCTCCGCATTCAACTTCGGCTTATTAGCTTCTGTCCGGTCACAGATTCTGTTTAAGTCTTCTTGAAGTTTTTTTTGTGGCTGATAATAGGTCAGAAGACGGGGGACAGATATATTTGGAAATCGTCTGAATACATATGGTATTGCGAGTGATGGGTGTGGAAGGCCATTGATGTAAATAGCAATCAGAGTAGGAGAGTAGGAGCAGGAATAGGAGAGGAATATTGAGAGACACCACAGGAGAGGGGGAAACTGTCTTAGATGGAGGTTGGCCTAAGACGACTACATACTGGTACCGATCTGAGAGGAAGTATTTGAATCAACGCAGGGTACTGTTGGATAGAAGAAGATTTTGTAAATTAGTAAGGAGGATGTTATGGTTAACTGTGTCAAAAACTTTAGAAAAATATCGAAGGATGAGGATAGTAAGGGTTTGTTGTTCAATGGAGTTTTGGAAGTAACGGGTTATCTTAAGGAGGACAGATTGGATTGAGTAGGCAGGTCGGCAGCCAGATTGGAATGAGTTGATGAGGTAACGTTCCTCTAGAAAGTTGGAAAGTTGATTTTGGACAAGCCGTTCCAGTGGTTTTGAAAGTTTGGCAAGGATAGCAATAGGACGAGAATTGTGCAGTGAAGGAAGGTCAGAGGTTTTATTCAAAGGTCAGACTAGGGCAGTTTTCCAATATGTGGAATATGGAATTTCGCAAGGAAAAGTTATAAATATGTACGGGAATTAGAATAGGAATGCTGGATTTTATTAGTTTTATTGGAATATTGTCAGGACAAATCATCATTAGTGCGGGGTTTTAGAATAGTAGAAAGTAGGAAACATGGGAGAAAAAGAAGTCTTTAGGATTAAAATCGAAAGTAGGAAAAGGATATAATGTTATAATAATTGGTAATTGGTTGACTGTCGTGGATAATGAAGAGAAGAATAGTTGGGGTGCTCAGTCAAAAAAGGAAGGCAAAAATAAATTATAATATTTATTTTTTACATCTGCCGACGTTTCGACCTGAAGTTCAGGCCATCATCAGGGCTAAGAAAATAACCAGATAACAAGGTATGAGAAACTTAAGTAATGATGGTAAAAAAGATAATAACAAAAAAAATGAGAAAATAAAATAGATTAGATCTAGATAAAATAGATCTAGATAAAAGAAAAATAAAATAGATAGATATAAAGTAAAATAAAATTGTTAGAATAATGACTAAGAACTAAGAGATAAATAATACAGACTGTTACATAGCGTGGAATGATGAAGTAGGCATAATCAAAAAGGGGGTGACAATAGTGTTACATTGGGAATCTTAGAATAAAATGTAAAAACATAAAAAAGAAATATAAAGTTATATAAGAAATGAGAATAAAATAAATAGTAAAAAGAAAACATTGAGAATAGAGTAGTTTGATAGTAAATTGAGATATTGTAAAGTCTATCAAGATGTACAGACAATGTATAATATAATAGAGAGTTAACAACAGAGAAAAGGAATGAAAGGAAGGAGGGAAGAAATTGAGAAAGCTGAAATAAGAAAGAAATAAAAGAAGTAGTACCTTTCTCCTAAAATGTCAAAGTGAGAATGAAGTCGTTACAAAGAAGGTGGAGAGAGAAGGGATGTGGAGGTGGCCTCATCTGTAACGGTTATCGGACGATATAATGTTAGTAATTTCAAATTCATTATATCTTATTAGGTATTGTTAGGCTGTTTTGTATGTTCTTATAAAATCAAGATTTTTTTACCATTGACAATGTCTATTATATTTTAAAACGTTATTAGAAGAGTAGCTTTCGGTTTCTGTGCACCATATTCATCTCTATAATAATACCAGATCAATAAAATTCTAACCTAAGGAACCATTTCAGAGTTGACATGAGAAGAAGAACAAGAGCACTGTTCTAATCTTTTATGATTTTAAATAGACAAACATAAGAAAAGGTATTGCATGATGTGATAATAATTGCATGACAATTAGAAAATTAGGTAACACGTGAATTGTTAATGTCATTAATTAATTTATTAATGTATCCTGATGTGTTATTATTATAGAAATGAATAAGATGCACTTACACGGAAAGATACTCATCTAATAAATTTTTAAAATATAATAAACATTGTCAATGGTAAAAAAATCCTAATCTTATAAGTCACGAGCTTTACCCGGCCACGTGCTGCTTTGGCTCAGTATGGCAAAATGGAAAAGAAAGAAAATAGAAAACACATATGAGTGGGCTTAATATCAAAGGACATATGTCATGTTTAAAATTTGAAAAAAAAATGTTTGGAACATTAATTTATTATTTAAGCTTCAATTTAAACTAATTCTAATGACTTTTTTCCAGATTCAACTTGAATATCCTTTAATAAAATCATCAGAAACAGTTTGAATTGAACCCATAAACAAAAGTGGACTTTTTCTCTGTTTTCTGAAAATGATAGAGATCCGTCTTTGATATGTTTAATTTTATTATTAATGTTTTTTAAATTTAATGTATTGTTTAATGTTCAACTTTGTTATTTTATGGTAAATAAAAATAGAGCACTCATTGTGTAGTGACTTGTCTCCCATAGTGGTAATTTTTTTTATACTTCTTTATTGAGATATATTACAATCTGGCACATTCAAGGATAATGGTAATAGTGATAAAGAGTAGCTCATTCACACTGTGCACAATAAATCAAATGTGGTAAATAAAAATAAAAAATGTTCGTTTTTTCAAAATCTTAAATCTCGGAGTTCTTCACCGACTGCCTTGAAATTTTGGCATATCATTCTCTGCGGGCTATCTTGGAATTTTCCCTGAAGTCTCAATAGGTAGGTAACTCCTCTAAATTATCTACTTATTTTTCTCTTACCAATGGGAGTATTGAGGGGAAGGAAAGGTATGACAGCTCTTGCAACATGCAAAAACAATTAAAATAAAATAATAATAAATGAATAGCATAGGATTAAAACAAACAACCTTCAGCTTTCCAAAAGTGAAGATAGTTTTGGTCCTGACTAAAATAATACTGTATTTATTTTTCAATTCAAAATAAAGCCAGTCACACACAGGCAACAGTAGTGCAATGCATATGATTATTTAATAACAGAAACATGTAACCAAATATCTTTATATTGCTGAAGAATATATAAAGAGCGGCAGATCATAACAAAGAATCTTCAGTTTTCTAAAAGCGGATATTGTTAGTTTTGTTCCTAAGCTAACCAAATGAACAAACAGCTGTTTTCTGGAAAAATGATTTATAGCGTTTGTGTTTCAACAGTTTAAAATAAACTAATTATGAAATAAAGACTAATTATCCCACCCTTAAATTGATCCCTCCCCCCTTCTGCTTTGATTCTACACAGCCCTGGCACTTACTTATACGGTGCAATTGCCTTTCTTCTGAGGTCCGGTCTTCTGCAGCTTATGCCTTGTCTCTCCATGGCTTCTCCTTCATCGCCCGATTTACACTTCGCCATTCCACGAAAGATCGGAAGATTATATGGTCTTCGACCTTTACTCAATATTCTTCCGACTCCAACTAGGATACTTCTATTGGCCCCCTATAAAACAATCATTACCATAATTGGTATTGTAAGTAAAATATCAATCGCTGGCTTATAAATCGTGAACAGATCAACTATAAAAATACGGTTAAGGATGTATTTTTCTAATAATTTAGTGCAGATAAGAGGTTCTTAAACTATGGTCGGGATAGCCATTACTGAGTGTCCGCGAAATGATTATGACATTAACTTTTTATCTCCCAACCAAATTTAATATGTTCTAGACCTTTTTTTTTTTTTTGTGATTATTTCAAAAGCTATTAAACATAAATACTCCTTAACATAAATATGTAAAATTACTATAGTCCGTTAAGAGTAAAAATGTTAAAAAGGGGGGCAGACTATGTCATTTTATGAAATTTTGATCAAATTTTAATTAATAGTTTGAAGAGGGATATATCAGTGAATAAGGCACTGTACTTTTAACGACCGGGCTCGAGATAGAGTCCAGCAATGACCGTTAATTATAGAAATATAAATATAAATATCAATTTTATTCTGGGGCAACGTCCCTTAAGAATAACAATATCGTTCAAACAAATTAGCATTACATTTGTTATATATTCAGTTACATCGAGAAAGTACATGAATAGGAAGTAATAAATAACAGTTACGAATATCATCACGGGTAATATGATTTATGGTGATAGAAACTTCAATTTTAAGTTTAATCAAGATCAATTCTTTTAAACTAATATGACTATTTAGTGTTTCGAAACTGAAAAAAATTCATAACTCGGTACTAATGTCCGAAATATTGTTGCCATTCAATTCTCCCAGCTTACATTTAATAAGATTCTTTTACAGGATAAAACTTTCCAGAAATTTTCATACAATTTTAAAGTTACTATTAATCAGTAAATGTAATATTTGTAAACACATTTTAAATTTAAAAGAAAAGTCTAACCTGCATTTTGGCGAAGGTCTGACACTTTTAAATTATGTTACCTTGTGCCTTGCTTCTTGTATACTGAATACAGCACAATAAAACATAAGAAAGTATTAAATTTTTTCATATGTTAAATCCCACAGATGATGTAAATGTCCATGTTTCAATAATTATTTTTTTAATAAACGTATTGAATACGTGTATCAAGACAAGTTTTAATCCTAACTAGTAAATATATCAGAGATTCTTAAAAAAAATATATATTTTAATAAAATAAATAAAATGTAAGAAAAGAATAAAAATTAGAGACTATAAATTTAATATTAGGGCCCAAGATGGTGTGATGAATAATATATGGTCATTATGAGACACCACTCTCCATAACAATTCCTCTCTCGCCTGAGCTGTTAACCCTGCCATGCTGAGCAACCCAGCCTGAATATGCGGAAGTGGAAGCAGCTGTAAAATGGCTAAAGAGCGGAAAAGCACCAGAAAGAGATGGTATTGCACCTGAATTAATAAAATATGGAGAGAAAAGTATAATTGAGATGCTCCAAGTCCTATTTCAAAAAGTTTATGAAGAGAAAAAGATACCCAAGGAATGGGAATATAATATTATTACACACAGAGGTGTCCAAAAGGGGTTTCATGGCGCAAGTTGCGATTAAAATTTTTGAGGGGGGCACATTTCGGTGGGTTCATGAATGTTTGGAATGGAAAGTTTCAAACCAAAGAGAAGAGGTAAACAGGGAACAAACCGCAGAGAGGCGGGGTGGCCGAGCGGCCTGACGCGTGTGCACTGCACAGTGCGTTGCCGGCAACCTGATAATCGAAGTATGAGTTAAAATAATTGCAAGTTCAAATCCCGATGCTCGGTGGGATTTTTGGGACCCCGTCCTCTCCCCTGGCTCGAGAAAAACCTCTTGTAGAAAAAAAAAAGGGGAACAAACCGCAATAAATATAATCAATATATGATCTACAATCTTTTAAATTTTACTTTCGTTTGCATTGTTATAAAGAAGAGGAAACCAATAAAATATCGTGGAAAGAGGAGGGGGAAGATTCATGTGCCATCGACTTTGGGAGGGGGGATGGGTACCTCTGATTATATCTATATTCCAGAAAGGTTTTCAGAGCGAATGCCGAAGCAACAGACCTACCTGTTTATTTCAAGTTGAGTACAAATTATGCACAGTGATTCTTGAGAGGTGATTGAGAGAAGAACAACAGGCAGCTTTCAGGCCATCAATACAAACCCAAGATCATATATATCTAGATATATCTTTGCCCAGAGAACAATTATATAAAAAGCGTGGGAACGAGGGAAAAATATATATTTGGCCTTTTCGAATATAAAAAGTAGCATTTGATTCAGTGCCAACGGAAGAGATATGGAATACACTGAAAAAGAAGTGAGTATCCTAACCAACTTCTCCCGCAATCAATGAGGTACAATGACGTGCATATCCAGAATTGGATATATGTATATATGTTGTACCTCATACCTTAGAGTTTTGGAAACTGTCCCGAGATCTTAAAATGCCCATTCTTAAAGATTTGGGGAATGAAACTCCATAAAAAAATCAAGTTAATCTAAACACAAAATGTTAATTTTTTCTTCCTCCGGAAACGGTGCCTTTCAGCGTGGAGGGACCTCAATCCATTTACGCCAGTCTTCCCGGCCCCTTCCCAGGATCCAAACATAACACAACTGCTTGCCTCTTTCTATCTGAGCTTGGTTATTTCATCAATCCAAATCTTCAGGAGACATCCTCTTAGTCTGTCTTCTGTGCGCCTTACCTCAAGAATTTTGTTGGGTGAGGTAATTTTTTCGAAATTTGAAAAATCGTACACGCCAAAGTCACCTTTTGAAATTACCAGACAAATTTTCCTTCGAAATAAATTCCATACCTCCTAGTCAAACCTTCTGCTGCTTATGAAGTAAGAAAACAATTATAAGATCCCCGACTCTAAGGAATTAGTACAGTTTCCTTGACGTTTCTATTCCTTACGTCATTTTTATCATGTTTTAAATTTAATAAATTCATTTGATAACAAGGTCTACAAAATGAACCGGTTCTGACCATACGTTAGTGAAAGAAAGTTAATTTGCGCAAACCTTCTTTAGTAAAATAACTTGATATAAACTAAATATTATTTAATGATGAAATGAAAGCAAACCAAAGAAAATAGCCACCAGCCCTCCCTAAAGATTTTTCCTTCGTTGAATTTATCTGCCCTAATCTATCTCTTAACATCCGGGATTAAAAATGGTGTAAACCATCACTGTTAATTAACAAGTTGTTATTATTTTTAAACAACGTCTCTAGATAGATAGATATTTTTCTCACGAATAAATTAGTATTTCACATCCATTAGCGGATCCAGGATGGGGTGGTCGAGAAGGCTAACTTGTTAGCAAAACACGGGTTGCAGGATAAACTGAAGGTAACATGATAAAAAGAATTACTAGTTCGCGACCCGAATCTGGGGAGAGCTTTTAACTCTCGTAATGTTCCCCGCCCTCTTCCCAGGCTCAGAAAAAAAACGTATAGCCGAAAAAGAGAAGGGGGAGACAAAACAAAAAGTAGCGGATATAGGATTTAATTTTGAAGAGGCAAGGATTAATGATTTTTTTTTTTTATTTAATAACGGTAATAACTCTGGGAGAAAAAGGTAGAAACGATATAAAACAATTTTTATCTACGTGGTAACTTGAAGGCCTACTAACAAAAAAAACTTTACAGAAACAATATTGCTTTTAAGGATGAAGCAATATTGTCAGGCGTTTCAATCAAAATTTGCTTAACTATCAAAATCTTCAAACTCACTGAAATTTCTAGCAATTTTGTTTCATTATTATAACTCATCAGTCAACTACTTACCCATCTCTTAACAATGCTTTCATGGATAATTTTTTTTTGTTGACATGTGCTGATATTTAAGACCTGAAATACAAATGTTATAATTTAAAAATAATACATAATTTGATTGTTTAGTTAGCTTAAATCGCTCAAAAAAAAAAACAAATATGACCAATGAAATAAAAATAGATTATTCATTTTAGGGAGTTCTTCCCGAAAGCTTCCCCCCCTCACCCCGTGAATCCCTCAGTGTCGACATCAAATTAATCTATTCAATAAAAGCAAACAAAAATTATACTTACAACTCAAAAATGTAAATAAATAAGAGTAATTCAAATTCCTAAATTTTATTTTGTAATGTCATAACTGATTTAGTTGGCAAAATAATACAGAAGGCATTGTGAATCTCATCAACGAGGCTTCGCTGACTAACCACCTTCTATTCTGGTTAGTACCACGTTTCGTGTCCGTGAGACTTAAACGTAAGTTGGGTTTTATATTTTATGTTTTTTAGCTCATACTAAATTTAATCATCAATAACCTTCAATTTAACCGATTTTATTTATTTCATACATAATGTTTTAAATTTCAATACATCAAATTATTGCTTAAATACTTGCTTACAGTTATTCCTCACTCTCAAATTAGATTTGCAATTAGTATTAATTAGTGGAGTAATTAGTAATTAATTAGTGGAGTATTAAACATATGCAACGTTTCTATTTTATTAAGAATTTCGTGTAATTTTTGCTGATCGTTATGGTTTCATGAGTAATTGTTTACCACGTGGTTTGGATTTGGTTGAAATATTTTCTAGTTCATTTAAGTATTTATTGACCGTTCTATTACATTTTTGCAGAACTAAAACTTGGTTTTTATTTAAAATACTTTGTTTTTACAACTTATTTTTCACCACCATTTACTCAAACTTGATAATTTTACAGCAATTGTATACAATTTTTAATTATTTAAAGTTTTAATATACTTAAAAGGTCAATAAAATAAACTTTTTACACACCTTCTGTTTACTTTTAATAATTAACATGCTTGATTATACTATTAATTTTTCTAACCTACAAAGTGCACCTGGCACCTAAAACTAATTCAATGAAATCACTATTGAAGTTTTTTAGTATGTACATTTTTATTGTCATGTTTTTATGGTCTGGAACTAAGCTTTGTGGTGTTTACTCATTAAATCTTTGTAACTTCTAGATGCGTTACGTGGCAGCTTATCTTCTCTCCACCCTTGGTGGAAAAGAAACTCCATCAGCAGCTGATATTGATAAAATATTAAGCTCTGTTGGAATTGAGTCTGATTCAGAACGAGTGAACAAAGTAATTTCGGAGCTGAAAGGAAAAAACATTGAAGAAGTGATAGCTGCAGGTAAAATATTCTTTTCTGTTAACTGTTGATATTAAGTGATGATCACATCATTTCATAATTTTTATAACTTAATTAATATTGATTTGCAAAGACTACTCTTGAAGATGTTATTTAAATTAATGAAGGCTAGATATTATATTATTAAATCTTACAAGATTTCTGTTAACTAATCCTGGATAATGCTGTTTTATACCATACATCCTTTGTGACTTATCGCTATAAATTTCTGAATAATCACAGTACTACTTCACATAATAGACCTCGTGGATAAAATAGATTCTCCATGTACATTGTCTAAAGACAATTTGGATTGAATTGAGGAAATGGTTAGTAGTATCCATCCAAAAGCACTTAAATAACCAACCAATTAGTGGTCTCAAAGGATCAGATGGAAGTTAGTTTATACCTTTCCTCAAATGGTGATGTCCAGTATTATGAGCAAAAGTTCAACGGTCTTTCTGAGATCCTCCAGATCTCTGCAAAGCTTCATCTCCAAGTCTGTGTGGTTTTACCAAATTTGCTTTCTGTTTTTATTAACCTTTTTGTTTGATCTATTTAACTCAAGTTCCAGAGCGTCATTTGTCTATATTAAACAGTGTCAAATGATGAAGTTTTAAATGTAACCATCTTTCGGGGCTGAGAAAACTTTATGATGACAGCATTTAAATCTGATGACACTTTAATTTTTTCAATCGCTTCTCTCTGATCAAATTGACCGGGCTTTAAAGCTTTCAACTCCACTGAACTCAGAGAATTGTAAAATACTCTTGTCAACTTTACTTCAATTAACTATTGTTCGGTTGTTAACTTTGTATATTTCATTATTGAATTAATTTTACTTGTTAATGTACACATATTAAACTTATGATTAATGAAATGGGGAGGAAATTTGTTAGTCGATTTAAAAAAGGTTTCTGTATAACCATAGGTATATTCCTACCTCAAATATATAATTTCAGTTTTGTAAAAATGCTGCTTCTAATATTTATATTTTAAAGTTATGAGAAACGAGCGTTTTTTATTTATATCTCTTATGGGAATTGATCCATATTATATTAAGTGATCAATCAAATGTTACTAGTCAAGTATTTTTTTTTTCCCCACACCATATCCTTCTAGAACGACTGTAAAATGAAGTCTTATACTATCTGTTTTCTTCAATTTAAAACTATGACTTCAAAAACCTGAAACTTCTTTGCTGAAATTGATATAGGCTCTAAAAGTAAGGTTGTAGGATCATTTTATGTTCATATTATTATTTCTATACTTCTAGAAGTTCTTAATTGATCTTCTATATTTGAAAATAGTTGATAGTGCTAAATGATGAAATTTTATTATATGCCATCTTTCGGGGCTGAGACCTTTTGATGACATCAGACTTAACTGATACCACTGTCAGCTATTCTATTGATTTCATTTGATAATGTTGATTGCACAGTATTTTTTATTTATATATATAATTAATACTTCTAAAGATCAGCTCAACCAATATGTTTTAATAATTATCTGTTATCATACGTGGTATAAAAAATAAATAATAGAACGATCCGTTATGTTGTTTTGCCATGCCTAATTTTTTAGCTCAGTAATTTGTAGTAGTGTACTCCTCACACCAGGAATAAATTAATAATATGAAAGTGGTTAATGGTAGTCTTATATATTCTCTAACCATATATTAGAGAGTATTTTCGTTCTCCTTTCTACACAAACATACATAACACCTCCACCTATCAAAAGCTCTATTTCTTTTAGCTTTTAGGTATCTTTTATTGCATCAGCTTTGCTTATGGATAATTCCAGCTTTCTGATGAAGGTTTTCTTCTCTTCATTATTCAAACTGGGGCATAACCTTAAGGGATTCATTTTCCTAACTAAATGAATCTGTTACAGATGTTTATGTCTGTTGACCCTTTGACTGCGAAATCTCATAACACCTTTTTCTTTCCAATTCGGGATCCCGAAATCCAAAAAATACTTTCTAAAAAACAGATTTTTTTCTTTGAGTTAGTTTTAAATACCATTTTGAGTCTCTCTAAAAGTTGTTAGCTTTTAAAATCTTTGAACAAAATTGCATTTAAAACCTTTTAATTTAATTTTGGGTTAAGAATAAATCAGCAACTAATAACTTGCAACAAATGGTCAGAAACTGGAACGACCGAATAATTGAGCTCCAGAGAACTAATGAATGCACGGACCAAGTCCCAAGGCGAAGGGTGGAAGCGAGGCCTTCCCTTACCGTTTGTTACAAGTGAGGCGGGAAGGTAGGTATCCCGTCCACAATCAAGGTGTTAACAATAACAACATTGATTCAAATATAACTGATATTTTTCCCGTTTAAAATTAACTAATCTGCATAAGACCCTAAATAAAAGTAAAATTGATGACTCTAGAGTTCGCACTTTGATCTTAATGCCATGTTTTAAAGTTTTGAAGACTTGCTAATAAATAAATTTATATTAAATAATTCATCTTTAGCTCTTATTGGTTCAAAGTGACGTAAATGGTTTTGAAATGTTTATTTCTACAATTTCTTCTCCTAATTAAGGGTCTTCTAAAAAATTACATGTGTACATTTAATTTTTGTTGATTACATAGATGTTGACTGTTTTTTTTTTTTTTTTTTTGTTTTTTTTTTTCAAGTAAAAGTAATTTTATGTAACAAATAAAACCTCATGGCACCTTCTCCAGGAATAATGAACAGAAGTAATTTTTTAAATGTTCATTTCCAACAATTTATGGTGATTTTGGCTATTATTAATACAAAATTAGTTGTGTCAAATGATGAAATTTTTTAACTATACCATCTTTCGGGGCTGAGACCTTTTTGATGAGATATTTAACATTCTGACGACACAGCATGCTAAGCTAATTATTTAAGTACTGTGTGGTCTTCTTAGTTCAGTGTTTTTTATATAATATTACCTTCCTTCCAGGTAAAGAGAAGTTGGCTTCAGTGCCCTCAGGAGGTGGTGGTGCCCCTGCCGCTGCTGCTGCTGCACCCGCTGCAGCCTCACCTGCCAAAGCAGCCGGTAAATATATTTTTTTATTATAAAAACTCTTTAATACTATTATTGTTTTATATTCCCCTGGAAAAGAACTTTAAAAAATATATATATATATTAAATTTTCTTCAATTAAAATACGCTAGTGATGTTTTAATCTTGAGTTTTTGTGGAGTTCTAGTTATGAATTATATTTGATATTTAGTGTTTTGTATGATTCCTAACTCTTAATTTCATGTGGGAATTTTGTGAAATATATTTTGGATTTTCATGTAAATCTTAATTTTTCCTATTTTAAACGATTAATATCCTTAATTTTTCTGCTTCAAGCATTATTAAACCCTCTTATTAGTTATAGGTGCTATTAAGAGCAAATGATTAATGCAATATTAAATTTTAATGGTGATCCAAAGGTGATTCAGTTCAATTTGCTGACACCATTTTTCACGCCATTAACAGATTATTAATGTTCATTAGAATGATTTTTATTTTTCCTTTTGCTAATAATTTTTTTCCTACAAACATTAGTATTAGCTCAGAATCTTTATTTTATTAAAAATGGATAACATCCTAGTTTGACTTATCTTCATGTACTGTAGTGAATCTTTTTAATTCCTGTTTAAATTGATAAATTTATTTTCTGTTACTATTGATCAAAACTTCACCATAGATAAATTAATATTTAAATAGTTAACTTCTAAGATACATGAGCATATAATATTACATTTAAATTTTATAATACTAGATAAATAATTGACTGTTGTAGATATATTGTTGGGTGAGTTATTGCATAAAGTCATCTAGTGACATCTAGTTTTTTTATTAATCACATCAGATTTTATAGTATTAAAGTAAACTTGTAATATTGTTTATTGCTGTTATAATTGTGTATATTAAGATGTTTTTGTGTTTAATATTATTAAATATTGTTTTCAGAAGAGAAGAAGGAAGCAAAGAAAGAAGAATCCGACCAGTCGGATGATGATATGGGCTTTGGTCTCTTTGACTAAGATGGTAATTTCTTTATTTAATTATATATATACACACCGATACCAAACATTTTTCTTAATATTTCAATGAATTACATAAACATTCTGGAGATAATATCTGACCTACTTCCTTGCTAGTGTTGCTATTGGCATTAGTATTAAAAACCAGACCCTTATAATTTTGTTTTCACGGTTAGCATCTGTTTTACGAAAACTTTTTTTTCTTCTATCAAGTCTTGTGTAAGGGGGGGGATTTAATTAAGATTATTGTGAATTAAATCAATTCGTTATTCTAATTTTGTGTGCATTAATTAATTTTTTAACCATAAGTTCTATTATTAATATTTAGTCAATTTTTTATGTTATCCATGAAATATATTTAGCTACATAAGAATAAAATCAAAGATACTGCTCACAGTTTTACTAACCATTAAAGAGGGAGATGGGTGGTGGAGATTAGGGCCCTGTAAGATAAAAAGCAGCGCAGCAATGCCCCAGTAAAAATCAATTGAGGGAGGAAAAAAAGAAAATGTAGTTTCGATTTCTACTATATATTCAAAGGTGTAATGAATAATATTGTTGGTGTGTTAATGATGAATTATACTATTCACCATCTTTCGTATGAGAAACAGATGATTCTTGTATCTATCTGAAACACACTAATTTTGTATTAAGATTCAGAGTATTTCGTATTTGATGAGTTCAGATAATTCAAAATATAATCACTTCTCTTTGGTACTGATATGAGAATATAAATCTTAAGTTTTATATATTCACAATCTTCTTCCTCCACGTTTAATGTTATAATAGTTCAGATCCTTGGTATTTAAGTTGTTGTCTTCAGCTGCCACCCCTAAGATAAAGAGACCCTCCAAAAGTATTCAACATTATTACTGAACCTAGGCTATAATTATTTTGATTCATAGAACTATAAATAATACTGAAGAGGTGTTGCTTTTATGTTAACTAAACCCAACTTGATGCAAATGATAGATGTGTACTGATGATGATTCTATTATTTCACCATCTTTCGTATGAAAGTAATGATTATAAACATAAACTGAAGTTGATCTATCTATTATGCCAATTAAGATTAGCCTATAGCAGGGGTTCCCAATCTAAAGCTCGCCATCACGAGTGTGCCTCCTCATCTCTAACATAACCTTTACTGGCGATCACCCTGACAACAGTTTTATTGTTGCCCGCTGTAGATCGACAAGTTTTCAATAAAAAAGTAAAATAACAATACATATTTTAATAAATATCTAATAATTTAATCGCTAGTATGAGAGATTACTTTAAAAATAGTAATTTAATAATATCGTAGCATTTTATGTTCTTTTATTTTTTTGTTATCGTTGTTTTACATAGCAGTTTCAGATACACAAGTTATTTGATAGTGACAATAAACAATGACACTGGTGGTCTAGTCTATCTAAGATAAGTTTGCCATTTAGGTAAGGGAAAGGGGAGATGTGCAGTGGCAAATTGAAATTTCTCTAGCAGGTTATCAAAACTTTTTCATTTCTCATAATATTAAAAGTTTACCATGTCAAATAAACTCAGTAGAGGGAAAACTATCAGACCAAAAATGTAATTATTAACATATTTAAATTCATAAGAACATGCTAGGAATAGTCCAATCCAGGTTTCCTGTGTTACGAAAAGAGTTTCTCTGGCTAATGGTGTCTCATATCACTCTTTAAGGATATTTTGGAAAAAAAAAAAAAAATAATAATAACCTGGAGCTAAAAATGGAAAAAGTGTGCGACCATTCTTCAATATGTGAAAATGAGTATAAAAAATTTGATAATTTAATTAATGTGACTGACAATTTTATTACTTCACTTGCATGGCTCCGATTCAGATTCTGAAAGTGAAACTGATTATAGTTTTGAATCAAATGAAGCTGGAGTCTATCCTAGCTAATAAATGATATAATGGATGAAAGTAAGAATGAATTACATTTAATGTACTTACCTTCAATAAGCATTTGAAGAAAATCAAACGATGCGTTCCCGGTAGGTGATTGCTTTGGTGAGGAGGGAAGGTGGAAATTCAGAGGGGAAAGTATACGCGAGCTCCTCTCTCCCTCTATAGGTAAACTTATCTTAGATGTAACTTATCAGCTAGTTTTGGAAATAATAAATATGTTTTATGAAAAGTATTTATTTTGTTTTATTGATATCTTTTACACTTTCTTTTAAAATGTTATAAACAGTGACCTGCTTGCAATTCACATTCACTAGTTGTGAGTGCCCTGAAAAAAAAAAGAAAGAAAATGGTGCCTACTACCTAACATATATGCCCACAAGTGAAAAAAGATTGGGGACTTCTTGTTTATAGTTATTATGAAGAATTTGTCTCCGGCAATTTTACTTGTGAGAATTATTGTTACTCTAAACATTTCTCTTTAGTCCAATCTTTTATATTCCTCCCCTCAAAATCAAAAATTACATTTTGTTTCATTGTATCCTATCTTCATAAATATCAGTTGGTGATGGATGTGTCCATGATGATCATAATTATTCACACCATCTTTCGTATGAAAGCAATGATTACAATAATCTCTGAGATACATCTGGCTGATACTGTCATATTTATTCAAGAATTTTAAAGGACCAATATTGAGAATAGATTTTTTTTAATTAATAATTCTCCATATGGTGCAATTAAATTGTCATTTCCATAATAAAAGTTGTCCATGCTTAGGTAATTGTGCAATATAACTTCTAAATGAGAGATAAATTTTTATATACCCTCTGGCTCTTAAATATGTGAAATTTAAATTGACTCCCATTATATCCACCCCTCTTTTTATGTAAAGTAATTTAGATAATTTATTTCTTAACATAAACATTTTTTATCTTTTAAACATAAAATTAACTGATTATTTTTGTTGGTTTGTTTCAGTTGGTGTAACTGTTGCCCATTTTATTGTACAAATCTTCTTTTTTAAGTACTGATAAATAAAATACTTTTTATTTATTTTTGTGTTTGTTTATTTACCATAATAGGTCCTCCCAAATTTTAATCTTATAAGTATATATTTGTCATCAATATTATAATTCAATTGTAGGGAATCTATCAGTCGGAAATATACCACAGGTTATAGTCATGAAAGTCTTCATGAGTTCTGAACTTGAATATCTTCTTCCTTCAGTTTAAACTGTGCAGTCGTTAATTATGCCGGTTAAGGGAACATATGAGACATCTTAAGGTATAATAATTCAAAAACAGACACGACACTTATATACCACAGCTACACTTTCAGTATAAAGAGGTTGTAAGACTGCCAGCTTTTGGAAGTTGCTAATCTTGTTCCCTATAATAAGCCTAACTATCTTGTAACACTATAATTTTTAACTTTAATTAGCAAAATAAAGTGGAAACAGCTTTATAAGTAGCATTGTTTGGAGACTATTTCAGATTCAAGAAAATCATCAGAACCACCTGTTCTCAATATTAGGGAGATACCTTAAAAACCTAAAATATATTTACTGTAGTTTAATAACTATAGATCTGATAAATTTAAATAATTGGCTGTTTATTATGGAAAGTCATGTAACCTTTTAGAAAATTAAATCAGTGAATAATGTGATGAATTTTTCCTTTGTAATATTCCAACAGTATCCACTTCTAATTAGTGTAACTACTTTCGACCTGTATTATGGCAGATATTGCAAATCTCTTAATTCCATTTTAGTAAACTGCTAACAATCCATAATCAACGGATCTTACATTATGGGTAATCAACCAGTGATATAATAAATAGAAGTTTTGTTATTTTAATGGTATTTATAATTTGTTAGCTGTAAGTTTTTAGGTTTAGCTCAATTTAAAAAAACTATGATAGCCCAACATGGCCAAAAAATAATTTCTATTCAAAGTTGAGTGGTAAGTGAAAGTTGTGTGTTGCCCGCACCAGATTTTTTATTTTATGCTTGTCTACTTCCAAATTGTTTTTGGTCCATCCCATTGACAGATATATCATCCTTTTGACCTTATATCATGATTCATGTAGTTTCACTATGAATATTATTTAATCTGATTTTAAGTTTTTCAATTAATTGCCATTGAATTGATATAAACCTAATTGTGATTAAGGACCTTTATTATATTAATATAAATATCAATGTAACTCCACATTTTTATTACTTTCACTTACCTAAATAATAAGTATTGTGATCATGAAAATTTTTGAATATGAGTTTTCAACTGAAATACAAGTTTTGAGGACCCCTGAGTCCAAATAACGAAGTCCCGAAAAGTAGTCTGTGTGTATGTGAACACTAGCAGGAAACTGATATTACATCTTTAAAATGGCTAACTGGAAATGCCACTTTATATCAATGCTGAAACATTATTACAATTTTCTCATAAACGGCTCTAACGATTTTGATTAAACTCAGTGTTACTGAGTTTAATCAAAATCGTTATACTTTACAATAGATATTGTATAATTAAGTGCTCTTTAATATCAGTTAGGTCTTATCCCCATTGATGTCACTTTACAGAGCTTAAATGTTCTGCCTGAGGGAAAATATTGGTCTCATTATTTCCGAACAAACAGATATTTTAATTTTACCTATGGATTTTTCGTTCCATGCATTTTACTAGTGAAAACGTACCTATAAGTAAGTATACATCGCTACTATTTGTGTAAAAAGTATGTAACAATTTTCCATTTTTATTCTATTGGTGCTGTACACAGGCTGATGTAAGGGTGAGAGAGCTTTAGGGCTGAAGCCCTCCTCCCCCCCCCTCCCCCTCCTGCAAATTAAATCCTGGATCCACTAGTGGTGCTGTAGGTGACATTTCCTAATATGCAACTGATATAAGTAGCCTAGTACAATGGAAAATAACAGAGCAAAATAAACTCTGAAATTTCAATATTACTGTTAGAATATCACAAAGGAAAACTCATCACATTATTCACTATTTTAATTTTCTAAAAGGTTACATGATGACTTTCTGTAATAAACAGCCGATAGATAGCTAATTATTTAAATTTATCAAATCTAGAGTTATTAAACTAATAAGTCATAAAGAAATAATTAGTTATGCTCTCCTATAAAACACTCAATTTTCACAGACTTTTTGCGCTAACAGTAGCGATTTACATCTTCATTATGTATTGGAATGTTTTTTTTAATCACAATTTGCAATTTTAAAATTCTTCCACATTTTATTATTCGCTGATGAACAAAATTGGTGGATATGGAACCCACAAATGTTTGGTTATTACTGTATTTCCAATAATGGCTTCTCCCAGAGATTTTATTCTCCTATGAAAAATTATAGATTTTGAAATATAGATATTTTCAGCCAATGAAAGCGGTGAGAAAGCTATACTGGCCTTATTAGACACTTTTTATTATAATTATTTTATTTCTCTATAACTTGTTCTTTCTTCATTAATCCATAATTGTCTAAATATTTTATCTATATTTTCTAAAAAACTTTGATTTCGTAACAAGAACACTATGTACTAAAATACTATAAAGTTGAAAGACAATTTTTTTTCCCCCGTTTTCTTTATTACAGGATGTTTCAGGGTTAGGTGGCCAAACTGCAAAAATGAACTAACGACCTCAAAACGAGACAAAATTTCCTATGAAGGTATGTCCGCAAAAGCTTTGTTTAGGAGATATTCACACCTAAAAATTTTCGTTGTTTTTTATTATTAACGTTATATGAAATAAATAAAAGCTATTCATTTGTTCTAACCACTTTATTAATTAAATGTAAATATTAAATGTTGTTCAACGTGATTTATTAAAAATTAAGACAAGCTCGTCATCTTTCTTCAATAGCAGCAGTGGCAGAATGGTATTGGATATGTGTTATTGTTTCACAAGATTCAATTATCCTTCTTCCTAAGGAATTCAGGCCATTGGCCGGACTTTCATAGACTTTGTTTAATGTCTCTCCGAACAAAAAAATCCAGTGGTGACATGTCTGGAGAGGCCAATCCATTGATTGGGATATGGGATATGATTGAGCTTAATGAACTTAATTCCTTACGAGAAAAGATAATTGAATCTTGTGAAGTAATAACACCTATTCAGTGCCGTTCTACCTCTGCTGCTGTTAAAGAAAGATGCCAAGCCTGTCTTAATGCTCAAGGAAATAACTTTGAACTACATTTAATTAATAAAGTGGTTAAAATAAATGAATAACTTATATTTATTTTATATAACGTAAATAATTCATAACAACGAAAATATTTAGGTGTGAATATATCCTAAACAAAGCGTTTGCGGACATACCTTTAGTGGAAATTAAATTTTTTTCTTGTTTTGAGATCCGTAGTTCATTTTTGCAATTTGGCCACTCAATCCTGAAACACCCTGTATATAGGTAAATAAATAAACAGAATAATAAAAGCCCCTATTAATTTAGAACAAATTCATCGAATTTAGCAATACAATAATAAGGTAAAATCGTGGCATGTAAAATATGTTAGGAATATATTCTATCAAAACTATTTTTAATATTTTTGTATGGGAAAAAACAAACAGGCAAATTGTCAAATTACAATAAAAATAAACCTTGAAATGAAACCAAACAAAACTAATAGGAGTGAATTTCTTACCTTATCTATACCATTAATAATTATGGTTGACTGGAAGTTACTACTAAAAACGATGCAGAGGTTACAAATTGCCTGCAGCTGAAACTGATGGGACAAAATGCAAGAAAGTTAATCTAGAGGCATATGTCGATGACATAGCTATATACAGTAGTTCCCTAAACGTGGGGAGAGCTCTTCGGCAGATCTTTGAGGGAATTATCAAGAAACTGTAGCGATTAAATATTAAAGTTAATCTCAAGCAACCCACTATATTATATATTATCTTTTAAGAAAAACGAGCTCCCCAACCGTAATGTTTATAGGGAGGCGGATAGCGAGAACAGGCCAGCTCGTTGCTGGCAGCCATATCTCGCCACTGCAACATGAAAATAAGATCGGTTAGGACCAAGTCCTACAGACTTAATCACCTGTTAACATCTGCCATATCGACCCCTCTGTCTCATTTTAACGATGAATAAAATCTAAATAAGATCAGTTCTCACTTGTGTTCAGACACCAATGAATCCTAGCAAATATTGGTCCCAAGCTTCTTCTTAACTCCAATCCTTATCATCTCCTGCTTTATCTCAATGGACTACCAATTAGTTTCGATTCTTCTGTAAGAAATATTGGAGTAATTTTTGATCAATACCTCTCCTGGAACAATAATATTTCCCTAATTATCTGAAAATCTATTGCTGCCCTAAAACAGTTCCTGAGATTCCGTGATTCTATACACCTAAAAACCCGTCAGCTCCTATTCTCTCTCTCGTTTTTCCTCGCTTCGGTTACAGCTGACTTGAATAAGTAGGTGGACTTGAGGTTGAATTGAAGAGAACCAATAGATTGTTTCATTAGATTCATCTTTGGAGCCCCCAACCGCTCCCATGTCTTCAGTTGGTATGCCGAGTTGAAGTAGCTCTATCCAGTTTTCTCAATATTTCCTGAGTGTTTTCTTTTCTAAACCTTTACAACTAAAAAAAAAAACTGTTACCTCATTGATTTGTTTACTCGTTGCTCCTCTGTCTATTCGTTCAATACGAGATATAGAAGCCCACAAACCCTATTCCTTCTATTAGAACTATTTCCATTGGAATTTCACCCTATTTTGGAATTCACTGCCTATTTCCATACGCAAATCCTCATCCTTAACTTCATTTAAACACCATTTATTTTTCCGGCATTGGATAACACGAGGAACTGCTAATCAAACCCCCACCGCCACTCATCAAATACCAGCTTCTTCCATAGGGCTGGACCAAGGTCTGATCATTGAGGATATCCTTTCTCTCTAAGGAAGCTTCTGCTTCATAGAAACTACCTCTCACCTATTAAACCTGTCCTGGATGTAACTATTTATGTAGTAAGTTGCTTGGGGCTTCCTAGTTCTGTTGCTCTCGGAGCATGTAAAACCTCCCGTTTTCAGCACTCTTAAAGAAACTTTAAAATGTGTTTGTCCCGTTCTCAATCGTGTGAGTACTTGGTTCAACAATTTCGGTTCTTTTAAGACACTAAAGATCTCTAATTTCAAAATGTATATGTGAAACAGTGTCTTTCTTTTATTTGTTTATACTTAAATGGAAAAATGGAAAATTGTCCGTATTCATCAGTTTTCGGCAAACCTTACCTAAATAATTAAATGAGGCAGCCTTCAGAATGAAAGAAATAGGCGGAACGTCCATGTAATTAATGATATTTAAATATCGATATTTTAATACTATCGATACTTTTCGTTAGTAGGTTATTCCTAGGCGGAGATTGACAAGACTGAATTATTTTGATCTGTAGTTTCTGTTAGTGATGTTTTCTTTTTTAAAATAATTTTTGTTACTTTAAGTGTTAAGTAAACTTATCAACGGGTAATATTTTGCTTAGTATTAATATCGTGCAATTAATTAAACAGTTATGGAAAAGGAGGAATTAACCACAATAATGAAAGATTTGGATGATATGGCCATGAGAATGTTACAACTGATGAAAGAATACATTGATGTGAAACGCACATTAGAAGAATTTATTAAGTCTGGTGCTTTACATTTGGCCAAGTCTCGTTATATAATGGGTAATAGGACTGTATCAGCACTCCAGTTGCCTGCCGAAGATAGCAATGAGTTCACTGCATTAGCTAAAGTTTTGTCAGTTAAGGACTCATCTGATGAAATTATCTTTGACTTAAATAGGCTTTCTTTAAGTGATTTTAGTAAAAATGTTAAGTCCAGACATCCTAAGCCAGACAAAAGTGGAAGTGAAGAAACAAATGATCTAAATAACTGTATTCAAGATCCTCTTAAATGGTTTGGTGTACTTGTACCTCAAAATATGCGGCAAGCACAGTCCAGCTTTTCCAAAGCTTTGGAATATGTCATACAAGCAACTAATTTGCAGTTAGAAATGGCTCGATTAAAAGTTAACTATGAAAGTAAGTTAGATAAGAAAAAAAAAATCCTCGACTTAAACATTTAATATTATTTCCAAAATTTATATATGTACATAAGTGAAAGAATATAAATATATATATTTTTTGTTTAAAATGTGTATCATCTTGTTTAACTGTGAGCATTATTTTTTAATGACAGACTGGAAACAACATAAAACCTAGTTAATTTTTGGTGAAACATTGTTGATTTAGAAAAAGTTAGTTGAGGTACAATAAAATATTTAAGAAAAAGCACAGTAAAACCTTGTTTTCTTTTGTGTTGACCTGGCCTTCATTAAGACTAAATGGAAACCAGATAATATTGACCAATAAGAAAGTGAAAGAAAAATATTACAAGGAATTAAGAAGTTGAAATGCTAATGAAAAATTAATGCAAATTTTTCAAATAAATAAGTCAATTGTTATTTATGCATAAATAATAATTGTATTTACATAAATATATATATACAGTTGCGGTCATAGATCTTTTATCACCAAGTAAATATTTTAATGTATTTACCAGATTGTTGTCTGCAATATCTCCAGTTATTTCTTTGCCGGTATTGAAATGATATCCTAAAAATAATAGCACCATTAAGTGGTCATATTGTTCGTTTTATATTTCTCCTCTCCCAGATTCTTAATTTGGCTCTATGGTGCCTTTTTCGTTTTACTGTGACTACTATTAATATGTGGTAAACTTTATCTAAGTTCCAAGGTGGGTAGAGGAGGGGAGAGAGATGCACAGTGGTCTCTACTCATTCATACGTACTTCTAAATTATTGTTTACAAATAGAAATTTCTTTTATCATTTTTTTTTCCGATTTCTTTAATCAATTTTCATTTATTATGTCAAGTAAACTGGGTAGAGGGAAAACTATCTACTCTCAGACAAAAAATGTAATGTTGAACATATATAAATTCATGAAAACATAGGCTGGGGGTATTTTTTTTCTTGATATGATTATTTAACCATCCTCGCCATTGTTTTATTTTATTTTTAAATTAAAATTCCCACCTTTAATAAACAGTCGTGCGAAATTTGAAGAAAATGGAATAACGCTTTCTTGGTATAAGGTAGTTGCTATGGTGAACAGGGGAGTGCAGCTGGAGAGCAGTCTTGGGGTGGTGGAGTGGGGGAAAGCTGCGCGATCTTCCTTCCCCTACACTCAAACTTTACTTTATATAAGCGCCACAATTTTTATATTTTCTGACGAGCAGTTTTTTTAAGCTGGTCATAATTACAGCTTTTATCCTGGTATTAGTTAAAACTGAACTGAGAAAAATTGTTCAAGTTTTCTTGTAATCTAAATAAGTAAAGAAGAATCAAAACAAAAGAAATAGGTGATGCAATTTTTATGACTGCGACTGTATATTGAACAAGGTAAGGGTAGTTCAGTGGGTAAGACACTGACTTCCAAATCTCATGGTCCTGTGTTTGAATCCAGCTGATGGCAGGTAATTATTTAATCTGTTCCATGGACCATGGGGCTGGGGTAACCTCTCATAACCATTGCCCTTGTAACAGCCCTATACCCATATATATATTTTTTTCTATCATTGCTATAGTATGTTGATACTGGCTTTACAAAATACAAGGCTTTCCTTGATGAAGGCCGAAATGTGAGCACACAAGAAAACAAAGCCTTTCTTTGTGTACTGTTTTCATCTTTGGCCATACCCCCCAACCAACTCCTAATTAATTTACAATCAACAATATCTCCACCATTATCTTAGACTATCATTATTTTAAATATATAGAGATATTTTTAGACTGTGGAAATTGTGGGTAGTGCCTTATGTATGTTTATTTGTTTTATATGTAGCATAGATAGTTCATCTAAATTATAAAATTTACAATAAATGATAAAAAATTCTCTATATACTTCCATATTCAGAACTTATGAGTATTGTCATAATGTCTTTTAATGTAATAGATGTGAAATCCCAGCTATTAAATATGAATAACCATGTTAGTGGTGAGTGGAGTGGCTTACTAAATAAGACATTTTCCTAGTCCCTAAGTCCAGCTCTGGTAGGTAATAATTGTAGATCTTATTGATAATGTTATTTCTTATTTATTTGTCCAATGAGTCCTACTAAATGTCAAAAATTGTAAAATTTGTTTTTTCGCTTCAAATAGTTACTGGCACTTGCACAAACATGAATATGTTTGTTAGCTTTCTGTAACTATTTTATGCTCAAAATGTCATCAGATTTTATGAACTACAGACAAATCTTTTTCATTTAATTAATTGTGATATTCACAAAAATAATTTCCCAATGACCAAGATTGAATAGGTCAAGCAAGGTGAGCAAGACGGAAAGAAAAATTTTTAAATTTTTTTTTATTTAAATAACATTCACAACAAATATCATTAACTTTATTTACACGAGATCAATTTATAACAAAACACTTACACGGGTTGTTTTCAAGATAATAATGAACTAACAACAAGATAATGATGGCCAATAGCTTAATATTTAACATTAAAAAAGGTAACCATTGTTTCAATGAAAACTACTTATTAAGTTTAGAAAATAACTCATATCATGTAAAAATTATAATCCAGGAAGGAGTTACAAATTAGTAAAATCTAATATTTAAAAGTATATAAACATTTATAGCAGAAACATGATAATAAAAAAGAAGTATCAATAGTAACAGTAATGAACTAAATATATTTACATTAGAAATCATGAATTATATACAGTATCATAACATTGAAATAATTATCTACATTATACAACAAATCTAAGAGGTACTGTTTAAAAGTGTACAGTTTATTTCAAAGAAATAAATTAAAAGTAGTAATGTATAGACTTCAAAGTTGACGAGAGACAGAATGAAAGTATTGAAATAAATTTGAAATTGCTGGTTCTTTCAGTTTTTTTTTCTTATGAAAGACAAACAATCCATATAGTAAAAATAGATAATCAATGACCACATTTAATATACAATTAATAATTAAATTGTAACATTACAAACTGTAAATTAATTCCATAATTGAAAAATTTGATTTACAGCTTCTTACTGTATCTGAACTTGGTGACTCAACTGATTTCCATTTTCATTACAGCATTATCGATTACTTGCGAATAGGTGTTATCACAGTACTGATTATCAGCAAACCACTCAGGATGGTCTTCAAGAAACCTAAAATACACAATACAATATAAACAAATGATAAAATTGAATTATCCCATAGCACAAAACAGCTTCCATAAACTTTGAATTCAAGAGAGAAGAATATAATTTCTTGATATGCTTTATGAGATTTTAGAAACTTAAGTATTCCAACATAAAAGTATATTAGAGGAGATAAGAATTTCAATGAAAGCTTTTAAACAACTTTCTTTCCTTATACATTAGGACAGGGGTCTCCAAACTTTTTGGGCAGCGGGCCACATTGAGAACTCCTTTAAGTCCCTTGGGCCACATTAAGGCCACCAATAAGTCTCCCGGACCATGGTTTGTGATAAATAAATGGCCCATCAATTGTAAAATGAGCTTTCTAAGAGAAAAAAATGCATGCAATAATAAATGGTGTAGAAACCTGCAGTTTGAGTGGTTTACTTAATTTCGTATTTTTAAAGTTTTAAAATTTTACCATGAAACCAAAAAAAAAATTCGTAAGTTGTAGTTTGGAGACCCCTAAATAAGAAGATAGCTTATTTAACTCATGAAAAAAAAAAAAATTAACTTTGGAAAAAAGTCAAACTTTATTTGTAAAAAATAAAAAAAAAAAACTGCCAAATATGGTCAGTTTTTAGCTTCTTAATTTTTATTGATTACACAATTATATTACAAGGCCTATAATTATTAATTTCATTTACTTATACATGTAATATATAGTAAGAGAAAGTATTGTAATCGTGAAAATTCTGAATCTGAGTTTTCAACGGAAATACATGTTATGAGGTCCATTGAGTCCAAATAACTAAGTCCAGCAAAATGGTCTCTATGTGTGGGTGTATGTTAACAGTCTAGCTCAAAAAGAGAAAAATCGTACGAAACTGATATTGCGTGTTTAAGATAGATAGATAAGGCTGGGATGTTACAACTTTTTCTTAAAATCGGCAAGCCTGAAGTGCTATTATTTATTAACGGTTATTCACATTTTGATAATTTTCTCAAAACAATGTTGATTAAACTTGGTATATCATTACATAATTAAGTGGTCTTTAATATTATTTAGGTCTTATCCCCATTGATGTCATTTACTGAGCTTAAATGCTCAATGTTCAACATTTCTTCCTCTAAAGTACCTTCAATTTGGTTTATTTTAAATAATTAAATATCTCTCATTGTTAGAAGTTACAAAAAAATAGCAAATATAAGTTTTGAAAGAATCTGATAATTGAATAAGAAGAATAACTGAAGAAGAAGAAAAGAAAAATGTTTATCCAGGTCGAAAACGAATTTCCAGAAATAATAGAATACATATAATATATCGTTGGAAAGCGGAGAATTTTATAAAAACCAATATCTAATATAGAGAAAGTTATAGAAGGTAATGGTAGTGACGAAAATATTATCGATAATTTTTTTGAAGCATTTTTTTTTTACTAATACCCACTTTTCTTCTAACATTAAATCAAGGAATGTATTTAAGGAAATACATTTAGGTGTGCACAGATTATTGAATGGAATTTTATGAGATTGATATAGGACCATGTATGTTCCAACATCTAAAATTCATGAAAATCGGAAAACAGCAATAGGCGATAGACTCGTCACATCATATTCATCTGGCTACTGAGATACACCAGACCAAATTTTATACTTGATGTCTAGAATGTGAACCGTGAGTGTAAATTCTGAGCACACAATTTTTTTTAAATCTGCACAAATACAAAGCTTCCCTATATTCGTGTTTGTTTGTATATATGTATGAAACCCTCACTAAATCTTGATACAGTAGAATACATTATGTGAATTTTATTTAAAATCTTAAGAAAAAAGGACATACTTAGTAAATCCATTTAAGTATTCAGTAATTGAATTCATTTTTGATTCACTATGCTCTGCATGAGGAAATATTTCTGGTATTTTTACTGCAACAGAAAATGAAAAAAACTAATTAATTTATAAACAAAAGGAATTATTTACAAACATTTTTTATAAAAATTAAGTTATGTAATGATATTAAGTTTTTATTCCAACTAATGGATATGTTTAAAAAAAAGACAAACTATCATCCATTACTATTTATCCCTTGTTATGTTAGAAATATATTTTAGTTATACTATATGTCAAAATAAATTATATTGGATTTAACCTCTGTTAACATTTACAGAGTCGGGAGACTCTCCTGGGGCACACATAGCCTCTATACAGTGGGTACCCTTGATTAAATAATTAATAAACAGAGAAAACCTGGCAGTTGAGCGTGATGTTGGTCATATCACCTTGTACAACCATTGAACAAGAAACAGTACTTCTCTACAAAGTACTGAACTCAAAACCCTACACGGGTTTTAGTGGTATTGTATTTTTTTTTTTTAACATTTACAGGGATGAATGAGTCTTGGATAAAAAAATTATTAATACTGAGTAAATAAAATAAACCATTGCGACAATTCATCTAGTCAAATGACACTTAATTCCAAATTACACTGGTAGAAAGATCAAGCCATGTACAAAACAATAGGAGGTCCAACAGGCAAGTTTTTATAAAAGTATGTAATGTTATTTCTATAAATCATATATTCCTCATTCCATTTAGTATGTTAGCAGAGATTATTCTACAATGGAGACGTATGAGACTACAGCTGTGAAGAAGCTACTTTCAGAATCAGAATGAGCATGAAGAAGTTGAGAAGAGCATAAGCATAGATTGGAGGTTCTATCCAGCGTCCTATCCAGTCACAGCGTTAATCTCCAGGACAGCACACTTTGAAGAAGCAACAAAAAGATGAAATCTCTCTTCCAAAACACAGGCCATCCTTCTGTAAGGCATCATGAAATAAATATATGTCCTAGAAACATTTCAACCAACCTGAGAATGGTATTGCCGTGATTAACTAAGGCCTATAAAACTGTCTCATGACACTTTGCACCTCTTTGACAGACGGGACAACTTTTGACCTCAACTCACCTGATGGATGTTCTGGGATACCCCTCCAAGGAAAGATTTGAGAGGAGCAAAGTAAATGAAAGAGAACTGGAAAGTAGACTATTAAAGGGTGAAGGACGTATTTTGTTTTTTAAGTAAATAGCATCTTATTCCTATCACTGGCAATAATCCTTAGGGCAAGAGAGCTTAGTGAGTAAAGCACTTTGGTTTCAACCTTACACTCTGAAGCTCAGGATCCCAGGTTACAGTTCAGCTGTGGCAGATTATTATTTATTCTGTTACATCAGTCATGGATCGATCCAGGAGTCACGAAACCCTCCTGAGGTATACCCAGTCTCTAAAAAATGAGTACTCTGAATTAAGTACTTAAGAAGAAAAATCAATGGTAGAGCATGAGCTTGATGAAATCACCTCCTCCCACAACCATTAATCTAAAAACAGTATTTCCTTACAAAGCACTGAAGCTACCACAATGGTTGACCAAGAAACAATACTTCCTTACAAAATAATGAATCCAAGATGCTCTATGGGTTTGGAGTCCATTTTTTTTTTTTTTAATACAATTATTATTAAATTATAAATTATTTGTATAAAACTTATTTTTGAACGTATATGATATTCTTAAGGCTTTTTTGAGAATGATTTTTTTTTTAATTATAAATGTCAAAAACAACTATATTAATCATGTAATAAAATTAAAGATGAAAACAATAAATTATTAATTAGTTCAAGTAGTATTTCAAGTTCAATTAGCATTTAATTAGTTAATTATCAATTAGTTCTTACTGAAATAATATAACAAGAACAACATACCTAAAGCTCTTGCCAGGTGAACAGCACCATACACGAGGCAAGGAGCGATCGGATTACCTTCTGAACCTTGCTGTTTTAAAAACCAATCAGGTACTAATTTTCTGTTGACTAACTTCTTAAGAAGGTCCCTTTCTCTTTGGGACATTGGCCTCAATACCAAATTCTCTCCACTAAAAGGAATAAAAAGCATATATTATCATAATCGAATAACTGTATAACAATAGCTTAAATAATAATGGATGAAACCTTCAAGAAGTTGGTTGGGGGGAGGGGAATTGTGACCAAGAAACAGCATCCCCAACCAACATCTTCCTTTTCAATGGTCATCAATATCATTACCATCATAAATGTAACCTCTTCCATTTATTATGAAGCTATGTTTATCTAAAAATTTCTCATTGCACATAAATCAGTTAACCTTAGAACGACACAACCCACAAAACTTTAAATATTAATTTACTTTTATATAAGTAGCTCTTTGGCTAAGATTTTTCATGTAAATAAACATCATAAATAGCCAGGCTAATTGCGGTCATTAGCACTCCATTGTTGGACTTATTGGCAGTTATCAAAAGTCATTGTGGGGTATCCCACACCCCAGTGTGCTGTCTATGCAACTGTTCTGTGAATTTTGCATCCCAGTGTTTTCTATGTTATTTTGAAACTTCTAATAAGTTACGGATTTCTAATGTTATTTATAATTGTTAATTAGTGGTGTTTTCAATTCAGACATTAATGTCTATAAACTATTTTTTTATAAGTATGGCAAATACCAAAAACAAATTTTTCTCCTGAAGAAATCCATAAATTGTTATGTGAGTTAGAATATGAAGAAAAAATGCAAGTTGCATATTAAATAAAGACAGCACAGTAAATTTTGAGCAAATATGAACAAACAGCAAGAAAAACAAAGGAGGCTGTCTCTCTGATTTTTTTTTTTTTGTGGAATGTTGAACTATGTGTTTATTTTTGATGGAATTGTTCAGTTTGGTTAAAAAGGAAAAGGAGATGAGATGGTGAAATTATTTATTTGGATTAGGCTATTCGTTAATTGAGCTCTATTTGAAAAGAAGACTGCACCTGTAAACGCTCACACGAATGGTGAGTTTCAACATAAATGAAATTTCGGGCATTCAAAAATAAACTACTGTTGCAAAAACAAGACAAATATTCGTTTTGCACAGGAGAAAGATATGAAGACAAAAATGGTCTGTCAGCAATGTAAGATCCCTATTTCCATGAACAGGGAGGGGGTGGCAGTTTGCTTGGATTGTTGTGAGTGGTCTCTTAAATGGCCTCCACTATTGGTTTTATTATCTTTTTAAGTATTGGATGGATCCATAAGTTTGTGTGGTTTTTGAAGTGTGAAATAAAACATATTTTTTTCATACAAAGAATAAATTTAATTCTAAAATTTATTTGCCATTTTTATTAATGAACTCTTGCTAACAATTTCATTATTCCTCTCTAGTAAAACATCTCGGGCTTAGAAGCGAAAAACTAATCGAGATAAGTTTTCACATCCCTCTCATCAGCGAACAATTACCCGTTGAGGGATTTTTCGAGGAACCAAAATAAGTGGTAGTCAGATGGTGCAAGGTATGATGAATATGGTGGGTGTAATAAAATATTCCAGTCAAGTTTCAATAACTTTGTGGGTGGGGTGGCCGAATGGGCTAACGTATGTGGGCGTGCAGCACTACCGTTGCCCAGCAACCTGATGTATGAGGCAATGGATTTAAATTGTCACGAGTCCTGGTAACGGGGGAGCTTTTAAATCCCCGCCCACACCACCTGGCCCGGGAAAACCCCGTATAGCTTTCAAGGCGAGGACAAAAAAAACAGTTATAATAACTTTTACTGTGTGGTTATTAAGTGTGGTCTGGCATTGTTATCGTTGAATCCAACACCTTTATGATTGACTAGTTCTGGGCGTTTCTGTCGCAATGCTTGGTCCAATTTCGCTAGCTGCGTGCAGTAGATCTTGAAATCAATCCTTTTTCCTTGTGGAAGGCAGCTGATAAAACAGCACGCTGCGATAATCCTACCTTATAGAGAGAAAGATTTTTTCTGGCCTTCATCAAACCATTTTCGTGCAATATGTTCTATAAGGCATCGTCCACGTATACCTTACATATCTTTTGATGGACCTCGGAAGCTTGCTTACCGTTTTTTAAATAAATGCCGATAATACACTTTATCATTTGACATATTTATATTCACTGTGCTGTAACACAGTTGCTTTAGTATGTGTATATTATACATTACAAATATATATTTAATTGATATAAACTTATTGCATTTTGAATGGGAATATTGATCTTTTTTTTAAATTTTTTAGCGATGTAGATGTTAACTGTTTACTTTATGTGAGCATGTAAACAAATATATTCTCTAAAATTACCTTGAATTTATTAATTTTTTTGGGAGCTTCCTCCCCTTTCTTTCTTGCCTTTGAGGCTATACAGAGTTTTCCCGGACCAGGGGATGAGGACGGGGATTTAAAAGACTCCCCCAGTAACGGGACGCGAACTCGTGACTATTTTTATCCAGTTATCGTATGTACCAGGTTACCGGGCAACAGCGGTGCTGTGCACACACGTTAGCCCGTTCGGCCACCTCGCCCCTGATCATTTGGCTTATTTCTGAAAAATATTTCAGTTTTCCAGAACATGACAATTAAATTTTATGATAATTTAAAGTTTTGTGTGTACTATACCCCAGAGTGTCAGAATGAGTTGACACATTTAAGTGTTCTAAGGTTAAGATGTTAGTCATTGTTAATTAATGCATAATGATGAATAATAATTATCAACTTGCTGTTGTCTGACAAGTTTTCAATAAAATTGTGTATATTTGAGCCATAAATTTTTATAATATCTGCCAACAGTCATTTTAGTTTAATTTTCTCTTCTTTTCTTCTTTTTTTATGAATCCATAAACTATACCTTTTTGTATTGTTTTATTGACTAATAATATCCAACAACCAATTTCATCATCATGAAACTATCTAATTGTTGACAAAACACAAAAAGTCCAGATTACAAACTAAACTGGATTCAGTAAAGAAACCAAATAAATCTTTCAAAATTCATTTTAAATCTAGACTTACCCTTTCACCACATCATGGCCAAGGAAAGATGCTAAATCGACAGATACGCCATCTAACTTGTTTTGTGATGCATGTCCATCTTGTTTTGTTTGAGATACATGATTTTCTGCTTTTACTTGAGGCATGCTATCAGATTTTTGAGATGCATCTGCTTTATTGAGCGGGATAGAATTATTTACACCAGCTAAGGGGGTGTTGTTTAATGTAGTGGCTACATTTGTCTCAGTATGAGATCTAAGTGATTTTTTCCGATCAGTTTCTCTAACAGGAGAATCTAAAATTTAAAAAAAAAATACATTTAGTTTTATTTAATTTAAAATTATAAAAATAAACATAATAATAGATAAATTGTTTGGCAACTTTCTAGAAAGGTTTTGATTTTTGGACTTTCTTAATAGTCGATCTATTTTAATTAAACAAATTTTAACCAATATCAGGAATATCTGCTTCCTAATAAACTGCATTTAATCATGCTTTATAAAGAGTGAAAAAAGTTCTTTAAGGATCATTGGTCTCGAAAATTCCCACCATTTGTCTACTTGATCTTCTCATTCATTATTTAATAAAATTTTGATAATAACAGCAATGTAATATGTCTCTCAGATTGACTGGATATATCACACTGTAATGTATACTTTTTTATTTATTCAAGATATTTACAACTATAATAAAAAACACATCTAGTAAATTTGTACAAATGAATATGATCACATAAAAACTCTAATAAAATGTCTACACTATGAGGTCATGGAACATCTTCTTTTCAGAGGGGTTATCAGGAATTGAAGAGGAAGCAAGGTTAGAAACGAGAAAGTTGGGATGGTTCATAATTCTATATTATCAAAGTGCGTAGGATTCATAATTCTATATTCAATCAACTTATGCCTGAAATTCATTTAAGGGATTCCCCACATCAACTATCACTAGCTTAACAAAAATTAATCCAGACAATGAGAAAGAAAAAACAGTCCATAGAACAAGAATGTCGGCTGTCACAATTCATTGAAAAAAGTTAATTAAAAAAAAAATCTTACTATGTTTAACTTCTGGTTCATCTTTAGGCTCCTCCTTAGTTTCATTTTTTTCTTCTTTCTTGCTGAAATTTTAAAGGTAAGTAAATCATTAAAATATAAATTTCTTAATGAAAAATCTGTTAAAAAACAACCGCACACAACACTTGTGTAATATTTATATTTTGTCTATGTTGAAGGTTTTCTTCAGGACAATATGCCTGAATATGCAATGGCACTTATGACTAAGGACATTGTGAGATGTATAGGCCTGAAGACCTAAAACGCAGACAAAATAAAAAAGTTACTCAAACATTGTGTGTTATATTGAAGATTTGATTTAAGAATGTGAATGTGTTTTACTCATCCATGAATAGTGCATGATTGAGTATTGACCATAGCCCCCTCCCTCTTACCCCTTCCCTGACTAACCATTCCTTAAATTATACACACAACGGCGCAACAACTCGACACCGAGTCCGGCCCAGAGGCGGGAGGCCTCAAGTAGCCTCCGCCAGTGGCCTTATCCTGTGCAGCAGTCGTCCAGTCCCGCACGCCTAGAACAGTCCTTGCATTCCCCAGTCACATTATCCACCCACCTCATATTCGGTCGACCCACTCTCCTCGTTCCTAAGACGTCTTCTGTGGCTACTTTATTCGGATTCTAACCATTGTCCATTCTGGCTAGATGGCAAGCCCATCAAAGTCTTCCCAGTTTTATATGACTTTAGAGATCTCGATATCTTCAAAGAGTTCGTACAATTCTTGGTTCTTTCGTCCCCTCCATGTCTCGACTACTTTGATGGGTCCATATATCCTTCTTAATATCCTCCTTTTTAACGCCAAGAGCCATTTTTCATCCGCCTTCTTAATGGCCCATGCCTCCGATCCATAAATTAGTGCTGTACAGACTATAGTTTTGTGCAGGCTGATTTGTCTTCCTTGAAAGATAGCGGCTCCTGAAGTTTTTTGATAAGCTGTAGTAGCACCTGTTAGCGGTTATTATCCTATGCTTAATTTCTTAAGAGATATTGTTTTGGGAGTTTATCTCGCTTCCCAAGTAGACAAAGTTATTGACCAGCTAGAATCTGTACTGTCCTACCTCAAAGTACTCCTCGTGATTTTCTAGCCCTCCAAACTGCATATACTTTGTTTTTTGCTGATTTACTCTTAATCCATCTTTTTTTTTGTAGCTCTCACAAGGGCAAGAAATGCTTCCCTAAGGGCTCATTTGAATCTGGCCATTAAGTCAAAATCGTCAGCATAACCCAGCAGCTACAACAGTCTGTTGAACAAGGTCCCACCAACCGAAATACCTGATTTCCTGACGGCTCCATTGATTTCCTGGAAAGTTGGGTTCCACACACATTAAACGACCGCCAAAAAAATAGTATTATGAAATTTGTGCTATACTTCTTTGCCGAAACAAAAATAAGTCTTTTCTGTCCAGAATTGTTACTTGTGAAGAAAATTCGATACTTTACAATAACAGTAAACATTCTGAACAGTGGCTCGACAAAAGAGAATCAGCAGAACATTTTCCAAAGCCCCCAACTCATAAAAAAAAAAAAGGTGATGGTTACTATTTGGTGGACTTCATTTGGTTTGATACACTACAGCTTCTTAAATCCTTGAGAAACCATCAGTGCCGTATCATATTGTAACCAAATTAATGCAATGCATCAGAAATTGGCAATAATAAAGCCATCTTTGGTCAATCTGAAGGGGCCCATTTTGTTGCATGACAATACCCGGCCACCACATGTTTCACGTGTGATGTCATAAAAACTGTTAGAGCTTGAATATGAAACTTCCCCATATCCGCCCTAATTTCAGGACCTCTCACCTACGGATTATCATTTTTGTAGGCATCTTGACCACTACTTAGGTGACAAAAAACTTAATGGACAAAGGGAATTAGAAAATGAGTTTTTGGAGTTCATCAATACTAAAGATGGGAAATTAGATTCCGAGGGAATGGAAAAGCTGCCAACACATTGATAGTAGTTGCAGATTGATAGCAGTGGAGACTATTTTGATTAAATAAAACAATGGTAAATCTTTCTTTTTAACTTTTTAAACCAAAATCCTGCATTATTTTCTGGACAATCCAATAATATATTATATATAATATACAAAGAAATATTTGATGTATCATATTAACTTATTCAAAATATAACTATAACAACAAATATATAATGAATGATAACCAAGGCCCGAATTTTTATGCAGTAAAAAAACACAGAATATGCCATATAATATGCAGTAAAAAAAACTTGAAATATGCAGCAACTAGTCTCTACAAATACTATAAAGTGTCTAATTACTTGATTACTAACCAGGCAAATAACATATTTAAATATAATGACATGCCTACAAAAAGTTTAAGATACTAAAAGAAATTATAGAGGGGTTGAAAATTACAATAATTTCAGTTTTTTATTTTTTTTATTTTTAATATCTAAACTAAAGAAAGAAAATAACTAAACATATACGGCTATTAAGATTATAATATAAATATATACATTATTATGGTAACGAATCACATTAAAAAAATTTAAATATCAAAGTATGTTTTTTATTTTTTTTATTTTTAATATCTAAACTAAATAAAGAAAATAACTAAACATATACGGCTATTAAGATTATAATATAAATATATACATTATTATGGTAACGAATCACATTAAAAAAATTTAAATATCAAAGTATGTAATTGCATAAAAATCCAGGCCTTGATGATAAAGAAATTACCGTTAGAAACTATCTTATCTTTGAGATGAGGTGGTATACTTACATCGGTTTAAGAGATAAAGTTTTAGTTGTAAAATCATTAAACTGAGAACGTTCCTGAGGATAGAGAAGTGAAAGTTCTGTCATAAAATCAATATAAACTCTCAAACCATCAGCAACTTCACGACAAAGATTAGCTCTGAAAAAAATTAATAAATACAAAAATTACATTGAAGTATACATAATTAATGACATTTCATACCATTATCTGAATTAATTACTAACTTTTAGCATTATAATACAGTTACATTCTGGCTATTGCATCAAAAATTAAATTTATGTAAAAAAAACATACTTAAAATGCAATGGTACAGAATCTACACCCTTTTGAAAAAAACATTAATAAAAGAATAAATTGATGAATTGGTCTATAAGAGTCTATTTGGTAGATAATTATATATGCAGTAAAACTTCTCAGTAACAGACAATTATGGGGAATCAAAATTGATCTGTTAAAGAAAAATGTCTATTTTATTAGAGAAATTGGAAGTAAAACATGATAAAACAGATAAAATATAGCAGCCATATATCTGGAAAATTAAACCATTTATTAATTTTGAATATGCATCGAAATGAAATAGTTTCCACTATTTTAAGTTATTTTGATGACTGTCATCTGTAGAACCGAGAACAAAACGTTAAACATTGAATCTCTATTTCAAAACTGAATTCCAAATGTATATAATTAAACTAAGCTACTATAAATAGGATTAATGGTCTCAGAATATAATTCCTGCTGTACGTTATGGAAAAAATTTTCATTAAAAAGAATTGTATCAAGCCAGTCCACATCAGTTAAATAGAACGTTCATTATTCAGAAGTTATTTACACTGTAAAATTATTTAAATCAATAGTGAAACACAGGAGAGAGCTTAGTAGTCAGTGAGTAAGGTACTCCTTTTCGCAAGTATCAAGTTGTAGATAATTAGTTATTCTGTTTCATCAGCTGTGAACTCCAAGACCCTTTATGAATTTTAATAGTACAGTTTTTTTTTTTTCTTAGTTAAACACAAGCATCTTACTTAGCATTCAACATAAAACAAATTTCCCAAATAATTAAAATGGTGAAAGACATTATTTTAACTTAATTATGTTTAAGTAAGCAATAATATTACTGTTATAATATTTTAAATTTCTAAACTAAATAGGCCTCTCATATATAGGAGAAGTGATTTCTAAAACATGATTTAAGACCAAATATATGAAATAGAAAATACCTAATAAATATTTCAGCAACTGTCATATGGGCATTCTTTCCAGCAGTAGGCCTTAGGTGGCCTCTCTTATGACATAAAAGTCTAATTTGATTTATTGTAAAATCTTTCATGTAAGCCTCAAGTATTTCTACAGCATTTGGAGAAGCAGGTAACTTCACTAACTAAAAAGAAAATCAAAATACAAAATAAATAAATATACACTTCAAAGTTGAAATAATAAAAACATTTATAATTTTGAATAAAAAAAGTTCTAAGAACTACCAATTCAATTTGAATTATTCTTGTTGCATTAAATAAACTGGTTAGTAAGGAAGGCTTAAGGCTTAATAACATCATTTTGTAACCAAAATAAAGGGAGCAGAAATCATAGACATCAATCAATATAGAAAACTACAGGCAATTATGCAAGCACAGCTACCTAATAAAGTATTGTTAAAACCACTATCAATATAGTGCAGGGAACTTTTAAACATATTGGACTCAACTTAAAGCGGACGCAACACGATCAATCGTAATCAAATTCAGAATGATGATTGACATTTTGATAGATTGTGTAAGGTTAATATTGATGCAGTATTGTAGTCTAGAACTAAACTGATGGATTTTCAAAAATCCTGGAATCATGAGAAATGGAGGAGAAACAAACCTAGCATTTAGATAGGTCTCACAAGGAATGTATATTCCAAATTTTCATTTAAACTACAGTTTTCCATATTCAGTGGCGAATCCAGGAATTTTCTCAGGAGGGGGGGACTCTGAACCTATGTACCAGGTGCTTTCCACACCCCTACCCATCTCCCCCCACTCCTTAGCTTCGTTTAGTCGCTCAAAAGTCCTCTTTAAATGGTTTTAACAAAAGCAAACTCTATTTTTATTTAAAGTAAATTTTGTCTAGTTTACAGTTACAGTGAAGCAATCGTTAATTGCTTGAATTGAATAGCTTTTTTAGCTGTCACTTCCTATTAAAAAAACAAGTGACACATAAAAAACCACAAAACTTTAATTCCCTACTTTTCTGCTGAAAATTGAACTATTGTTTATATAAACATTTTTTGTATTTATTGAGTTATGCTATAAATCCTTTAAATATTTCCCTCTACTTACGGGATACCCTGTATATGAGTTTAGATATGTAAAAAACTAAATTGCAAACACGGGTTACCAAGAGAAAACTTTTAACAGCCAAAAATCCAGATTTATCTGATTTTTTTTTTTTCATGTATGTACTAAACAGTGCATCAAAGCGAAAAACATATTCTTTAAGAAATTAAAGAACCTCAAATTGTGTACCTAAACTTAATAATTTGATTAAGTGATATGGTCGATAACCAATCAATGAACGCTAACTTTTACTGACATTGTCCAAATCTGAGACAGATTACTATAAAAGGTCCTGCAGCTTGAAAATGAGTTCTCTAAGAAAAAAAGGTCAGAATAATTTTCAATTCCGGTCATAATCAGATTCTGATCAAATCGGAGACCAAATAATTAGTACCTTCCTTCATGAAAATATTCCCAACAGCGGCTATTTTAAGAAAAGAACAACACTTTTTAATGAGAAATATACCTATTATTATCGTGACTAGTTTTATAAATTTCGTAGATTCTTCAAGGAGGCTATATTTGCTGGAAGTTGCAATGTGTCCAGATCTATTGGAACTGAATAAAAACTGGGTCCAGGAAAAAACTCGTATTTTCTTGTGCATGAATAAAAAGTTGTTCGAAAGATTAAATGAAGTTCATTTTTTTCCTCCATGAAATTGAAAATATTCCTCCATCATGTATTTCACCTGTAAGACTCAGTTCGGGAGTCAATAGGAACAAACTGCGACTGGAGCACAAGCCTTTGCAGTCTCACGGCGGCCTAAAACCTACATCACTTTATCCTACAAGCTAACTTTTATTCTTAAATTAAATCTTTGTTTCGAAAAATTCTACCAAGCACCAAAGGCCGGGCGCAAGTTGATCCACAGCCTGGTGAGGTGATGTGATAAGACAAACTGTAAGATTAATAAAAATTGTCATGATATATTCTTTTTTAATACTACATTAGAAAATTTGTCTATGAGGATGAATTCTCTCTATATTTCTCTTTTCTTTAAATAGCTCATTTTTGGACTTTTTTGACCACCGTCCAAGGGGAGAGTTGCCCACTTGCAGAATTCGCTAGTGTTGGTCACAACAATAATTTTTTTCCCTATTACATTAGAAAATTCGTCGATGAGGATGAATTTTCTCTATATTTCTCTTTTCATTAAACAGCTGCTTAAAATATTAGTTTTCAAAAGGAAAGTAATTTGGAAGATATTTGGTTCAGTTAAGGATAATTAGACGCAACCAAAAAATACCTAACTTATACAAGGAGCCGGATATGTTGAAATATATACGGATAGCAAGGCTAAGTTGTATGGATGGATGAGACCTCAGTCCCAAAGAAGCTGCTGAGCATGGAACAGTTGGAGTTGAATCTTTATTTTAATTTATTTTTTTTAATTAATAATTATTACTGCTCTGGACAATGAACACTTGTAACTCATAAATTACAAATTTAACTATATGAGACAACTGTTGATTTAGTTCGTACAACTAAACTATTCTATTTCAAATTACCTTATTGCTGTTGTTAATAAGCGAGTGATCAGTATCCAAAAGGGCTTGAAGACCAGGGCTGAATGTTGTTTGGACTCCGCCCCCGGCCTCTCCTTCACTATCACTTTCACCACCTCGTTTCTCATTGTCAGAGCCCGTTCTGCTTAGGGTTCTTCTCTTACGTCCTCGGCGATAAAGATTACCGCCACTGACAACACAAAAACTAATTCTTTTGCTAATAAGTAATATAATCATCAGTAAATAAATAGATTATAAAGTAACATCAATATATATATTTAAATATATATATATTAAATTACAATCCAAATGATTGGTTATTATACGAGTTATTGTAACGTTTTGACTTTTCAAAAAGAAGTATCTTCACCATGAGTTAAACCCAAATCCTAAGCATTCACATTCCCCTGTTAGATGAAACTTCGATAACAAAAATAAAACAAAACCAACCAACAAGTGGGCTGTGTAATTGCCTCTTTATCAATCATTTCATTGTCTGCAATTATCTTACCGTCTCCATCACAATCAATGATAATAGTTGGATTTATTCAATAACATAAGATTGATTTAATAGTTTGTAAGGAAAAGTAACTAAATAATTAAAAATTAAAAAACTTCAATAAATGTTACAAAAAAGGATCATGAACTGTCTTGTTTGTGAAAAAACTGCTGACTAATTGGGACCAAGTGTCAGACAAAAACAAACCATATAGTTTATAAACATAAAGAAACAGAGACAGCTTTATTACAATTTGCTTTAATTTATTCAAATTAATGCTTGACAATGTATCTAACTTAAATGGTTAAATCCCTATTCTGTGCGTGTGTTTTTTTAAATACTTTTTGAATTCTTCAAACTTCTAAACTAACAATATTCATAAGAAAGTTTTAGAACGAGGATTACTTGAAAACAGAGAATAATGGCTGGTATTAACATAAGACTAATTTTTTAATTCAATTTTTAAGATTTGAGAATTCGAAAAAGGATCAATAGGTTATCAAACAGTATTTTTCAACCGATTACAGTACTTCAACAACCTCTGACAATTGAGAAAATCTATTATTCAATCAATATCAAGATGAAATTAAAACATCTAGGCTAGAGATAACAATATATTTTCTTAAAAAAGTGAAAGGTAATAATCATTTTTAGTTGACAGAGAACTTAAGAGAATATAACTTAATACAGAAAAACAGAGTTATAATTTACACCTATAAATAAAATGATAACTAACAAATTCTTTGACTTATAAGGTAGTCGTAATTGAATGGGATTAATTAGTTTCAAGACACAAACCAAGAAATCATAGAAGGATAGCATGCAGTTATCAGTGGCATTACTTTAATTAGATGATTGCATCATAAGCCTCCTCCTCACTTCAAATTCAATCTTGAAGGTAGTTTTCTAGTATATAGCATGAAAGTAAAATAAAGATTGTACTTGAAAATGAAAAAAATCATAAAAATTACCTGTGAACACTTTTGTAAAAGAAATTAATATTTATGTAACACTAAACAATACAAAACAATTGTTTTCATTATTGAAAACAGTTAAAAAAACATTGATATAAAATAAATAACAGAAAGTACAGTTTTAAAAATATATTTCTACTTCAGTAACTAACAACTCTAATCCTTGCAAAAAATTGAATAACAAGCTAATAAAAAAAAAATTGAATATGGACACTCTATAAGCAGGAATACTGACCTATTAGCATCACATATAATATGATTTTTAAAGTTAATAATAAGTGGAAGCGAACTTAAAGTATCAAAATTTTAAAAATTGATTTTAGTGAAATATAATGGAAAAAATAATATTAATATCTTTGAGCAATAGAGTTGGTTTGCTTGAATTCTGCACGCTAAGTAAAATAAACATACACGTCAATAATCTACAAATATTTGTAATTTAAAAATTATAATGAAGTTACTTGTTTAAAAGAAGTATTGAAACATCGTGTTCTCTACTACATTCTCCAGAAGGTCTAAAGTGCATCATGAATTTAAACACAACTACCAGAATACATTAAATAGTTGGAACAAAAGTAGGAAGAGGCAGATACAAACTGAACAACTTAACCATCACCTTAAGATATACAGAAGTTATGGCTCAAAGCTGTATAGAAATATCATAGGTAGCAGCACTGACTCTAAAATATACAAATAATATATACAATCTTACTAATCATATATTGTTAAGAAAGAGGTATTTGCTTAGTTAATTAAAACTTTGTTGATAGTTAATTCAAACTTTGTTCATAGTCGGGGATGGTTCAAGAAAATTGATTGTGCTTGTTTTTTTTTAATTTAAAAGGAACATAGACATATTTAATTTTCTTTAAAATAGTTAAACAAACTAATAAGCAATTTGTTCATAAAATGATAATGAATTTGGTTATAAAATAGGTGAATTTCTTAACAACACAAATTTCTTAATGATTAATCCAGGTTAAAAAATAAAAAATGGGAAAAATATTTAAGTTGATTTGAGTAAAATTCAATGCAACAAACATTCTCATACCCCCGAAAAAAGAGAAAGACTAAAAAAAAAAAAAAAAAAAAAAAAAGAAAATACAATTCACCAGGAAGAATATTGAGTTTAAAATGCAATAATTGTCTTTTATAAACAAGTTATCTCTCAAACCATGATAAAACATAAGAAATAAACAAGATCGAATAAAGTATAATACAACTTGTCCTAATGAAAACACAATAATTATAATTATTTAAAAAAAACTCACGATGTAAGTTGAGCCTTTTCAGCAAGCTCTTTCTGCAATTTTCGGTTTTCCTCCGTGTCTTTTAATATATAGTCTTCAGTCACAAATCGATCCCAAGTCGAATTCCAACCCTGAATAAAACAGTTTTTAAAATTCAGTCGGAATGAATTATGTCAATATTCCATTCCATTTGACAAAAACTAACCTGAAAATGAATTAAAAAATGGACAACTTTCTTTCCACTTTCATCCTTCTTCTCACCAATGCCCAAAACCTGTCAGATCATTAAACATAAAACCAAATAATCAAAATAAAGATAGTTTCCAATCAATATTTGAATTTTCAGACATATGAAAGCAATAATTTGAGAAATGATAAGGAACAACAATAGGTCATCTGTCATGAATACCCTAACTATGAACATCTATAAGAGAATTACCTTCATAAATTCAGGAAAAATCAAAACAAAGTAAATTTAATAATAAAAAATTAATCCTTCAGAACATCACTAGAGCCTACCAATAGGTTCACTATCCACTGATATTAAATAAAATAGCCATAAATAGTACTAGGCGAATTTAAACAAACAAAGACAAGTAAATTTTGTTACAAATGAGAGTAGAAAGTATTTTACAAACATCAATTACTGGTAACACATTGAATTGATACCATCATTAAGGAGAAAGAAATTGAACTAAATAGTTAACAATACTACTATAAACAAACTGATTTAACTTTAATAGGGATAAACACTGTTCACCTTTGAATTATATAAAACTTTTGTTTTAGCAGGATCAGGTTCATAACACAGTACTTTTTCTCCCTCGCTAAATTTATGTTTCACACTTCTTGTTGACACCATTGTAAAACTTCATAATAAATTATTTTAAATAAAGGTAATAACGACTAAGAACCGCATTAACAGACCGCGAAAACCACCGTTAGTAATTCTTTTGTATCATTAACTAGCTTGGTACAATTGTAAGCAGCGCAGTCTATTACCTTGATAAAATACTAAACTGGTTGTTCGGGTATTCGAATGTAATCAAGTACTAGGGTTAATACTTGCTTAAATCTATAGCTTATGTATTTATTTTTCCTGTAGTGAGCTTAAGATTATTATTTTATTAGAATATAGTGTACTGGTACATATAGTTTTTGTATTAATTAGTTTCCTGACTTTTTCAATTTATGTAAGTTAATCTGACAGTTATCCATATTCAAAAGAGGGAAAAGGAGTAAATTTCGGCACCCTCTTATTTAACTTGAAGCTACTATAGCGAGTTTAATCAATGACTAAAGATATAGCAGTTATTAATATATATTAGTTTAAATGGACCATCATCCGCCCAATCATTGTACCGGTGTTGACCACTGGCCCTACACGTTGGAGGAACGGTACACAAACACAGCCCACCATACACGAGATCAAATGGAACATCCAGTCTAGCCTTCTCTCGGAAGCCGTCACGATTAAAGATACAGCTCTATATACATAGATGTAGATTAGACACATCAGCAGAGATAATATACTAGACGCAGACAGTTAACAGTCCTACTGACAAAAACACTTGGAATCATGAAATCTAAAATATCTTCGAATCAAACAAGTCAATTAAGGAAACGACCCGGCAATCAAACAAAAAGAGCAACTTAGCGCAAAGGAAAGCATTATTCTTGCATCGATAGGGAGCTCTGAAAAAGCTCCTAGACCAGAGGTAATAAGAGTGCGAGTATTGACTCGGATGATTACTTGATTAAAGCGTACCTACCTACGAGATGATATAAAATTGTCAGGAAAGAAGCGGGATAAGGGCTAGAGCTGCCCACCATCATTAAATACACTGGAATCCAGAAAAACTGTCACGAAGAACTGGAAGAATTTTTACACGACATACATTTTTGACCCAGAAGTAGATAAAGATATCGGCTGGACAGTCAATTCTAAAACAACAAAAGGAATTCCAGAAAAACGGACCCTCAAAAAGGGAATCCTGGCCATCCTGGTTTTACAAAGAATGCCAGGTTATTCTATGCAGTAAAAAACCTAGGCTACTAGCAATGTATTTTCAGGAAGATAAACCATTAACTAACAGAAAGTCGATAACAAATATTATCAAAGTGTATAAGGATTAGGAAAGAGCCTAATAACGTGTAGAACTAACTTAGTAAGTGACAAATTATACAAGGGAGATTTAAAAAATGGCCGAGCCGTCTTATGCTTCAGAAAAACAATTGTTATGGAGGCGATGGCCTCAATTACAGACAACTTTCAGAATCGACTTGGAATCCGGAAAATAGTAACAAGCCATAAGCGTCTTAACGAAACCGAAAGAGGCCAGCGAAGGGAATGCGATGAAAACAAGTAACCGCAACTGTATAACAATAATTATAAGAATCCTGAGGTTTGTAAGAACTAAGGAGTACAAATATTGCCTTAAGTCGTTGATAACAGATCAATACTAAGCCACTACTTATTTTCGTTAATGGTTTTGAAAACTCTTCAGCGCTGGTAAAATTCTTGCAAAATGTATGTTGTCCAACATCATATAAATTAAAATTAATTACTAAAAATATCAGCTTATCCAAATATCCACTACTAGTAATTAAAAACTAACATCATTCCACTCCAATATCAGTTAATGTTGGAGAACTAAAAGTTTGTGGATTCGATTCTCCAACGTTTAAAATAAAAGTAATTTATCGTACTCAGGTGATCATTCACGAACTACGGAAAAAAGAAGATATATCTCAGTGTAATCGGTACGCACAGCATGATCACTCTAAGACCTACTGCAATCATAAACCCAAGTGTTAGGCACTGCCAAAAACATAAAAGTTTCTCCTGTTAAGAGAGTGTTGCCTTCAGCAGGAAGACAACAACAGAACGAACGCTGAAAATGTCCCTCTACAAATTTATAATTTACTAAATGCATTAAATAATAGTCCTGTGTCCATCCTTCCGTGGAAGACAAAAACTGACTTTAAATAGTCAAACGCTTTTTTAAAATAAATAACATAAAAGTTGGCATGAACTTAAGTGAAAAACGAATTGATGTATTGCTAACCGAAACATACCTCATTTCAAATAATAAGGTAAATTATTTCAAGAAATAAAGTACATTATTTTGAAGACTTGAAGATTGCTGACGACCAGGTGCTCATCGCTTCAGAAGCAGTAGATGTAGAATACATGATGAGAAAAATTCTCCCGGAATACTCAAACTAAGGCTGGAAGTTAGAAAATAAAAAACTGTATATAGGGTCTTTAATAACCAAAGCAAATATGTTCAAATGGACAATTGGACGTTGGACCCTCAAGTTCAATTTAAGTATCTTGGAAGCTGGGTGAATATGACAGAAACATCAGACCTGGACATTGAAAACAGATAAGCAATGGGAAAATGATTATTAGCACCTTAAACTCGGTTCTGTGGAGGAAATCAGTGTCCTTAAAAACAAAAACAAAAAATTATTTATAAATCGTTCCTGGAAAGTGTGACTCTCTATCCAGCCGAATCGTGGACAATTTAGGAGAGTAAATCAAACCGATTGCTAGTCCGAGAAATGGACTGTTGGAGGCGATAATGTGACGTCTCTCGTCTTCAAAAAGTTCCAAAGAATGAAATGGAATGGAGAACATCCTCCATACCATTGAAACTATGAGGCTCAAGTGGTCTGGACATATGATGAGGATGGAAAAGGGACGATGGCCTCAGCGAATTTGTAATTGCAAACCAGAAAGAAGACGGAAGAAAGATCGCCCGAGGAGAACATGGTATTATGAAATGATGAACAGGGGTATACGTGAAGAAGATTGGCAGGATAGTAGAAGATGGCAGAGACTTGTTTTTGATGACGATATATGACTAGGATTGTAAAAGTCGTTAAATATAAATAAATTTAAAAGAAAAATCATATTGAAAACACAATGAACAGCTAAAGAAAAAAATATCGAATTCTGCCGCCCAGAGTAGCTGCACCCTTTGCCCATATCTACTTCCGACTCTGTCACAAACGCTTAACGGTATAATTTTTCTGTTTTCTAAGGATGTGCCATTTCTACTAATCTCTTCAGTTTCCTACGTCACAAAGAGGTTGATTACTTCTTCTAGAGATATTACACGCATATTTCTGGACGTTTACTCAGATGGTTCATTGAAGGTCCCGCCGATCCAGTCTGTTCTATAGTGTATGGAAATGCGTCTCTGCGTCATCATTAAATCTGGTTTTGGTTTGCCCATCATAGTTCCTGTTTTTTTTCTCCTGCAAATATGGTGTTGCTAAAAGGTGGCTGTAGGTACTATGCTCTCTCCCTCTCTGCAGGAAGCAATTGTAGAATAGAATAGAAAAATCAATCTTATTCTTATTCTAGGCACAAAATATAATAAATAAATATATAGGCGAAGGTTGTTGATTATTTGGTAAAGGAATGTGCCAAGGAAGTTTTGTCTTCTGAGGGAGGGAAAGAGCCTCCCTAACAGCACAATATGAAAAACACGGGAACGTCTCAGGGTCCCATTAATGAATCTTATGAAGCTATTCATACCCTTCTTAGCCGTTCTCCGAGAAGAGTATTCGAGTATTCGGGTCTTCAAGTTTTCATGAACATAAATAGCAACACCTCCGCCAGTTCGGCTGACCTGTTCGTGGCGGATTAGGGAGTAGTAAGGAAGGAAACAGGGTTGTAAGGAGAATGGATGTAAGGCTTGGACCAGGTTTCGGAAATCGCAATGATGTGATCAAAAATTTCGCTAACATAGTCTTTCATAGTGGGCTTGGAAGGATTGAGAGTTGATGTGACAGGTAGTTTGGGCACTAGAAATGAATAGGATTTAAGTAGGTAAATGAGAGTAAAGTAGGTATTCGATGGAAATACTCTAGAATAGATATGGAGCATTAAATTACCTGAAGTAAAAAATTAAAATATAAGAAGGAAACTGTCTCCTTCAAAATGTTAAAAATTTAATTCACTGAATCACAAAAATCAGCTTACTGACGATATAAAGACAATGCATATAATTAAATAGGAAAAATAGCTGACATTTTTCAAGTTCAAAAATTTGAAAATCTGTACCTCCTAAACTATTCGATTTACTAAGCCTGTTCTAGTATTATATTGTAGCATATTTAATCTTGTTTAAAACTGTAGAATGTTTTTAGTCGAAAACGTGCTCCTTCATTGCTAAAATGGACCAAAACCATAAAACGTGTGAAAATATAACAGTTTTGGAGGTTTTAAGAAGAGATCTGGGAGAGGGAGGGCTCCGAGGTCGAAAACTTGGATTCTGCATCTCAGTCACATCCCATACATGAAAAAAAAAAAAAAAGAAACCTACTCCTATTCGATGAAACTTACTATATACAAGGTTACTGGGCTAATTGTGATATATCTATGATTTTTATAGATTGTATTGTAGACCCCACTTTTCATGATAAGGTTACTGGGCTACTAGTCCAAATTACAAATATAGCAAAGCGAGATCACTAATTTAGATTGCTAGTCAAACCACTAATTTAAATATAAAATAAAATAAATATCAGTGAACTAATAAAATGTAGTCACTAATAAAATATCTGTTTACTTCAAATAGTGATGGGGCCATATGGCCGGAGCTGTGATCCTGTCACTGTGACTGGGCCGGAGCTGGTGATCACAATGACAGGTTCATCGAAATCACAGTGACAGTCACTGTAGCCGCTGTGAAATCACTGTACGCCAGAGATGGGCATATTTATATTCAAAAATATAAATACGAATACCATTTATATTTATGGTACAAATGAATATAAATACGAATATATTCGTATTCATAAAATGTATTATGAATACAGAAGATACGTATTCACGACTGTAAATATAAATACGGCTGTATTCACGACTGTAAAAGTGAATACGACTGTATTTACACCTGTAAAAGTGAATACGGCAGTATTCAGGTTTACTAAAATGAATACGGTTAAATTTACACAAGTGAATGGAAATATTTTCACAAAATCTTATTAATGAATACTCTTATTTATTTAAAAAAATGTATTTATTAAATTATTTATTTAAAAAAAAATGATTTGCTATATATATCATTTTATTTTTATAAATAGTACTATTATTATCCCTTTTACAATATGTTTTGTTAATTATGTTGCAATGTATTATGTTATGTTAATTATCACATATTCACGAATGTAAATATAAATATGGCCGTATTCACGATTGTAAAAGTGAATACGGCTGTATTTACACCTGTAAAAGTGAATACGGCAGTATTCAAGTGAATACGGCAGTATTCATGCCGTATTCACTTTTACTAGTATAAATACAAAGGTTCGGGAATTTATAATACGTACAAACATTACAAGTGATAATTAACATAACATAATACCTTGTAACATAATTAAAATAGCATATTGTAAAAGGATGAATATAATACTATATATAAAATAAAATGATATATATAGTAAATATATTTTTTTAAATAAATAATTTAATAAATACATTTTTTTAAATAAATAAGATAATTCATTAATAAGGTTGTGTGAAAATATTTGCATTCACTTCTGTAAATTTAACCGTATTCATTTTAGTAAACCTGAATACTGCCGTATTCACTTTTACAGGTGTAAATACAGTCATATTCACTTTTACAGTCGTGAATACGGCCGTATTTATATTTACAGTCGTGAATACGTATCTTCTTTATTCATAATACATTTTATGAATACGAATATATTCGTATTTATATTCATTTGTACCATAAATATAAATGGTATTTGTATTTATATTTTTGAATATAAATATGCCCATCTCTGCTGTACGCCAACAGTGACGATCACTGTCCTCCCAACAATGACGGTCACTGTAGGCGCTGTGAAATCACTGTCCTCCCAACAGTGACGGTCACTGTTGGCGCTGTGAAATCACTGTCCTCCCAACAGTGACGGTCACTGTAGGCGCTGTGAAATCACTGTAGGCGCTGTGAAATCACTGTCCTCGCAACAGTGATGGTCACTGTAGGCGCTGTGAAATCACAGCTCTGACCACTCAGCTCTATCACTTCTTTTTCGTTCTAGCAATCTGGGCATTGTTGACTTCATTAATTTAATAAATGAATTAAAGAAATAATCATGAAATAATCATTTCTAAATTAATAGTTATTCGTAAAATTTTATTTAAAATATTTTTGAACTTCAGATGAATTGAGCATTCATTGCCACATATTTCTGAATGAGTTATGTCTGAAATAATTAACAGGAAGTTTTTCATTTAACTGTTGAAATATAAATAAAAAAATGAATTAAAAATTAAATAAATTCAAATATTCTCTGCATGGCTGTACACAGAAACCAAAGGATCCCAGAGATATTTTCTCCCATCAAATATAAAATTTATCACAGGAAAAAAAAAAATTATTTTAATATAAGTTTAAACGGGGGCGGGGTGGCCGAATGGGCTAAAGCGTGTGCACAGCACCGCGAGTTGCCTGGCAACCGGATTACAGATTTGAGAATATTTAAAAAGTGCGAGTTCGCGTCTCGGTGCCGGAGGGGATTTTACATTCCCCCGGCCCAGGAAAATCCCGTATAGCCCAAATGGCGAGGTAGGGAAGAACAAACAAAAAAAAAATTATATATATGTAAGTTTAAACTTTAAACATGTAAACTATAATTTCACAGTGACGCTTTCGCCAAGGAGCCATTGTATATTTGACACCGGAAAAAATCACTGTAGTGACAAATCACTGATTTGTCACAGTGATTTTCCCGGAGCTGTCATTGTCGGAGCTGTGACAGAAAATCTCTGTCATCACACCCCATCACTAACTTCAAAACTAAGTCGCAGCCTCCCAGATCTAGATGAACATTTATCTTGCTTTTCAATAAGATTATTAACAAGAATATGGTTTGTTTGATAATAATTAAAATAATAAAAATATTTTATTTTGTTTTTATATTTTATTAAATTCTTTAAACGCTACTTGTTATTCCCTAAGTCCTGATATATGTTTATTATTATTCCATGCGTCTAGTTTTTTGTCCTGGCTTGGTAGCGTTTGTTGGATTGTGTTTGTTTAGTTTAAATGTTGTACAGGTAATTCAAAAATATATGAATCATGACTTTGGGAAAACCTCTTAATACCACAAACAAATCGTAAGCCTTACAATTCTATAATGATCTAACTAGCTAAATGTTTCCTATGGATAATTTGCTTTATTTTATGAAAGTGTATCTTTAGTTAAAATATGACTCATATTAATATAATTATCTTATGAAATAATGTTTAATGTGTTATAACATAAATATTTTTTAGCTTTATTTATACTTAGTACATCCCTTTTTTATGTTTAATTATATATTAGTTTCTGGTTTTGTTCTAGCTCTCAGCCGCAAACTGCTAAGTGTCAAAAATGTCTTGAAGTTGGCCATTGGACATATGAATGTAAAGGTAAAAGAAAATTTTTACATCGTTCTTCTCGAACAGCTCAGCTCAATAAAAGAATAAAAGCAATTGAAGAAAAATTGAATGGCGCTTCTGAGTAAGTATCCTTATGACATTGAACATGTAATTCAAAGATTATTTATAATCCGTAGTTAACATTTTACTGCAAAGTATAGATTTATTTTTGCATACTTTAATTTATACTATCAGCTGCTTGTTGCAAACAATTTGGGTACTAGTTCACAAGAGTTCCGCACGGATTACGCATGGTTCACAATCACTTCAATCACACTTGTTCATGGAATCTCAAAAACAGCCGAATGTTGTCGTCTTTTATGACGTCAGCTATTGTCCCTCTTAATGCATTTTTGAAAGAAAAAAAACGTATTCCCTTCGTGGAACTTCCTTATTAAAAATGTATTAAGAAATTGTGTATTTACTTAATTAGTTAATTATTAATTTGTATTATAACGGTCACTAGTGTGAAAGAAAAAGAAAACATATATAAAATAATGTTTGAGTCTTTCTTCAAGGCCTGTAAAAAAAAAATGCTTTTAGAAATAAAATTTTTATTGACACGTGCTTACATGTAGTGGCTATAAATACGCATATACTATTATATATTATCTATTATAAATTGTATAAAAGAGTTTTTTATCATTTGAATAATAAATAATCCGAATGGCTATTATTGTAGTCATTCATAAAATAAAAAAAATCGTGTTTATTTTCGAGTAAGGAATTAACGTATTGAGGAAAGAACTGAAGAAGAATATCTGATAATTCCGAGATAATGAATAATGGAAATCATAAATAAGAGAAATATTGTGAAATAGCATTCAGAGATGTAATAATTAAATGTTTTTATCTATTAATATTCCTTTTTCACATATATATAATATATGTGCATGTTCGATTCAGATTTCATAATGTGTAGTCTAAATTTCGAATTTAAGTCAATACCTTAAATAACGTTAATATAACAGAACATGGTTAAGGTTATAGAAGTACTTAAATGGCGGGAAAGTTAATCGTAACTAATTCAAGAGATCGGTCGCCTTCGTTCTCTGTCGGATAAACCCGAAGGCATTCGGGATTCCATGAACAAGTGTGACCGAAGTGATTGTGAACCATGCGTAATCCGTGAGGAACTCTTGTGAACTAGTACCACAATTTGAATGGCTTAATATCAAAGAAGGACATTTGTCATTTAAAAAGAAATTCGCAATCAAAATAGAGGGATGTTACACACATCAACAGGTCAATTCTCGGTATTCCATTTACTGTGTGGTCATGAGATCTTGTGCCAATCTATCAAAGTGGAGTAGCATTGAATAAATTGTTATCCCTCCCTACTATCAGTATAAATCCATCAGACAAGTAACTTCAATACTTACAATCAATACTTCCCTGGATGGCTAATTGTCTGGAATATCACAGAAGCAATGAAATTATGAAACATTTTGAAAATAAACCAGAAGCGGTCGCCTGAAAGTATTGGCTGGTCAAGGCAAAAGATTAATAGTACACAAAGTGGTTGAAAACCCACAGTATTCTGTTCATGCAAGGTATAATAGAAATAACTTTAAAAAATGTGTCGTTTTTTTTTAAAACTATCTTAAATGTGCAAATTTTCATGGTTCGGGTTTCAACGATAAACTTTCATGTAAATGAGCAGAATATATCTCTTGAGAGAATACAATCTGGAATGGGTCTTAGCTTTCTTAATGAGCCTTTGTTATTCAACTCTGTCCAGTGTTGCCGCATTCCAATTTCCTGACTCCTAATAGGCTTCTTGCATCCACTGGCACTCCATCAGCCTTCGAGCTTTCTTCGAGAGTTCTTGATGAAGAACCTCTTAACAATCTTCTCGGGGTCACTTCCCCATTCATTATGGCATAGTGAGCATTCTCTCTTCATGCCTGTGAGCAATCAAGATGGATTCTTGTTGACTGTTGATGTATTGGTTATATTTAGTGCCTTTAAGGACTGTTTCTGATTTTAAATCTCTACCACAATGACACTTCTTTGTACTATTGTCACTTTTTATATAACCATGAACAATTAATGTTCTGGATCTCACGTATAAATTGGGGTAGTCTGTGGGCCTGACCCCCTATAGTGCACTCTCCTTCCCCCCTATAAATTGCATGTTGTTGTGTTCCTTGTAACTATTTATTACAACTAAGCCCATATTCTAAAAAAAAAAAAAAGTGGACGCACTGTCCCAAAGATGGTGAACTGACGACTTAGTCTTCAGTAATTCTTTTAAACGTTCTGCCTCACCGTCTAACCTACTCGACTTGGGACTCTTTGATGCTGCAGATCGTGGTCATATGTTGTATCTTGTATATGTTGGCCTGTAAAATGTTAGAACTATTTAGATGTATTCTGGACTAATGCTGTAGATTTTGTGATATTTTTCTAATTTATCTTACTAATTTTACTTCGTTTAATCCATATGTTGGTAATCATAATATCATCATTCAGTTGTTTTGCCAAAATTCTAATGGTTCTACCCTTTCTTCATCTATCACATTTTTCTTGTTCTTATAAACTTTTCCCTTAGTTTTAAATATGACATTTATAAAGTAGATTGATCTAATTTTTTTGAATACGAGTAAAAAAATAAAACCATCACTAAATTATTTACAAATTCATGAAATGTAGCCAGTAATGGATTGTATTCATATTGTACATCATTATGAATAAAACTAACACTTCAGGTTACATTTTCAACCTAAAATTATTTTATCAATTATTTATATTCAACATCTTTATAAAGGATGCTCTAATTACTTTATAAAAATAGTTGATTGCTGATAATGGCACGGCAGATCAACTGGTGTCTGAGAATATTTCAAGGTTTCCTGCCGTTTCCTCCCTTCCCATACGATCCCAGATTATTGTCCGCCCATTCTACAATTTGCTCACACTTGAAAATTTAGGAAAATGTTATTTTACTGAAAAGTATGATTGTTTTTTTCACACCCTGATGTAAGCTGGGCCTAGGATGACTGTTCTATTCATTTCAAGGTAAGTCTCTGGCCTTGGTGAAAGAAACTAGTCCGACATGTGTGTCTTGTGGTCTCTTTTGCAAATACCTGAAGGCTATTTAGTTCCTGGGTGGGTGTCTACTGTCGTGTACTATCCAAAATATAAATACCAACATTTATTTCTTTGGGCTTCAAAAAATAAATATTAACCGATCTAGTTCGGAATCGAACCCACACTGTTCTAAACTGGTATTCTATGACCTTCGCTCCTAAGTGCATGGCCCTCGCGGTCTTTGAGTAAAATTAAATTTAAATTAAAACAAATGATTAGCTAGGAGAAAACAATTTTTCCTGACAGATTTCCTTTCTTTTAGGAATAAATATAACCCATCCATACAATTAAACAATATATTTATGTCTTTTTTTCTTTTCAGTAAAAAGATAATTCATACCATACTTATGTTTCAGAGAGCCTAAACAAAAAGAGGATGATACTTCCAGCAGCTCAAGCTCAGAAAGCAGTTCATCATCGAATTCTTCTCCTGCAGCCTCTGATAGCTCATCTGATTCTAGTTCTTCCAACTCCAGTGATTCAGAGACATCTGATTCAGAATCAGAGTGATTCTTATTAGGAAATCTTTATTTTATTTGTATCTTGTGTACATAATGTATTTTTGTACATAATTTCTCTTGTTTTTTTTACTAGAATTTGTATTTTTAAATTATAAATATTATAGTTTATTAGATTTATTGACTGTTAGTGTTTATATGAATGTTCTTATAAATATATAATTATGTTAGATATATTTTTTTTAGTAGGAAAAACTTTTTTTTCCCATTCTAAAAATATCTCCTGGTGAGCAAATGCTAGGATATTTTTATTTATACCGAAGTTTGATTTCAACTATACATCTTTATAGAATTTTTAAAATGATTGAGTCCAGTTTTATATTTTTTTCTAATCTGGTTTTTTGTTTTTCATTTTTCATATATGCCTTTTGATGAGTTATAATTTCATTGTTTTGTGAGTCTAAATGTTACAGTTAGACTTGTTCATGTGTTGATACTCTTTTCTTTTTCCCTAGTATATTTAAAACATCAGTAATAAAAATTACAGCCTGTACTCATGAATCAATAATATATTTTGGTTTAATGTAATGATGACCCTCGATTGGGTAGAGGTAGTCCTCTCCTAACATAATAGGGCATGGTAAGATCAAATTCATGTCTTAATTCTTTTTTTCTTGTAATAGTATTAAGAAAGGATACTTACTTTTAATTATTAAGAGAATAACTATTTATTATTATTTTTACTAAATTATGTTATTCAGGTCAAAAAATATGTCTTTCTCTGATTCTAGAAAAATTCTATCTCATATATTTATTGTTTTTAGTTATATTTATGTATAATTATTTATGTAAAAAGTTTTAAATATTATTCACTGGTAAAAGTCAAGGTAAACTTTTTATATGCTCTAAAATTTTACACTTATATTACAAATGCAGTATAGATATAATAAACTATTGATCACGTTTTACTCTCTAGCATATTTTCACATGTCCGTTTATTTTCCTGTGTTGTATTCTTCATTCTCCCTTGTTTGTTGCCATATTTAATATAATTCTAATCTGAATAATTTTATTTTTTTTGTGTACATTTTTATAAAATATTGGAACTAATATGGGCTTTGGGCTTTTATTACATACAGGTCAATATATATTGCTAAGATTCTCCATTGACACTATTTGAAAAACCTGGTCAACCTGTCGTTTGTGTACTTTTCATTTAACCCATTAAACACTATGGACACACTGTACAATTTTAGTAATATACTACTCAATAGATGGAATAGTATCATTCTGTATGTTATTGTCATTTAACATAAATTTCTTTACTTTTGGTTAAATTTAAATTAAAAAATATCTGGTATTTTTTCACTAATTGTATAATTATAAAGTGATTTATGTGCTTGCAGTCATTAGCAATGGATTTGATTTCAGTTGTTAAATATTTGCCTAAATATTGTGTATATTTACGAGCTGAATCCGATTATTCCATTTCATAATTACTGCCTTTTAGGGAACATTTTAGAAAATTTAATCATTAACTAATTAGATGAATTTACTCAGTGAAATCAAAACATAATATAACTATTTTTGACACATAACGGTTGGTGTTATTTCGTTGCATGAGTTATTTATATTGATTAATGTATTTATCAAATATATACTTAAAAGTTTAATTTTTGGCAGTAAACCTATGAAGGATACATAATCAGCTCAAGTTCAATGATACATACCTCCAACTTCGAAGAAATTTTATTACTCTCTTAAAATCAATGCATGCAAAAGTCGAATTTAAAAAAAAATGTAGATCTTATATTTACTATTGTTTTTTTTCTCTTGATTTGAAAGTACCCTTTAATTGAAACTCTATACAAATGTGCCCCTATCAAACATTTTGCATTCAACTTTTGGCCACCCCTAATCGATACGTTTTATGCATTTAAGGTAAAGAGTATTTATTTATAATTTACACAACAAAATTAAGTTGGTAGGCAGACCAAACCTTAGATGGGCCAATGGAGTGGAAGCAAATGCCCGAGCTATCCTTGGAGTCCACAACTATAAGGCAGCTGGATTTCTTGACTGGCTGTTGAAGCTGCAGGAGAACCTGACTAATTGAGTTGTAGCGCCACGAAAGCACAAAAAACAGCATTTACATATGAATCTTATATTTATATAATATAATTTGATAATACTAATTACATATACAATTAAAATATAGAAAATAAGATTGGTATTATTTTGTGTTAAGAGCTATGGGTCCACAGAAAAGTAGATTAATTAATTTTTTTGTATGAATAGTAACTTGAAAATTGAATTTTATTTCGAAGAATGTTTGTTATTTAATTAATACAAGAAAATTGTCCATCAAACTTTAAGTGCCGAAGCTGACAACCCATCCTCCTCAAAATCCAGACATGGAAGGCTTGTTTGTGTAACTGCAGGGCACAGTAAACACTAGAATAGGGAGATCAATTGAATACACCAATGTGATACCAGTCATTGAAGAGGCTTGATGTGCATACCAGCATGTTCGCGGCAAGGAATGGGTCAACTATGAAATTCACTTTATAAGACTTAGAATTTGGAAATCGATTAGTTCAGTGAATACTACTTCTACTTAACCTTTAGTTAAGTATATATAGTATGCTCTTAAATGGGTTAAGAAAAACATTGCAGTTGAGCTTGATCCTTGTCACATTACCATAATGCATTACTGTAGATCAAGAGAGATATATCTTCCTCAACAAGTAATAAATTATATTTTTATTACTATCGTGTTCATTGAAAAAAAAATCTTGAATCCGAACAGGTCTATAATAGCAGAGATAGACAAAATTTAAATCAGTAATAACTAAAATAAACTTAATGACCATGCCAATTTTATACTTGATTCAATAGCGATCAATAGAGATAAAATCTGAGACGATTACCTGATTCAAGTTGTAATCGGAAACCTGATCACTGTAATTGTAATCCTTGATTATGATTATGGCCATCTATTCCACAGTGAACAGGAATTGATAAATGTATATCTACCTTAAGCTTTAATAATAAATCAAAAATCTTTTAAGGGTGAAAAAATTACTTTCTTGAGCAGTAACTTACAGAAGATTTTAGATATAATTTACTTATTAAAATACTTAATAATAAAATTGTACAGATTATATTATTTGAGCTCAATAAAAACAATTTTCAGACCTAGTTATTAATTTTTCAACAGTTATTTTCAATTTGTCTCAAAAAGAAAAATTTTATGACTGAAGTGACAAAAAATTTGATTTTTTAGTGTTAATAAATGTTTATCAATAGGTCTTGGTTAAATTACAGATTACGCAGCAAATTTACTTAAGTGATAGTAAACTTTAATAATACAATTTAAGTAAAAATAACTAATTTGATTTAAGCTAATCATATTTTTTTTTACTTTCACTTATGCATCTATGTAATATATATTAAGGGTAAGTAATTTTTATTTTGTTTAATTGCTATGAAGCAGTGGTTTCTTTGAACTTGGTAAAAATTAAATTATCACACCAGTTTCATGCAAACAAAAGTTCAAAATTTTATTAATGAAATACAAACAAGAAATGAAATAAAAACAGAAATATTTGGTCAAGAAGAAACATAGATTATCCAAAAACTTGTAAATTTTTCAAAACTTCTAAAAACAAAAATTAGTGACACTTCAAAATTAATTTTAATAAACAAATTTTAAAAAATAAATAATTATAATTTTCAATTTAGAACAAATGCAAAAATATTTACAAGCGTTTGTGAATCAATGCATATTAAAAATATAGAAATAAATCACAACCTGAGAGTTGACTGGATTTACAAAAATATATATACATTTGATGTTTTATGAAGTCATAACTAATACAATCTTGGATATAAAAGAAATGCTTCCTAAATACGTATAACTAATAAACAGTTCCATTGCAGTCTATTAAAAAAAACTAATTTAAAATAAAAAACAAAGAAAATATAAGATAATAAAAAAAAATATATATACACATGTATTAGAATTTCATAGTTCATAATGTAACTGAATGTGACTATTAAAAACATCTTCCAGGAAATAATTTGTCTCTTCAAGACTGTAAAAACATTAAGATAAAATTTATTTACAGTAATAATCAACTTAAAATTATAAAAGGCTGATGTAATTTGTCTTTCTGCGTTGATATGAGCTGTAAACAATACCAAAACAATTCATCTAGAAATGGAATTCATGAACATCATTAATACAAACAATAAAGAGTATATTAATCATAAAAAATTTACAAAATTATCTTCTTTTATTTCAAAATTAAAAACTTGTTGAAAAAATGAGCTAATTAGGATACAAATAAGTAACATTTAAACCAAGAACAGTTAACATGAATTGATTATAATTTAACAGTTACAGTTATTACAGAGAACTTATCAACAGCAGGATATAAAATCTTGACTAGTACATAAATATAATCTGAGTGTCTGTCCCTCTTTTATTAACAGAATTTATTACACTGACAACTTATGAAGTTATCTTGTAAATCATTAAGTATAGATTAAATAAGGAGTTGATAAAACAAAAAGTAAATACATTACTGCATAGCAATATAATAAAATACAATTAGTGATTATAAATAAATACAAACAGTTTTTCTAAAATTACATTTTAAGGAGAGAAGTACAATTTAAACAAAGTTGAAAATTTTTCGAGCACATATGGACGGTCTATACAGTAGGAATTAATATCCTATTGAAAGATATTTTGTATTATTAATAAATTAAAAAAAAAAAAGAAAAATTAAGATTTGAAAATGTGTACTCACATGAAAACTCACAATAGTGTAACATTTATATTAATTAAATGGCACCTACTTCAAAATAAAGAAACGATCCTGTTACATACATATATATTACTCCATTTGAGGTAGATATTTTGCCAATGATGGGCATATTCTCAGACAGGTCAAGGTTTTGCTAAAAACGGATGTGATAATGTTTCCTCTGCTGTTATTCTAGACGTATGGTCAAGATCTAGGAGCCTATACAGAAGAGAAAAAGCTTCATCTGGAATATCAATATCAACTGGGTTGCTAATACGTCTTCTTCTCTCTCTTAGAAATTTACAGGCTTCGCGAAGATCCAATGGTTTACAAGTTTCAGAACATACAACATGACGTCCTAAAAATATAAAAAAATATTATTTGATAAAAATCAATTGAAAAAAAACAACACTAAAAAAGACATTTCTTTGGTCTCCCTGACTATCGATGAAAAATTTGAAGCCTTTAGAGGCTGATGGTCATGTTGTCAGAGATGGGCAAATGCTATTATGAGTACCGAGTACCAAGTATTTTACTCAAATCGAAACACTATTGATAATTCAATCACTACTAAAGTTAATCATATGACATCAACTGAATTAGTAATTAAATTCTTTGGTATTAAAAAACAACATTATTTGAGTAAAATATATTGTATTCTGTACTCAGAATAGCATTTGCCCATCTCTGCATTTTGTGATGGTGTTTGTATTAATTATTCTTGTATCCAATGTAATCCTATTATAATTATTCTTAGTACTAAGTGATTTTGATAATAGTTTGTAATGTTATACAGAATTTCATGTTCAAGTTCCTAATTTTGTCAATGTATTTTTTGTTTTGATTTTTAATATTTTTTTTACTTCATACGATACGCAACTGTGTTTTTTACTTTATAAATATATTTAAAAACCCATCTTATATATTTTTCTTTCAGTACAATGAGAAATTTGTTAGTGTTTTTGATCAATAAATTGATTTAGTGAATTGGATCTCACAGATCCATAGCGACCTTCCGTGTGATTATAAGGCTAGCGACCTTCAGATTGTTAAGAGTTTAATTGAAGGCTAAAAATGAATCTGCTGATCAATAAATTGACTTTGTGAAGTGAATCTCACAAATCCGATCAGTGACCTTTCGTGTGACTCTAAGGCTAGCGATATTCAGACTGTTAAGAGTTTAAGTGAAGGCAAAAATTTGCTTGTCCTACTTTATTGGAAGCGTCTTTGGGTTTATATAATTCATTATGCATTAGAATTTGTTAATACGATTTCTATCAATACGATCAATTAACAATATGATTTTCTTAAATTATACAAAAAAAAAAAAAAAAAAATGAATGATATATAATAACTAAGAAAAGTCAGAAAACAGTAATATAAAACTGTTTTTTTCTCGGCTCCTCAGGCGCATTCGCAAAAACTCTCGGACATGGGCCAAATATTTTTCGACCTACCAACACCAAAAAATGTTTCATTAAAATCAGTGACCCCACGTCCATAACCCTCCTCCCTTGTGGAACATGGTCAACTAACAATTAATAAATAATTTAAATAGCACATCTAAAACCAGACAAATCGTTACTTTTTCTTTTCTTTTTTTTTTCTGTTGGCATTACAGACAATGTAAATCTTCTTAACAAGCCTGCTCCACTTATACCTGTCTTGGGCTATTTCTTTCCATTTTTCTACACACAGCTCTATTGCAGCTTTGTTTATTCTATCTATCCATCTGCTTTTTGGCCTTCCACGGATCTTTTGCTTTCTATTGAGGCATTCATTGTTAGGTAGAGGCTTCCAGATGGATTGCTACGAGCTACATGCCTCGCCCATCTTAACCTTCATATCATGTGATATTGATTGACCTGTTTCTGTATGCAGTTCTTTGTGGGTCTTTCTTCTCCATGTATTCTGATCCCAGATCGCTCCGGTTATCGTGCGGAGGATTTTTCTCTCATATCTTTCAACAGTTGTTTTCTAGGGTTCTGGTTAGTATCATAATATTGTATACCCTTAATTTGAGATTTTTCGGTATTTCAAAACCTTTGAAAGTGAGAAGAAAGCTCTGATCGTTCCTTAGCCATCAAAATTAATAAGTCAATTCCACAACCAAGGTTTAAACGAAAGGCTTAGACCTAACTGAATTTTTAGGAGACATCATAATAAGTATTATAATTATTAACATATCATTGATAAAAAATTATTTTTATGAATAACAACACCACATTTTTGAAACAGGCAAAATCTAATTTCAAATATATTTGTAAGAAATAAAGATTGCTTACCAAGCTTGGTTGCGATGCTTTTGATTTCTTCAGAACCAAAAACCGTGATCATTTCAGCAAGAGCAGTCACATCATCAGGTGCTCTGAAGAAGGGATATGTTCTGCTTAACAGACACAAAAGTATAACACCTACGGCCCACATGTCAACAGCTGGAAAGCAACATAATTTTAAATTAATATTAGTTTACCTTCATCATTTTATGATTACTCAATATGAGGTAATTAATTAATTCCTAATTGCTTATTATCAAATCACTATAACCTACCCGTTGTCTGGTCATGAGATTTCAGCAAAACCTCAGGAGCCCTAAACCCTGGTGTACCAGCTCTTGGTGCACTTCCACCTTTCCGAGACAAACATGTATTACACACTCGTGCCTTTCTATCACATTCACACCTATTTGTTAAATTGGGTCTTGCTTCTTTACAAACCTGAACATTAATAATCACAACAATAAATAAACAATATAGGCTATAATAACTAAAAAATGAATATAAATGCATATAGTTATGAAAATGCTAATAAATTATCAAATGTTTACTTCTATGAATATCTATAGCTTGAAAATGATTGATAAGAATTAAGGATTTACCTGAGAAAATGACCTGATAAATGAAATATTCTCGTTGCATGCATGAAGTGGCGCTCGTTTTATTTCGCTAGGTCTTTCCTTTAAACATATTCTTTTGGCATTTTGTTCTTGTACTTCGGCAGGTTCTTTATTTTCCTATTATAAAAAAAATTACATTACTTCTTTTTTTTTTTTTATGTGTAGGTTATTTATTTTCTGATTCAAAAGGTAGTAAAAAGAATAAATATTTTTAAAATGGTAACCCAACAAATTTGAAATATTCAGTGAACAATTTATAGTATTAAAAACAATAACAGCAAGAATTCGATTTTTAACTAACATTAAAATTTCTATTGAATAATGAAAATAATTTCTGAGCGATATAAACAAAAATGGTATATTACCCCTTCACTACATCTTTTACGTTTCTTTGAAGAGTCTGTTGACCATTCTCCAACCTTTTGTGCTAGACCAAAATCAACCAGCAAAAACCTATTAAATAAACAAAATTAATTTAATTTTTAAAAACATAACAATAGGAAGTGAAAACAAGTTAACAGATGTTCCTTCGCTTCTACTAACATACTAAGGTGGATACAATTGTAAAAAAAAGAAAAGATAAACAGCTATTATCAATGAAACTGAACCATTTTTTTTTTCTTTGATATTTCCAAAGAAACCAAAATCATTTATGGCAGATAAAAAGTTTTCATTACATAGCCATAGTTTAATTTTTTATTCTACAGAGACACAGAAAGCTTGGAGTACCAGAACCCATCTGCTTATTCAATGCTTTTCAATAGAGCTGGATTATCCTAGTATTATTGAATGGTAAAACGTTTAAAACCATTTCTTTGCAAATTGATACCCACAGTTGGCATAATCATATTTGATCAAATTTTCAATTTACATATTTACACAAATGACTATTCTAATAACAAAAAGTTTATCCGTTTGTATAAGGTAAAAGGTACAAACAATACTGAATAATAAGTTGCTACATACTTAGCTTAACACCATAATGCACTCGCTATAATAAACAAAACAGTAAAATAAAGGAAAGACCAACTTACTTCCGCTTTGCTCTATTATACAAAAAGTTCCCAGGCTTAACATCTCTGTGAATGACTCCAAAGGAATGAACTCTTCGCAATGCAACACAAAGTTCCCTAATGTATAGTCGTATTTCATCTATATCCATATCATAGAGGTAGGACTAAAACAGAGCAACACATTTTTTAAATTGAATAATATTTTTCATAAATTAAAATTATAATAATAAAATGAAATCAATCTTATGCTGACGGACAAAGCCAAAATTATGATTAATTACTTCTTAAAGAATTTACTTATTTCCGATACATTTTCAAAACAATATCAGGTATTTAAGGTTGAATACATACAATCAACTCATTTTTCATGTCAGTAACCAACAAGTATCCAAAAAATTACTCATTATTTTCAAATATTGAGATAATGCTGAACAACTAATAAATATAATAAATACTAAAACATAAAAATGAACTAAATCTTCGCAGTTATACATCGGAAATAAGTATTACGAAGAATGAAAATCAATTCAAAAGAATTTTTAACTTTAAATACATTAAGATCGTTAAATGCACAGTTTTATAAAAACATATATGTTAGTTGACAAATAATACTAATTTAACATATTGACGGTATGTTTTAAAAAATATAATGGGTTTTGTGTTATTTTGATCCATAGAAAGAGTTTTTGCACAATATATCTATTTATACAGGCGTGATTTTTCGTTAGTTGAATTTATTTAAACCAGATGCCCAAATATCTGTCAGGATGCGTACACACATTTTAGATAATTTATATACTTGAAAATTATTGGAAAATTATAAAAACAAAACCTTGAGTCTCTAAAATACATCTAACAATGACTGTGTTTCCAATTAATTATTAGAAATTAAATGTAGTTTATGTATTTGTATATCTTTACCTACAAAAAACTATTTAAAAAATTATTTAATGGAAATATTTATTTTTATAGAAATAAATAACTTTTACAAAACTAAATTACTAAGTAATTAAATGAATTTACTTTATATGAGAAAAGAACATTATGCACTTGACAGTATTTTTTAAAAATTAATAGGTTTTGTGTTATTTTGATCAATCGAAGGAGTTTTTGCACAAATACAGACTTAAAAGTTCCAACTCCATGAAAGTGTACTAAATTTTTATTATAGCAATAAATCTTTATTCATTATCACTGTATTAATGTTTTGGAAAACATTTCATTTTAATTATGTACATTTAACTATTGGGCCTCTTTATTAATGACATTACATAAAATCTAATAATCTATTAAAGCTATTTCATAGACAATTAAGACACTTCTTGCTGCATATTTGAAACAGTTTTATTGCACATATTGGGTTTTTAAGATATAAAAATGTGGTACCTAGATAATTTACAATGTTCAACCCTTTTAAGTGAATACGGAAAACATCATTTTAAACTTCCATAAATCTTTTAATTACATTTGTCCATCAAGACTACTAGAGTTCATTAATGATATCAGGTTGTCTGTTAGTCTGCCAGTTGGGATGAGGGCAGACTATAAACAAAATATATATAGTTTGGGAACCAACTTTTACAAATTTTATTTTTGTCAAAATTAGGTAAAAGTTCTCCAACTTTCACAAGTTATATCAAAATCCCTGAATAATTAAATTCTCCAACATTTTCTGGTTTCGCCTGTTCTCAGACACCAGGTAGTTCGAATTAATGGAACAAGCGAACAATGATTCCCAAAATATTATTAGATGATTATTGATTAATATATATCTAATTAACTAACAACTAAACACACAAACATTGACACTTTAAATTAATAACATTAAACACACAATTTCAATATCTATACTACTATTTAATTATTTTATTTCTACTCACAGTGAACTTGTCATGGTGTTGATAAGGCATTACGAATGTAATGCAATCATTCATCCGTAGACACATATATATTCCAACAACATTATCAACGCCTCTGAAACAAATGGAGAAAAATTATCATTCAGCAAAAACGTAACAAAGCCATAATTAGGATTAATGCTTATACTACATAAATAAGCTTTGTAGCAGAGTAATTGTAGTGAAAACACATATAATGAGGTGTATAGAATTAAACATTTAATTCATTGATACTGAAAACTATATGCTCCTGTAATATTTTTAAAATTACCAATAGTATGGTAATATGTTTAAGATCAATTGAATAGTTTTCTACATTAAATCTAGTCCTGAGAGAAAATTCAAACCATAAAGCTACCACCAAATCTTGAATTAACAACCACAGGAAAGAAGATAAAATAACAATTGTTATAACAACAATTAGGACGAATTGTAATTTAATCACATACCTCCAACTTAAAAGATTTACTGAAAATTTAATTTTTTGTTCATATGAACTCTGATAAAGATGCTACTATCTCCAGTACTAGCTAGCTGTACTGGTATAGTATAGTTAAAATTTAGTAAGGTTATTCAAACTAATCTAACTTTAACTAAAAGGAATCATTGTCCTACCTGACTTACTGATCTGAATTTTTAACAAATATTAACACTAACTTAAAAATACATAGAATAACCAAGAAGATAAGTCAGAAAATGGTACATTTTACATATAAATATCCAAATATAATTTCTTGTTACCCGATTTCTTGCATGCATTTTAGTTCTCTAATGACTCTTGAAGGATGGCAAGTAGGAATCAGATGTTTCACAGCAAATTTAGCTTTGGGAACTTCACGGAAAGTGGCCAAGTATACATTACTGAATGTTCCTTCTCCAACCTTGTAATGAAGTTCGAAAATTTCTCCTAATTGTGGTAATTTGTGTAACAAAGAAACTATTTTGTCACCTGAAAATGTAAATCATAAACAAAATAAGAATAAAATAAAGCTATTTTTTTCAAGAAAATATAAATTATGTAACCATCTAAATTCTTTAAGACCTATGTATCGAAGAGATTATTTATTACAAAATTATTATTGTTTCAAAGAAATATTTAACAATTACTGAAAAAGGATGAAGTTATTATACTTAATCTAACGCAAAATTGAAATGACAAATAAATCGTTCGTTTCTTCTAAATGGAAACTTTATATCAGATGTACTCATTCATTACAAAACAAAATTATTATTCTTTATCAAACAGTATTTCTTGAAATTAATAAGTTAATAGAACAAAATACATCATATCAATTATCTCAGATTTTTCTTCTTTTAATAAGAATATTTTGTTACCTCAGTGAAACAATATATTATTGTCAAATAAAACAATGGACAAATTCTGAGAATGTTACTTTATGATTTACAATACAACTCACAGTTTCATGTATTAACTGCTTGTCTTGACACTCTACAGTAAACATTTCTTAAGTTCATTTGTTACACATGGAAATAACCATGTTTTTCAACTAAACTGTATCCAGAATATCATCATGCGGGTTCACAAGATTTCATGCAAGTATGTGCAAAACAAAGTTCAAATATAGGTTAGTTTTAATACCGTATATTGTAACTTTGCAGTTCATAAAACATGATGCGAGTTTATTGCATCATACAAATAAAATGGAACTAAGGACTCTTTGTTCTTTGTCAATCTCTGTGGTCTCTTCATCAGTAAATGTTAGAATTAGTATGTTACTTTAATTAATTAACAATATTGTTATTAATTATATATATATATATATATATATATATATATATATATATATATATATATATATATATATATATATATATGTATAATAAAATGCACGTGTATATATATAATCAAATAACTTAAACAACACTGATTATACATACTTGAGGATTGCCTTTTGTGCGATGGACCTTTCTCATCTTTTAGAGTTGTAGCCATTGTCCCTGCAACATTTTTTTGAAAATCTATTTAAATTTACTAAAAAAAAAAAGAAAATTGGGGGAGGACAGTTTGTAGAGAAATACATAAGATTCACAGAATAAAACTTTTGCAATATTAACATATACAATTTTATCAATATGTGCACCTTGAGTATGTATGTACACATACTCATGCACATTGTCATTAACAATATGCTAACCAGAAATAAAACTCTATTCTGTTTATCATTATAAGGCTACAAAAAATGTATCACTAATAAAAAAATAAAAGAGAAAATTCAAAATAAAAGGTAAAAATAATCTAGAAACCAATTATGATCATGACATAAATTATAACATGAAATAACTCATCAATCTACATATCAGTTTCTTAATAAACACATAATATAGAAGCAATATAAATTACTACATATTAAAGTTAAATAATTGTAATATTTCATCGGTACGAATAAAAAAAACATTAACTAATTACAAACTTAAATCAAACAATAAATAATTAAACAGAAATCGAGAAATTCTGGGCTCGTAGCACGTGTAATTTTATAGTATTGTAGAACAAAATTATATTATATTTATCAAGTATTAACACGGAGTAACAACTATTATAAAAAAAAGATCGACGTCATAATATCAATAAATAAACAAAACACCAATATTAAATATAAATAAGAACTAACCTGGTTCAGTTTCCATTTTAATTTGTTTTTATAGATGTTTGGCGAAAGCTGTAATTTAAATTAAACGATAAAAACATTGAGAACCAGTACTAGACTCCCGCCCGTTATTATTACCCTTCAGTTTACCCTACCTTCCTCCCCTTTCTAAACCTATGAACGTTGAACCAGTGTTACCCGTTATGTTCCCAAACATTTCTCACTTTCTTTGGTAGTTTAATAGTTTGTTTAAACTAAATTTATATATACGTTTGTATGTACGTAATTTCATTTTTTAATTTCTTTTTTGCGTGTAAATATATTTGTTGATATATATTTATATATATCATAAAGAACACGGGACATTATAAAGAACACGGGAGAAAGAAGCTTCCATAACACAGGTACACTTCTAGAACTTTTAAGATAAAAATAAATAATATTAAAACTGAAAAACATTTATTCTTCTTTAGTTTGATCAACCTATCTATAACCAGATTTTTAATCGAGGGTATCTCGTTAACGAATAAAACAGCACCAAACCGAAAACGTTGACCAAGAAAAGTTTGAAAAATCAGATATAATTTATGTGAAATTAGCTATTGAAAGGCTTAAAAGCCGAACGACTACGGTACGATATAGAAAGGACACCAGAAGCTTGGAACACGGACTGCTCTATCCTAAAGGAAGGCTCCGTGTTTGAATGCATTAATTCCAGAGGCATAGCATTTCATCTTATTGCCTGCAAGATAATCAGCAATATCCTGCTTTATTAGATACATCGGTATTACGAAAATATAATAGTCGAACACCAAGCTGAATTCAGAAGAGAAAGGAGCACGCTAGATCAGACATCCGTCTTAAAACTAATAAAGCTACTCTAAAGAAAATGGGAAATAGCTCAGGATGTGTATGCCTTATTTGTCGATTACAAAGCAGCCTACGATTCCGTGGACAGAAACTACTATAGGAAAATAATGACTAAAGCACGGGCGGATCTACGGGGGAGGGGAGCTTTCGGGCTGAAGCTCCCCCCAAAACGGTAAAATATAACCATGTTTTATTGGATTTTTTTTTTAAAATACCTCTTAAAATATTATTGTTCGTGTAATTACATTTAAAAGGACTTAAGGGATAACTTAAACACCATTTCATATAGGTAGTTAGTTTCTTTCTGTTTTTCCGAAGTAATTATCGTTATTTTTGTGAAAAAAAAAGGTTTCGGGCTGAAGCCCCCCCCAAAAAAATTAAATACTGGATCTGCTAGTGGACTAAACCGAGAGTTCCGGAAAATGGATTAGATTGACGAAGACATGACCAAATGCCCTAAATTTCGAGTCGTAATACAAAGAGAAGTATCTGAATCTTTTATAGTTCGAACTAGCTTGCGGTAAGGAGGTATACTCTCACCAATATTCAACTTAGTGTTATGTTGCCCTTCAGAGCCCCTTGCATGGTCAATATTGTTGAGTCAATATATTGATCGTGTATTGGCTACATTAGCATCAATTATATTGACGTCAATCAAACTGGTTGATATCAATATTTTTTATAGAAGCTCCTTCAATATTATTGAAACAGCTTTAATATGGATGCACGTGTAAGGACTATATTGAACAATATTATATGGATCTTGAAAAGCTCTGGGCGATATCCAATTTCTGGTTCATCTTTTTTTTTTTTCGTTGGAGGGAGAGAGATTTATTTATCACGTATATATCGTAAATTTTTATGCTATTTTAAATTATATTTATTTAGAGTATTATTATTTCAACTATATCTATTGCTATCATTTGTGAAATGGTTATTTGTATATAAATATTGTATTTTTTTTAATATTTATTTACATTGCTAATATTTTAATTTAATTTATTACTATCGTTTCGTTAAATGGTTATTTTATGTGTTATTTTTATTTATAGTGTTGTTATTTAATTTTAATTTTTAAACACCGTTATTAAAAAAAAAAAAACTTATATAAATATTTACTTACAGTGTAATTATTTCAATAGTTTATTGAATATTGTTTGTTTAAGCAGTGTTAAATTATTTTTAACTTGATTGCATTTTAATGGGCTTACCATTATTTTCATTTAACTATATATCTAAATCTTTGGTGATAAATATTCAGGGCGTAGTCATTATAAAGTTTTTATTGGAGCTGACGTTTCAATCCAAACATGTGGGTCCTCTATCAGAGCATGTTTCGAGCACTGAAGGTATTCAAGTACTTGACCAATTAAAACTTTATAATGACTGTGTTCTGAATAATTATCACCCATGATCTGTAGAACAGTCGACTAACTTCCTTCAATAAATTTAATGTTGTTTCAATAAATTTAAATTGTCAGATTCGATGGTTCTATATCGGTTCTCCATGAGTTGTAGTGGTACAGATTAAAACAAAAAATAATAATGATAATATAAAATTCTAGTATAAATCAGGGGTTGAAACTTTTTAAAAAAGTTAAATTTTAATAGTTTTTGTAAAATGTTTTGGAAAAAAGTTTTAAAAAAGTTCTAAGGAACTTTTCTGGTCTGCCCTACCTCGCCTTTTAGGCTATGCGGAACTTTGTCAGGCCGGGGGTTGTGGGCGGGGAATTGAAAATACTCTCTGGCACCGGGACGCGAACTCGTACTTTTTAATCTCTCAAATCTGTTATGTGGTGGCCGGGCAAGTCGCGGTGCGATGCACACGCGTTAGTCCATTCGGCCACCCCGCTCCCACAATTACACTTGCTGTGGTATGTTCCATGTTTTACCCTTGTCTCTTATTCTTAAACTTTTCATTCCGAAAATTCATAAACCCGTTACAACGTGTGCACCCCCTCAAAAATAAAAAAAAAGTAAAAATATGCCTCCCTCAAAAATTTTGTTGGCGCACTTGTGTCATAAAATCCCCTTCTGGACATCCCTGAATTGACCGGTTTCCTTAAAACACATCGGTCACGAAGCACGGAGTGAGGCGCTGGATAAGTGTTATACGAGCTCATACTGGATGGATGTCTGGATAGAAGAAAAAATGCCGTAATGATGGGACTATGGTGTAATATGTCTCTTGTAAAAGAAGAAGGACTGAACCGAAGGCACTAACTATAGAAGAACTGGGTTGCTCTCATGTGCCTATAATGTGTTGTCAAATGTTCTGTTTGAGAAACTAGTCCCATACACTGAAAGAGAACTTGGTAATTACCAATCAGGATTTAGAACAGACCGTTCAACCACTGATCAGATCTTTACGTTGCTGGTGGAAAAGTGCATGGAATACCAGCTGACCACTCACCATCTGTTCGTCTACTTTAAGTTGGCAAATGACAACAGCGGTAGAGAGGAGCTGTACAACTCCCTAGAAGAGCTCATAGTTTCAGGAAAAATCCACTAGACTTGTAATGATGGCCGTGGAAAATTCAAAATGTGCAGTCCTTGTGGGCTCAAATCTATCCTAGGTATTCAAAACCAGTACCGGATTAAGACAAGGAGACGCTCTTGTTTGCTTCCTATTCAATCTGGCATTAGAAATAGTTGCCTGAAGATAAATAATTCAGACAAGGGGTAGTATCTTTAATAGAACTGTTCAGCTGTTGGGATTTGCCGATGACTTTGACATCGCGGTGAGGTCAGAACAGGCATCGAAGGAGCCGTTCATTGCTTTTGAAACAGCAGCCAGAGAATTTGACCTTATTGTTAATGAGCAAAAAAATAAATATGTGCAAGATGGTGGTGGTGGGGGCCGTATTGCATTCCTAGACATTGGCTCCTGTACGATCCAGAGAGTGGAAACTTTAGTGTATCTAGGATTCGAGATGAACTCCGGGAACAATGTATCTGAAGATGTCAACAGGTGGATTAATACAGCTCATAGATCCCTGTCTAAGCATTTTAACAGCAAAAATCTCTCCTCCATTACAAAAGTCAATCGAACGACAACAGATTATTGATTTTTGAAAGACAGATGCTCCCACCTCCCTTTTCTTGAGATAAATTAAATTTTAATCTTTGTTCAACTTTAATTAATACGTTATCCTTTATTAATTATTCATTATGAATTTATTGTAGTATGCTTTAGTCAGGAAAACAACTTTTAACTATGGATTCTCTTAGAGACATACCAAACAAAGACGTAGTTTCGAACCGTTGGTATTTGGTATTATTACTTGCACATGTATTAACTTTTTTTCTAAATTGGAAATTTTTATGGCACATAATAGATCATTATTGGATCTGAAAATTTATTTACTATGCAATAGATCAGTTCAAGGAATTCTTTTTGGTTATCCTATTATAATTTAGTCAATATATTTGTCCCCTCTCATGTAAGAATACCTCATCCTTTTATATCTCAGTGTAGTCCCTTGTCAGTTTGGTGCGATTTTTAAATTTTCTACAACATAAATGACTTCACGTCAATGTAGTTCTTGATAATGGTATTTAATCAGCTTTTGTGGTCAATTCATTCTAAAGTTATTCGGAAGTTGCAAGAAGTGAAACGTGTTGATTTAAATGAATTCGCACCATGCGATGATATACCTACTGAGACTAATGTTTTCATCAAACATTTTGAAGAAATCTTAAAAGAGTATAGTCGTCTAAAAACGTTTTTAACATTCTACAATGGATCAGAAAGATCACTGGATAAAATCGAGTTTCCTTGTACAGGATTGTATTTTAAATCATTTTGTAATGGGGTTTTTAACATATTAGAAAGTTTAGATGCTAAGCTATTTATAATTGAAAAATCTTTTCTTCTTGGAATTTCAGGTGTAGAAATTCATAAAGAATTTGTTTATATCTCTAATGTTTTGTGTGCACTTAATAATGCAGTTGAAAATTTGAAGAATGAAAAGTACAGAGGTTGTAAAGTTCTTGATTTGTGTGAAAGGTTTATCAATTCAGAATCATTGGACATTAAAGAAGTATTTATTAAAATTCAACAGTTTTGTTTGAAACAATTTTATATTCAAATCAGGCTTTGGTTAATTCAGACATTGCTATATGATCCCCATAATGAATTCTTCATCAAGGCCTCCAGTAAAATTAATGGCCTAACAGCTCACAGTTCTGAGTGTGTCAATTTGTCAATGGATGTAAGGAGTATTGGTAATACAAAAGCTGTTGAGTTTTTTTCTATGAAGTATGAAGTTGATGGAGACAATCTTCCTCAGTTAATACCCTTTTCTGCAGCAGTGAAATTGTTATTTATTGGTGAATCTTTAAGGATGTGTCAGTGTAATGATATTAATAGCAGTGATGATATTATTCACCATTTAGAAGCTTGTCACATTAGCGAAAGTGATATTGTTTCTCAGTTTTCTTGTATTGAAAGTTCTGAAACTTTTAATTTGAGAATGTTTACGAATTTTGTTGATGATTTGTGGATTAGGGTTAATAGTTATATCAACCAAATCAGTAATGAAGTCGGCAATGTCCATTCCGAGTTAATTTTGATGTGGGAAGTTTTTTTGTTAGCAAGAGATGAGCTTTTTCAAGAATTTTTATTGAAGGGAGGTCATCTATTGAATTCTGATATCACAGTGGTAACGGCTAGAAATTTAAATGTAGTTTTAAAAGATGCTGTATATAATGTATATCACACTGAAAATTGTAATTTCATTGATGCTTTTTATTTCAAATTACCTAATCGAAGGGCTATCAAGTTAGGGTTGACAGTGTGGTCCGTGATGTATTTAGATTGTAAGGTTAAATGGCCCTTAGGATATTTATTTACTCCAGAAGTTTTAAACTTGTATAATAAACTTTTCAGCTTTCTGTTAAGGCTTAAAAAAGCCCAAATGGATTTAACTACTACTTGTAAAGGTATCAACTACATCTGTCATCATTCCGTTAAAATGGAATTTATCGAGGTCAAGATCCATTTGCTTTCCATTGTGAGTAATCTTCAAAATTACTGTTTGACTTATGTCATAGCTAATGAAATGAACATATTACTCTCAAGGATTAAAACAATTAAGCTATTTACTGAACTCCAGAAGTCAGTTTTATTATTTTTAACAAATGTATCTGATCGACTGTTCCTTAATGATCAAATTCAAGATGTTAAGAGTACCACTTCACATATAGGTTCTGAAACAGTTAACAACCAAATTAATGAGTGTTTCATGAAGATCTTTGCCCTTTGTGGGTCATTTTCAGAACTTATGGTTAGAAGGATGAATGATACTGTTATAACAGAATTAAAAAATCTTAAAATTAAGTTGTATGAAATATTGAAGCTAATGTTTTCCCTTTTGCAAAAAATTGATCAAAATTTATATCACATCCATAATGATTCACTCCATGTTTATACATACTTAAATCAGTTAATGATGTGCTTAGATTATAATAATTTTTATCAAAACAAATTTAATTTTGATTTTGGTGAATAATTATTAACATATTATTTTACATAGTAATCTTATTATTTCTGGGCAATTATTGATTTGCACTGTGATTTATATATTTATTATTTTTTACCTGTAAATAATGTTATTTTTTATAAATATATAAATATGTATCTTCCATGTTTTATTTCTCCTTTTTACCATCAAAATCAATGTATTCTAAAATTTAATTTTCATATTTTGAAATTTAGTAGATTCTAAATAGATAAATATTAGAATTACTGACTCAATTTCAACATTTTTGAGTAAACTCATTTTAGTGATATTTTTAGTTGGAAAATTAATAAAAAATAGCTCTATAGACAATGAATAAGTTGATTACAGTGTTGAAATATATAACTATGAATAAAGGCATACATTTTTTCCTTAGAAATATCACTAAAATTAGTAATAAAAAATGTTAAAATTGGAGTTGGTCAACTGATAGGCTCACATATGAAAAGAAAAAGATACGTACCCATTTCTTCTCTGCTATAGTATCAAACGTTCTATTTACAACGCATTTAGATGTCTATTCTCATTCTTCATTAGATGTTTCACTCTCTAAAGTGAAACATTTAATTTTTTTCCTCTGCTTCTCTTGTTTCTTACATAAGTTATTTTTCTTGTCAAGGGAGAGTTATCATGCATATTAATGAAATAAAAGAGCAACACATGTTTTTTCTCAAAAGGAGGAACATTTTTATTTTATCTTTTATTTGATTAGTAGTGTTTAGTTTAATCTTGTACAAGTTCCTTTCAGTCAGTTCACACCATTCTGATGTTGGCTTTTCTTTAATTTTTTTCTCTACCATGTATATACTTTCATGATTTTCATCTTCATCGAGCACTTTCTTAGCCAGAATTTGGAATGTGCGTCAAAACATAAGGCTTCAATAAATATTTAAAAATTTTTTGGTGTTGAATCTTGAAATAATAATTTTAGGTATTGACAGCATGATTTGTTCCCTATTAAGTGGAACCCTTATTCCAGCTTAGTAGAACTTTCCATGGCACAAATAAATTTTGTAATCTTTGAACATTATGTGATGAAGATAATCATCTTGACCTAGAACTATACATATTTACCTACCTGGATTTATGATTTACAACCAGTGAATGTACAACTATTTGATCTAAAAAAAAATAATGACATTTTTTTCTTTCTTTAATTTAATTTTTAATGTTTGCATACAATTTTAGCTAATTTTTTTAATAGTACAGAATCCTCTCAATTTTTTTCTAACTTCTTCTTTAGCTTTCCTCTTTAGTGCCTTTCAGCGTAGAGGAGCATTCAGCCAGGAATTCCATTCTTCCCTATTTCTAGCTAGGTTCCTCACCTGTCGAAGGTCCTTCTCCCTCGCCCTACAGAGTCGCTCAATATAGTTAAGATAGGACATTCTGGGGCGGCCCCTAGGTCTTCTGCCGTCTGGGACATATTCCATGGTCTTTAGAGGATCTCTCCTGTCGTCCATCCTGATAACATGGATGAACCACTTTAGCAGACAAGTTTCTAGCTCTTTCAGTGTGGCTATCTGAAGTTCCTGACAAATACTTTCATTGCGAACTTGGTCTCCTTGTTTTCCCAACCGTCCTTCGCAGAAATTTCATTTCGGCAGCGGTGATTCTACTCTTCTGTCGGTCTGTTAGTATACAGCACTCAGCTCCATACAAAAGTATAGGTAGATACACCGTCTTGAAGATGTGTAGCTTGACGTCTTTGCCTACTTCTCTCTTCCCTACCATTCTATAACTGCCAATTGCAACTTTTCCACTGAGTCCGTAATCAATACCACATCATCGGTGTAGAGAAGTATCACTACAGGATTAAGATTCCTACGTCCCAGGAATGTCCTGTCCTTTCTTCTCTTACAGATTGATGCCACTTCATCCATGAAAAACAAGAACAACAATGGGCTTAGGCTATCTCCTTGTTTCACTTCCTTTGCAATATTGAAACAACCCGATTCTAGCCCATTCACTGACTATTCCTTTGGGCTCTTGATGTATAGATTTTATCGCCTCTGTCAGTTTTCTCGGAACATTCTTCGATCTGAGAGCTTCCCATATTTCATCTAGTGGAACCGATTCAAAGGCAGATTTGAGGTCAAGGAAAGCCAGGTACATATTTTTACCAAGATAATCATCTTGACCTAGAATTACACACATTTACCTACCTGGATTTATGATTTACAACCAGTGAATGAACAATCATTCGATCTAAAAAAAAATAATGACATTTTTTTCTTTCTTTAATTTAATTTCTTATGTTTGCATACAATTATAGCTAATTTTTTAATAATACAGAATCCGCCTGATTTTTTTTTTAACAAATGAGTTTATTCTGAATATAAATCGCTAGTCCAATTATCACTTGTTTTAAAATATTGATAACAAAAAAAAAAGTTTTAGAGGAAATCATTAAAATGATTCTATAAGTGAAATATTGATAGAAACAGTAATAACCTGGTGTTTAATAAGCTTCTAAAGTCGAAAAATGCAGTATGGGCCCCACATTGTTAACTACTATAAGTAAATGTGGAATAATCAATACACAACAAATCAATACAGATTTGAAAATAATAAAAAAATGGTTTGTCTTACAAAAACCTTTACTGGGTGGTTTATTGTTATCAATAAAGCAAAAAATGTCTACTATCAAAATGGTAGTCTTATATTTTAGAGGAATAGGCTGAATATTGAAAATATAAAGAGAAAAAAATAAACTGCAATTAAACATTTATTTTACAAAATTAAACGAAAAAAAAAAATAGAAATGATAGTATCACATAAAGACTCAGAGAATGGAGTTCTTGTGTAGATAGGTGAAGTTCCTTGGAATTTTCATCTTCCCAATTCATTAATGCTGTTGTCATTCTCTGGTTTATTTATTCAATCATCATAGTAATAATAAGTAATAATAATTATAATATTTTGTACAATATATTCAGGATGACGGCGGGATTTTTGGAGTTCCGGTCATACAGCATGATAGGCAGGTATTGTTGGCTGATTCTCAAGCTTTGAGTAATCTAAATAGAACTCTTTAGCAACTTTCCGCCAGTTCTGAGCATCAAAGAAGTAGTAAGTCCCTCGTTCATAGGTAGATGTTTTCTCTATTACCCCGCAACCTGGTGCTTGCGTTATCCATACTTTCTCCTCCATATGGTACCGCCATTCTCTGCTGTAACTAAAAATATTAATTCCTTTAAGTAAATATATTGTAATCATAACTAAAATTTCTTTAAAATCAAATATCAAGATAATTTAAATATAAAATTCAGTAATTAACATAACTTGTAAAATATTTTAAAAATTTATTTATAGAAGTATAGGTCATAATAAATTTATATGCATTCATTGTTACCTATACCTGAATGACATTTATTGAAAAGTAAATCAGCTATAATTTCTTCATTTCTATAAATACTACTGTTGATTTTGGTAAATGTTTTTCTATTACAGTAAATTTTAAGATTTGTTTTTATGGCATTTGAAATGTATTTAGAGAGAAAGTTTCTCTGCTTAGTTATTTGAAGAGTTAAATTGCAAGTTGATATGATTCATCACGTTAATTGAAATTGGAGTTCTTGTCTTGACTTCAAAACGATAGCCCTGAAGATGACCCAGATATTTGGGCTGAAATGTCCGCTAACCCAATAACAAATATCTTGACTGAAATCTCTGAAAACTTTTGTTTTGTTCTTATAATTGATCAGTCGACTACTTATTCATCTTTAATTGAGAATTCTATTGATTGATAGTTTGTTTGCAACTAGTGTTCGGCATGGCACCTCTTTTTTCATTGTATATGCCTTTAATCGCTAGTTTCTCCACAATTTAAGGAGTTGATTTGGTTCTTTTGTCAAAGTAAATTTGTGTTATCTCTTTGTTGCGACAAAAACGCTAACTTGTTATTTAAATAAATTAGGAGTGAGCATACTATGCTGATATGTATTGTCAATATTTAACTTAAGTCAACAAGTTATCTGATGCCCAAGCTAAATATAAAAAATCCTAGATTCTGTTGGCCATTAATTTCAAATAGGAACCAATTGAAAATATTAAAGATAGCTCATATTATTTGATCCAAATTAAAGAAATACAGAAAAACACTTGAAATCGGTAGAGTAATATTTAAATGTATTTAATGAATATTTACAACCTTTAAAACACGTTTATACATTTAGCTTTTTATTTAAATTCTAATAGCAAATGGTTTGTTTCTTTGAAATCAATAACTTTTCCAAATTTATTTAATTAACCAGGTAGCAATGGAAGATCACTGATGTTGTAGAATGTAATCAAGTAGGAAATGAAACAATAGGTTTTCAAAGGAGTTTCGGTTTGTCATAGGTTTTTTGATTAAAAAGACATACTATCTGAGTGCTTGTGGATATTTATAAAATACACCTTTTAACTATATAAGTAGACCCATTTTCCAGCTCTCATGAGCAATGATTTTGATGAATGAAAAATTAAAATATTGTAATTTATTTATATAAATAGCCTACAAAAAATTAAAAATGATTGAAATACATATCCGAATAGAAGATTAACTAATCCATAATGCATCTTGGGTCATTCTGCCATTACTATTCCCCTATTGCCATGAATAGGTTGCAGTCCCTTTTGGAAAAAAGAAACCTTTTTTGATTCTTCCTCACTAGTTCAGCTTCCACAAATATGGTTTCTATGAATTACTTTCGCATTTCAAATTTTTTTTTTTCTGTTGGCATTACACACCACGTAGATCTTTTGCAGCCTTTAACAAGCCTGCTCCATCTCTGCCTATCTTGGGCTATTTCTTTCCATTTATCTGCACGCGGCTCTATTGCACCTTTGTTAATTTTATCTATTTATTCCTTTTTGTCCTTCCACATACTCTTTTGGCTTCTATTGAGACATTCACATATCAAATATGTATATGTATATATCATGAAGGAGCGCCAGATGTTCCAAACTTCTTGAGAATTGATAGACATGGTGGTACCCACATAATCTACTTAATTCGTGAGCAGCTATACAATAAACTGCTCTTCCTCTAACCTCTACATACTATTTCTTCTGATGTAAATTATCCAGAAGTACACCCATTCCATAAAATATGAATGCAGTGAAAAACAAACAACAGAGCTTATGCTAGCTTAGATTAATGTGCACACTCCCTCTGATTCTGAAATGTTAACAGGTTAGCTGACATAGTAGTGACCTTATGTCAAAAAAACACATGTCAGCATAATGTGCGAAGACCATAATGACATTTAAGGTTGCATCATGAGTTCTCCAATTATGCATACATTGGCACACTGAATTATTACTTAAGTATTTTAAAAATTGGCAAAACGACACAATTTACATTAAAATTGATACAGTACGAAACCCCTTAATACAACAAATATAACTTGCATACTTATTTAAAAGTTATATTATCTTTGTAAGAGTTATATAAATAAGTCAAAATAGAAAAATATAAAGTATTTATTCATAAAACTCAATGCTGGCTATTATTATTAAAAATAAATAAAGTAATAATGTGATCTTACAGTTCGGCAGCTGCAGCTAATTGAAGCATGTCACCAGCATTCGTATAATACATGAAGAAAAGGAGGTCTTCTTTGTATCTTGTTAACTTCAATTGGGCAAGTTTATCCCTAAAATATAATATTAAACATTAACTACGTTTAATTAGAGCAATAATGTATCTGAATAAATTATAGATAACCTTTTATTACTTTCTTTAGCACTTAAATTCATTTTTAATATTAAAATTTTTCTAATGGATTGTCTAATAAAACAAATAGCAAATTTATTTAATAAATATGTAATGTATTATATAAGCAGTCATACATCTTTACATATTATTTCACAAAGGTGTTTTTTTGACTGAACGCCATAACTTCTTCATTTCTTTATCAAATTCAATGATGAAGTCCTCATTTCAAAGATCTCCTTCAGTTGTGAAAAATAGTCACATCCCCCGAAATATTAGGAAAAAAAAAAAGAAAAATTATTTGCAAAAAACTAAAAAAGTATGCATTTTTGCTTTATCATAATCACGATTACTTAAAACTCTACTAAATTTCCTACAAAAAAAAAAAAAAAAAAAAAAAAATCAAAATCAAAATAGATTAGAAATTTGTACCGACCGAAGGAGATAAGTAGGTTCAAATAATTTTTAAGAGAGAAAAAGAATTGAGATTTCTTTTTCACACATCGAGAAACACTCAAATACAAATTATCCTAGCAATCGAAAAAATAAATTTTTTGTTTGCTACCGATTAAGAGTCAAGGCTCTCCTTTGATTTTTTTTTTTTTGAAAATCAGAAAGTATGATAACTGCAACATTCTTTCACTTACCCACAAAAAATTTAGCAGAGTTAGGGCCCCATAAACTTCATGAAATTATAAATATCGGACCATTATTAACAAAGATACAGTCCATTAGATTTGGTATAAATAATAATTACTTCCTCTTCGAAGATACTGCATTTACTATTCTACTACCGTTTTTCTCCTTGCTGATATATACTTTATCATTTCTTAAAGGCATTTTTTTGTTGGTAATTTTATATTTTTTAAAAATTTAGAAAATCCCATGATTGAGGACTTATTTAGAATATGAAAGGTAATATTCAGCGTTTAAAAATAGGCTCTACAAAAGTAATTGATACAAATATTTTGGTTTATTATATTAGACCAAGGAGAACACAAGTAATTACTTATTTCAATATTATTTTGCTTTCCTTCACAAAACAACATATTATGTGGATTATTCTACTACCGTTTTTCTCCTGGCTGATATATAATTTATCATTTCTTAAAGGCATAGAATATGAAAGGTAATATTCAGCGTTTAAAAATAGTCTCTACAAAAGTAATTGGTACAAATATTTTGGTCTATTATATTAGACCAAGGAAAACACAAGTAATTACTTATTTCAATATTATTTTGCTTTTCTTCACAAAACAACATATTATGTGGATTATTCACATGGGCCAACTAGTATAATATTATTTAAAGAGAGATTAAAATACAATGAAATGCTAACCTGATACTATGGTTGATGATGTATTCAGGTGGAACATGGTAGTCTATATCCTGCGCCCTCATAGGTGTCTCTGCCCAAGGTCCACCAAAGGTAGGGTAAAGGTTGTCAGGAGAATTAAGATTAAGACCCAGGGCAGTGAGATCCTGACCCAACGCCAGCGACACCAGGTTAGGATCTGTTTCTGCTGCTCGGATGAACGTCAGCAGACCCACCATGCCAAATTGGTCTTTTACCATACTGTTGGGGATATTCGTCACTTTACCTACAAAACATTGCAATTGTTCAACAAATTTGATTTAAAAGTCAATGGAACATAAAAACAATACAATGTATGCAGTGATTGGATCTCTACACAATAGTAAATTGTTGGTGATACGTAAAAAGGGAAAATCCAATAAAAATGTTGGCTTGATTCTTCAATTGAGGCTTAATGTCAAATAGCCCTGGAGCCAGGGCCCAAAAATCGAGCTGATCGCAGGCGAAGATTTTATTGTAAATTACGAAAGTGTATGTTATTCTGAGTAAAAAAACCTTGTCTGCCGTTCCGGAGCCGCTGCTTTAAAAAATGGCGGCTGATTTAAAGAATATTAGGCCAATAATTTGAGGATCGAAACGGGAAATCCATTGCGAAAAATGTGAGAAAAGTTTCTATTTTTTTAACTTGTATATATGGGTTTAGACATGTAAAAAAACAAAATTGCTAACGCAGGCCACCAAGGGAAAACTTTTTACAGCCAAAAAAGTCAGATTTTTTCGATATTTTTTGGGTTTTTCATCTATAACTCCTAAACAATGCATCAAAGCGAAAAATGTGTTCTTTAATAAATTAAAGAACGTTAAATTTTGTGTCAAACGAGTACATAAAGTTTAAAATTTGGTTTCACTGTAAGGTACAAACCACGGTCAACCAACTCTGAGTTTTACCAAAAACTGGGACAAATTACTATAATTGGCCCTGTAACTTGGAAATAAGTTCCCTAAGAGGAAAAACCCATAGAATAAAAGTTGTAGAGCATCAAATTTCGCGTATACTCAGTATCAACTATTTAATGTAGTCACTTGCTGCAACAAAATCGGTAATCTCCCGAGGCTAGAATTGGTAATGAAGGTAAACGTGATTTTCAATATTTCAACAGTATGGGTGTCTATTCTACTGAGTTAGTTTTGTTTAAAGTCTGTTACATGCAGTATAAGCCTCTTTTCCACCTCTTAACAGCGAAAAGATTTTGGTAAACGATGTGCCGAAAGATACCGATTTTATAAAGGAATAACGAATCTCGATTCGAGATATATAATTGGCCAACAATAAAAATGTCAGTACACAGTATACGCAAAATTTGATGCTCTACAACTTTTATTCTATGGGTTTTTCCTCTTAGAGAACTCATTTCCAAGTTACAGGGCCATTTATAGTAATTTGTTTCAGTTTTTGGCAAATTTGGTAAAAATCGGTGTTGGTTGACCGTGGTTTTATACCTTACCGCGAAACCAAATTTTAAACTTTATGTACTCGTTTGACGCAAAATTTAACGTTCTTTAATTTATTAAAGAACACATTTTTTGCTTTGATGCATTGTTTAGGAGTTATAGATGAAAAACCCAAAAAATATCGAAAAAATCGTGACTTTTTTGGCTGTAAATTTTCCCTCGGTGGCCTACGTTAGCAATTTTGTTTTTTACATGTCTAAACCCATATATACAAGTTAAAAAAATAGAAACTTTGCTCACATTTTTCGTAATGGATTTCCCGTTTCGATCCTCAAATTATTGGCCTAATATTCTTTAAATCAGCCGCCATTTTTGAAAGCAGCGGCTCCGGAATGGCAGACAAGGTTTTTTTTACTCAGAATAACATACACTTTAGTAATTTACAATCAAACCTTCGCCTGTTCAAACTTTCGTCAGTTAATGACGAATATCCCGGAAACGAAGAGAGATAGCGAAAAATGGTTTATAATCTAATCATAATTAAAATTAATTTAAAAATTAATCTATACATAATTAAAATTATATTAGCTTTAATTTTGTATAGAACGTCTTTGTCGATTTTCCTAATATATGTGAAAACTCGAAAAAAGTAACCTTCTATGCGCCCCCTCCACATCTGACTCACCACCTAGCGGTGGGGGACTTTTAGTATGTTCACCTTTTTATTAGTCCAAACAATTTCCCAGAGTCAAAAATTGTACACCCACCATTTCTTTCTATACCCCCTTTTCGAGCATTCATTGACTGGACTAGAGGGGGCCAACGCTGTGTAAAACACATGTTTCTTGACAACCTGATAAACTTAAGTTTACATGATAGAATAATTACGAGTTCGTATCTTGGTGCCCGAGGGAGTTTTTAATTTAAATTTCTGGTTGCTGTAGAGTTCAAAACTGAATATAAAAAATTAATACTACCATAAACTAGGTTTGATGGCATCATAGCCTACATTAGACTTATCACTTCCAGAGACGTTTGCCGTGTCGGCCGACGTCATGGTTTTTCAATTGTAATTTCTAGTATTAATAATTAATGTGTGAAATATAGGTAGTACTTAATAATGATTTGGAGTTTCAATTTATTAATATCTTGATAAATTAATGGGAGAACATAAAAAAATTAAGTAAAATAAGATGGGCACCGGGCAGTTAAAATAGCGATGTGGTTTTATAGTTTACAACAATATTGATAGACTCAGGGTTTCATAATAATCAAGGCTGCATATTGTAAACAACGACATCGTTGTTATTGATGTATCGGCTTTAACGACGAAGACGCAATGTATGATGATTCAGATGGCTTTTGTAATGTAATTATGAATGTATATAGCGATAATTTAACTCCTAAAACCTTTGTGTTTATGTCTCACTTATCACAGAAATATTTTACTTCATTTACACTCATAGCTTTAAATTTATGTTTCTGTTTAGTAGTCTAATAAGAATAACGAAAAGCAAAAATTTTTTTGCTTGAAAGAAAAATCTACACATGTTGCCGACTAGAGAGGGAAGCTGCTGAATCATTTAAATTAAAAAAAAACAACGACTATTTATCTACTCACGACAAAATCGGTTCTTCTCAATATTCCGCTACTAGACTAGGAATTACCGGAAATTTCATTTAAGGAAGGATTTATAGCTGTAATCATTTTAAATTCTATAAACTTCATCTGAACACACAATTTTGGTTAGGAAGCCGTTGCTTTTTATACGAAAATTTAAATGAAACAGGCAATATTTGACAGTTTATTTAATGGAAGAACTGACGGCTGAAATTTTGATATGATTTCAAGAATATGTCTCTAAAAGAGAATTCACCTTGACTGACAATATAATCGGTTGCGTTTTGAAAACTGAAGACGTCAAAGTCATCTAATTAGGCCAATCGGATATTATTTAGATGAGGAAAAAATTTAAATCGGTTTTTAATGTTTTTTGAGATGCTGAATTTGAAGTTTCAGTACAAAATTTTCCATTGCGTTTCGAGATATGCATAAAAAAACAGCGAAATTTTCGAACTTTTTAGGACATGACTCCGAAACTATGTATACTATCAAAATTATTATTATATACAACATTAAAGAAGATATTTACTATCAATTTTACAAATAGCTTTTTGATTGGGTGGGGAGTTAGAGAATGTTGACAGTTAGCTTACTTCACAAGAAAAATTTCTTTCTGTCGGTTTTTCTCCAAAACTCATAATCTATTGAAGAAATTCAATATATTCAATTTGAAAGAGCATTAAATTTCCTACGTACCTCATGTAGACACGTTATGAGATATTTCGTGGCTGTTAAAGCTGATAGATTTGAAGGCTTATTTCCTTTGTAGAATCTGCCGCTCTCAACTTAAGTGCTTTTCAATCTATTTTATAACTATTTTTAGAAAATTAACAATTTTATAACTGTACTAGAATGTATAAACAAATTACATAGCTTTTATATATTCTGATTAAATTGAAAGTGCATCAACATTTTTGTTGAGCTCAGGACTAATTGCAACTATACGAAAAGTTGAAAAACCATTAAAGTGCTAGGACTTTGAAGTGCATTTCGGTTCATAAGTTTTTGATTATTATGTCTTTCATACTAACAGATTACATAAAAACTAGTTAATTTGTTTATACATTCCAGTTTTGTTATAAATAAAGTTAAATTAGCGGATCAAAAGCATTGAAAAGATAAGAAGGTTGAGAGCGGCAGATACTGCAAGTGAAATACACCTTCGATTTCTTGCCCTTGAACAGCCGCTTAATCTTCATAAATATTAACGTGTCTGCATGAGGTACATAGGAAATTTAATGCTCTTTCAAATCGATTATAATGAAATTTTTTGAGAGATGCATAAATTATGAGTTTTTGATGAAAAACCGATGAAAGAGACTTTTCTTGTGAAATAAGCCAACAGTAAACATTATAATAAACATGGTCGATAGCTCCAAGTCTACATCAGCGTTAAGTCAGATTTTATTGAAAATACTAACGAATATTTAAAATCAATTCGCTTTTCTTTAGATGCATCTTAAACTAGTACTACGCGAGGATGGATACAAATATTCTGCTCGCAAAATATTGCTTTTAAAAAATTTAGCAATGAAGCTGCCAGTGTTCTCCTTCAGTTAATCAACGAATGGTTTTTGAAAATTTAGCCGCCAGTTAGTGAGAATTACCATGACGTTGACATATTCAATGCAATTTTTAACAAGTTGATGCCTGACTGGACTTAGTATTTTGAGGTTGAATATTGTTTTAATGGGTGTTCGCCTAGAGACAGAATTATCGTTAAGTTCATTACCTTATGTAAAAAATAAATATGTCCGTAGATCTATACATTACAGATAGTAAATAGCATAAGTATGTTTTTCTTTTATTTTAAATCACTGTTTTAACTCCATTTTGTTCATTACTCTTGTTTAATTTTAATCTTCAATTAATAGAGGAAGAAGTCATTATGAACATACGTTTTAATGCATAGTGAATCAAAAATAAAATTAAACCAGACAAAATTGACCACAAATATTTCGAGAGAAACGTTAACTAACCGTCAGGTGATGTTTGAATTCCCCTCTTAGGAGGCTGAGGTGGTTTTGGGTTGGTGATAGTCGATTCACTTGCTGTTGTTGTAGTAGCTTGAGTTACTGTCAGCCTTGAACCCTCTTCACTAGTTGTTTTTTCCCCACTACCACCCCCAGGTGTTCCTTCGGAGCCTGGAAGAGCAGGGAAGTCTTCCGATGACATAGTGAATTCCGATGACTCTGCTGTAGGCTGTTTCACCATGCCCACTATGACACAAAATTAGAAACCACGATGTATATAAATGTTTAAGAGCACAACAATTTGATCAATTGCCAGGAGAAGTTAAATAGGATAATAATAATCTTAAAACTAATTAACTCAAAAATTAAATAATTTTTAATAACAAAATACTCATTTTGGTTTATTATTTTCAATAATGCAACATTGTGATCGACCAAAAAATTCAAAAACATAACCCTCTCTCAAAATTTGAGGTTTCACGTTTCAAGATGCGTAGAATTCGATAAACGAAAAAAAAATTTTTTGTCCGTCCGCGCATTTCCCCCGAAACTACTGGACCGATTTTTTTCAAATTTTAATATAAAATCAGAGGTCACCCGAGGATGATCCTCCTTCATCAACATTACTTTCCGCCTTCACTGGCGGCCGAAAAACCTGCATTGCTATAGACTAGCTCCTAAACGAATGTACACAGATTTCAATGAAACTTCGCTAAAGTCATTTTATCGGCGCCCTTTAAATTTATCTATATAACATACTTCAACGAAAACAAGCTAGAAAAAAAGTTACGAGGGATGGTAAATTTAAATTCCGAATAACTCGAAAAGTTTTTACTTTTTTGTTTATATTGTATATAGTTTTTTAAAAATTTATGAAATTTCCTAAAAAAAAAAATCATTAAAATCGGGCAATTAGGAGCAAAGATATGGTCTCCGTTTTTTTAAAAATGTATTCTACTCCAAATGTGATATCCTTGGTTTGGTTTTTAAATCTAAAATGTGTTACAGAACTAATGCTATTTTTTTTTTAGCATATTACTAATGATTAAAGAAAAACAGTTTAGTCCAATAATTGGAATCACCTTTTGTTTTTTTTTCTTTGTAACTCGGAAGGTAATGTTACTTTAGATGTATAATCGTTTGGAGATAATAAACCATTGTGAAATAATTTGCAGCGTTTTTTAATTGGGAGGAAAAACAGAAAATCTTAACAAATATGAATATTTAATCAACTGAAAGAGAAATTGTTCTACAATAAGCTTTTATATCATATTCAATTATTATGGCTATTGGCAAATAACAATTTATATTTGCTATGTAAAAAAAAAATTAAATAAAGTTTCCATAGATAGTAAAGAACATTGTAACTGAATGACTTTTTAAATTAAATCAAAGAAACAACCAAAAAGATTAAATGTAACCATAACCCTGAATAGACAACTAAAACAGCACAGCTAACAGGATTTACTGCTGCTTCATTCATTCAGTTAAATAGTTCAAATCAAAATATACAACTCCAGAGATAAAAAAGTAAGAATATTTATGTAGAATAGGAAATTAAACAGTTATCAATAAAGAGTTATAAATGATAGTTTGAAACCATAGCATATTTCTGGGCATTTGGTTAAACTGTTCAGCATTAAAGAAATCATAACCAATCAAATTTTTATTTACTAAATTGTAAGTTAAGTAACACAATTAAATACAAATAATTAATCACTAAAAGTTACCATAAGGTTGCTTTCCAGGTTGAAGAGTGGATGTAGGAGGTATTGAATCCGAGGCACCTCCACGATTCGTTAAAGATGGAAATTCTGAGAGATCTAGAAGAGGAGGTGTACTTGAATCCGCAGAAAAAACAGAATGGAAATTAGCCATGCTACTTGATCCGGTGTTGGATCCATAATTTCTGCTCGACATCATGCCAAAACTGGCCATTGAACCCATAGAACTAGAATTCCTAAGAAAAAAACAGAAATATTAGTAAACAAGATTAGGCATTTATAATTTAATAAATATAACAGGGAATCAAACAATTAATACTATGAAGATGACCAGAAAACAATGAATCTGAATGTAATTACAAGGTTCTACTTTTCATTTGTATTTATATATATTCACATACATACATACATTTATAATGATATGGAAATGGTTGACCGTGGATTCAATTTCACAAGAAATTAGTCAGGGGTGCGGTAAAAAAAATAATACTATATTTTATAATAGTATATTTTATTGTATTGTCCAACCTACCAGTCTTTTATTGTATTGTCCAACCTACCAAGAAATTAGTTGGGGGTGCGGTAAAAAAAATACTATATTTTATAATAGTATGGCTATATAAGATACAAACAACACATATTAGTTATTGGATTTTATATAAACAGTATATAATTAATTATAGAAGGTAACAGTATATGTAGATGACTATTGACATTCAGTTGGGATAAGGTAATGGATTATTTGAATAACAAGGATTATTAATACTAAGGGTAATAAGTAGTAGGTATATAAACAATAATAATAATAATAAGAGTAAAAAAACATACCATCATTATTGTTAATCTTTATATACCTATTACCCTTAGTATACATACATTTAGATAGATAGAGAGGAAAAGAAAAATCTAAAACATTCATTCCCTATTAAAATAAATGAATCATGAGTTAACTTGAAACACTATTAATTAACTTTTTTAAAATATCCTTATCACATATTACATTATCATACAGGAGTCTTTAGAATATCTCAAAACTTTAATATAATATAAAAATAATAACTAAATAATTAGATATTAAATAATTTAATTCTTTAAATGTATCTAATATAAATTCACAACATATAATTTACTTTTTATAGTTTCATTCTTTTCTGATGTGAAATGACTTACTGAAAATTCCAAAAAAATTTTGGAGTGAAAGGAACTGCTTCTGGGTCGGGAAATGGAAAAACCATTTTTTTAAAAGTTTCTAAAGCAGGAAGACAAATTAATCACTCACATAACGTTCCTTAACTGAGGCCAAAAACTGCTTTTAAAAAAAAAACACTTTCAATATTGCAAATATTTAATATTACTGCACTAAATTGTTATTGAAAAGTGTTTTATGATGAAAACATAAAGGAAAATATTTTTAAATTTGGTATGAATGAAAATTAAATAATTAAAGTATAGTGATTTTATTCGTTATGGTTGTAAAATAATGTATAAACTACAATCGGTATTAGCTAAAAAAGGATTAAAGTTGATCTGAGTATTTGTTTACAAAAGAACACAAGAGAATTATGCAGACAAGGATTCCTTCCAAATAAATTTTGTTTAGATGAATGTTATCTACCTTCAAGGTCTGTTATCAAAACTTTTTTGCCAAACAAATTCTGTTAGTCAAGTAAATTATAACGAGAAAACTTGTAGATAGTAGTACTGAGTGGCAAAAGAGAAAATAGCCAACTTTGAATTTTTAGAATATATAATCCTAAAATTTATTACGGCCTCAAATTTAAGACTTCATAACATGTATGAAGAATACATATCACTGGTACATAAAAAATTAGCTGTTACCCTGGATTATTTTTTTCCTTTACTATTAGTTTTATTAGTATTTTTATAACTACTCCAAAATTGTTAGAAAGTATTTTAAGCTTTATCAAACCATCTAATATGCTTATATGTTTGACAGATTAATTTTATTGTAGGAAAAAAAAAGTTATACATACAAATATAATTCATAATTGATAAAACAAATAATTAAAGCATAAAATATTAAAAATATAAAAGACACAACAGCATATAACTAATTATAATCTGAAAAGTTATGCCCTAGATAAATTGTAATACATAGCTTATACTTTGTAATTCATAGTTATTAATGATGTCATTGACAAGAAGGTAAAAAAATCATAATAATTAATCAAACTCATGGAAAATAAAATTTTATAAACATAATATTAACCTGAGGACAATTTAATGTTAGAGATATTACTTCTTTTCAAATCATTACATATGAAGTGTTTAGATTGGCATTTTCAAATTGGTTAACAACAACAGAAAAATATATTTTGACACACCCTGAATGACAAATACAGTTTTATTCATCCTCTATTATATTAAGAGCAATTTCTGTTTGCGAAATGGAACTTGGAATTCTGAGAAAGTATTTTTCTTATATTTTAAAATAAGTGTTTGGGGCCTCAGAAATCTATTGCCATAACTCTTAACCACAGAATACAGATACAAATACGGTTTTCATAAATTCTATTGTAAGTATTATGTAACATTTAATTCTATAAATTACAGCCACATAAAAATTCAAATTTGTATATATAAGGGTAATTAAACAAATAAAAACACCCACAATGAAATGTAAATAAACACAGTGCCTTTAATTTTTACTTTCACTTCTCCTTTGTCTGAAAATACTTATTTCTTCAAAGAGGGTGGTAAGTGAAAGTTGTGTCATGCACGCACCATGTTTTTTAATATAAACATTAGGTGTATACTATGTCAGGTTGGCTACCAGATTGTTAAGTAAAATTCTCTGAATAATATATCTGGAGACACAAATTTTAAAAATGTATAATTTATAAATAACTATACTTAACAATAACTCTATATTGCTCCATTAAACAAATAATAATATTAATACCTTAATAATATAAAAAATAAGTTTACACATTCATAAATTTATTAATTATACATGAAAGACATGTATAATAAATAACGACAAAATCGGTTGTTCTGAATATTCCGCAATCAGGATCAAGGCAGATTTTACTCGAAAAGATTAACAAATATTTATAATCAATTCGTGATCCATTTGATGAACCTCACACTAATATTGTGTGAGGAGCAATACAAAGATTCTGCTCCAGACACAATACTGTTTTTTAGAAAAATAGCTGTGAAACTGCCAGTGTTCTCTTTTAGTTAACCAACAAATTGAAATAAACATATACAATGCGTGAAACAATTTTTTAAAAAGTTAATGCTCGATCAGACTCTACATTTTAAGATTGAAAAATATACCAATGGAAGTTTATCTATAGACAGCATTGCTGTTAAGAAGTTCATTAATTTATTAAAAAAACAAATAAATACACCCATAGATATATATATTACAAATAGTAAATAATATTGGTATGTTTTTCTTTTAAAAAAGGCCATTTTACTTACTACTATTGTTTGATTTCAATATAACGACCAGTGCCATTATTGACATGTCAAAGGTGGATGAATATAGCCACCGTGGTCATTAATATTGACAAAGTTTATCCCTTCAAAATCATTTTAAACGATATCGATTGTATACTTATTCCCAATTTGTAAAAAATATTTACGTACTAAAAAATTCCCTGACTTCTCTCTGTTTTGAAAATTCTCTGAGTTTTCCCATTTTACCAGGTCGGTCACCATCCTTTATGTGCATAAAGGATATAGGAATAGGGAAATCCACTAAGTAAGGCAGTAGTAGGTTATTATTTGTTCAGTTTTTCACTTAATTCACAATTAAAATTCGTGGACCTGAGGCACACCTGGGTGTGCCTATGCGCTACGAAATGGATACTCAAATTTAATAATAAACAAGAGGAAAAATATGGCAGCTGAGCTTGATTTAGTCCAAATCACTTCCTTATAAAACCACTGACCAAGAAACAGTATTTTCTGACAAAATACTGAACTCAAGACACCCACGTGGATGCTTTTTTCATGTGTATACTTAATATATGCTAGTATACAGTTTTTATGTGTATACATGAATGTTTTAATTTCTACTGTTTTAATTTGTACTTCTTAAATGGATATTCATACAATTTTTTATGAATATGTAACCTTATTTTTTATATTATTAATATATATATATATTTTTTTTCTATAGTCTATTTATTGGAATAATAATAATACAATCTACCACAATCAACGACAATGGGCGGGTATTAATTAAGGCTCTATATGTACATTCATACTATTATATACAAATTGAGAAAAAATAACACATCTAAGTAAAAAATATGTACAATAAAATAATAACAAAAATATAAGATACTTGAAAATTGGAGGGCCTGGGAAAGTTGTTGAAGTAGACGAGAGTCTTTTTTCTAAAAGAAACAATCATGTAGGGATAGTTCTCCCTGAACAATGGATGTTTGGTGGAGTTTAAAGAGAAGCAGACAAGTGTTTCATCATAAAAATAAAGGACAGAAAGGTAAGAACTTTATTACAATGTATTAAAAATAATATAGAAGAGGGAAGCATTTATTGTGAATGTTGCAAATGATACAACACCCAATAACTGAATAAAGCAAACTATCATCATTTGCAGGTGAATCACCAGTATAACTTTGTTGATCCATCAACCGGGGTCCATACTCAACGCATAGAGCGTTTATGGAGCTCAGCTAATTCTAGAAGTAAGAAACATTGAGGAACTGCGAGACAACACCTCGATTCATATTTATGTGAACTTTTGTGGAGGCGGGCTCACAGAGAAGAGGACTCGTTCCTCGCTATTTTAAATAGCATTAAGCTATTTAGTCAGTCAAAATAAAGTATGAACATATATGCGTTGTATGCATAAAATGAAAGTGTTTTATATGTATATATGTTGTAAAATAATAGTGTTTTGTTATTTATATTTCTTTTTGTTTCATTATTACACTGTTTTTGTCTATTTCAATTTCGATAAAACAACATTTGTTTTTGTCTATTTCATATATATGTTGTAAAATAAAAGTGTTTTGTTATTATTACATTTGTTTTTGAATTTCATAGGAAGATAGGGATTATCAGAATTATCAGTGTTCAGGTTATAAACATTGACAGATAGCAGTCCATACCAACCCGACTGTTCACAAGTACCAAACATGTTTATTCCAGTAGATACCATTCTACAGCCCCAATTTATCTAATTTTTTTTTTATATTAAGTAACATGGGGGTAGTTTCATATCTTGGTTCATATGAAATTGTATTCATTGCATGCATTGTATTCATCTCTATCGATTCATATCACTAAGATTGAAATTCAAAAATTTTATATTGAAAAAATACAAAAACCTCAGTGAAAAATTATAGAGCAAACTAATACTCTAGTAAATATTTATTTTATTCATATAATAAACATTAGACGCTCCATACAAGAATATAATTCAATTTTATATCCTCATCCTCAGACAATGAACAACTGTCTAAATAAATGATGCAAATAATGAAGTAGAACATTGAGATATGACGTGTTAATTTATTTGCTTGGCAAGTATATAATTGCATACTATATTATATATAAAATTTATTGTAGAATTTTAATGTTATTCAATAGAGATGAATATGGTAAAGGACACCCAAAGCTCCTCATGTTACTTATTATAAAATCAAATAAGATAAAATAAGACTCTGGAAAGGCATACAAGCTGAATAAATGTAAGAGAAACATTTTCATTAAATTCTTGTGAGATAAAAAATAATTTTAAGAGATAGAAACAATCAATACAAATACAATTTTTATGATCTTACCAGTCTTGTATAACAGAGCCCAGGCCAGTAATCTGCCGCCTTTCAGCTAGAGCTGACCTTGAAAATAAACTTCCTCCCCTTCCTGATGTTAACCTGCTAGGGCTCAGTTGTCCACCCGGTGTAAATGCAGGATTGAACATCCCAGAGGTAGGAGTTACATGACCGGTCGAAATGGAATTAAATCCAGATCGAGAACCACCCATTGACCGAGGCGCAGGTTGAAGGTTCAGGTTAGCCATCACATCAACCTAGATAAAACTTTTTGTTATCATTCATGCATATAAATACATTACTGGAAATGAATGAATCTCACAGTTCTAAACAATAAAAGCATTATAATGAAATAATGACTTTTTTTTATAAACATTCGAAATATGCCAACATAATTTTTAAATTCTTCATACATAACTAAGTTTTTTTACAATGACGGTTTAATTTATAATTCATAGATAAATATAGAGACCATGACAAAGTGAAATATTTGTTGTGCTAAAGTTTATTTTTAGGAAAAAACAGACCTGATATCCATGTGTCAATCGTAAAGTATTGAAAGTGAAAATAATTGTTATTATTACAGTAGCTAGAGGGAAGGAATACACATGAAGGCAGATTTTCGAAACTCTCATTTGCTCGGAAAGGCCTATATTATAGCAAATCAAAATTTCAACAGTGTTTGATGAAAGCTGGTAAAGAACAGGAGCTCGAAATAAATATGGATTAGACAAAGGATATGGTTGGCAGCAAAAATTTAAGTGTTGTATATATTGAAGGAAATAATTTCGAACATGTAGAGAAGTTTAGGCTAGGTTAAAGGTGGAAAACGCTCGCTATTCTTCAGTTCCGAAACTACTTAGCTCACGGCTGCAGTCCCGAAACTTAAAAATCAGAATTTACAAAACCATTACAGTTCTTGGTGTGTGCGAAACGTGGGCGCTTACATTAAGAGATGAGCAATGTCTTAATGTTTTTGAAAAGTATTGCACAGAATATTCAGACTGAAAACGGATGAGTCAACCAGAGAATTTATGCAGTTGATAAAAAAGGCAACGCTGAACTGCACCTGGCTAATATAATTAAGACAATTAAGCGGAAGTGAATAAAATGGTTATGTAAAATCGCTGGTCTTAGCAATAAAAAAATTCCTAAAAAGTTAATATGTGCTGTGCTGACTGGCTTGCATCTGAGGAGTAGGCCAAAGCGAAGGTGGGAAGATTGTATCGGCATCGAAGCTTTGGGTTCGTTTAGCCTTATTATTATAATTACAACTTAATCATAGCATTAATTGAATAAAATATACAATGTTTTTAATTTATGAGAAAAAAAACAACACTCAATCGCATGGGCTTGCAGAGAATCAACCACCTCCTCAGTTCATTACGAACCAGCTATTATGGTATCCTCAATACAAACGAATTTTAGGTAACAATTACTTTCTCCTTAACATCTTTCCATTTCTTTCTTATTTGAATTTCATAAAAATTCTATAAATGTCACATTTTAGGATTAATACTTTGAAATTACGTGAACAAAAAAATGAAATTTTTGTTCTAACAATAAACAAGGGAGGAAATATAAATAAATTAATTTTAACAAAATATCAACAAGTTGAAGTAATGAAATAAATATTACCTTAGAATCATTCGAACCTCTTATTCTATGCAATGTAGAAGAAGCAAACATCACATCACTGACATTACAGTCTTAACTGAAACAAGAACAGAAAAAAACAAATTAACATAGACACTTGGATAAATTTTAAGACTGCATATATCATTATATGCATGTAACATCAATTGCTGTTTATATAAATATATTAAACACACGATGTTTGCAAAAATAGAATCAATACAGGTGAGGTCTTGCAACGCACTTTAACAATCAAGTCTTAAAATAACATTATCACTCATTCATATTAGATATTAAATAAATGAAGAACTTTTGAACACTGACAAAGAGTTCAATATTAGTCAGTAAAAAAAAAAAAATTGAGTACGCAAAAAATAATATTCATTTCTAAATCCGAACCTAACATGTTGGTTTAATTAATAATCTATAAGATTTCATCAAATTACTTATTCATAAAAACAATCAAAAGTAAAAAATAATGAAGATTATTTACTTAACACAAAATGAAGTTAGTGATAAACTTTTTTGTAGAATTCATGTAATGGGTGCACATTTATAATAATAAACAATGGGGACACACAGCAATATTGTCCCGATTACAATGCCAAAATTATGTATGCCATTAGATAAACATCAATATTACTGTTTATAATAAAAAGGTACTAAAAAAACAAATAACAATAAGCAGTTTATATACCTTATCTTTAATAAATGCTTGCAATTCATAACCATTATTTACATGACAAAATAACAACATTGTTTATATACATTGAAAAATAACCTTTAAACATGCTATTGACATTAGGCTTTAATAACTAGAATAAAAGCACACATAGAAGTTCCAATTCAAAGATTTTATTACACCAAACATTGCATAATAAAGAAAGGAAGCAATAGATGTATCACTTGGTGGTAGTAAACAACACACTTTATAAGGGGATATTATGACTATAAGTCAAGAATAATTAAATGAGAAGTTCACAGAATCAAATAAGAGTTAAGAAAGATACTCTGAATAAATTAAAATCAAGATAATTCTCATTTTTAAGTTGAAATTGGGACTCATGATTATGATATTATCCAACAAAAAACTGTCCTCACAGAACAAATATTCGAACAAAAACAAAGTTTAAAATGTATTGACTGTTACATACACTGAAGTTTAAAAACAATTGTGGGCCTAAATTCATATAAGAAGAGAAAAGCTTTTGACTGAAACACAGCAACACTAAAAAAATTCACACTAAATCGGCTAGTTGGACGAGTTTAAATGAAAAAACTTTTCACCAACTGAAATGAAATTCATTAGAACGAAATAAGTGAACCTACGTGTTTTAAAAATAAGAATTATATTTTATGCTGTCCCAAGGAACAATACAATATGAAACCAGCCATATTTTACTAAAGCAGTGAAAGAAATCGAGTTACATTTACGAATATAGTTTTTCCTTTTAATAAATTTTATATTATTTTAAAAATGTTTAAAATATATTTGCGTAATAAAAACAATAGTTTTTGACAAATTTTGTATATTTTTATAAATGTTGTAAATATATGAAGTATTGATTTGGTGGGCTTGTAGCCTGATATCGAAAAGTGGGCTGGGCACTTTTGACTGACTGTGGCCATCTAACCTGTGTCAGATTCAAGTTACATATTTTTTCTTTGCGAACAGTACCTATCAATCTTTTAAGATGTCTCTTAGCGACGCAGATGTACAAAAACAAGTAAGTTTTCTCATATTTATTAATTCTTGCTCCACTGGTGTTATATTTCAATTTCCTAGGTTCAAGTAAAATAATAGGTTTTGCTAATTAATTTTTATCATTGGTACTTTAAAGTGTAGCAACTATGATAGAAATGGTTGCTGTCTTTTATAAATTTGTATTTTAAGTTGAATTAATGTATACAATTATTTTAATGTTATCAATTCCTTATAGACATGACCTGATTTTGCACTAAACTTTTCTTTTTCTTATGGTTTAATATTAATATAATCTTTTAGTTCAATACTATTTATAAAAATTGTGTTTTTATAGTTGTTTAGTTTATTGTTATTATTGAATTTTTATGGCTGCCACACCCACTTTTTCGTGAACATATTCTTTTACATTTTGAGACTCAATATTACTTTTTCACTTCATGTGTTCGCTTATTCCAGATCAAGCACATGATGGCCTTCATTGAGCAGGAGGCCAATGAAAAGGCTGAAGAAATTGATCAAAAAGCTGAAGAAGAATTCAATATTGAGAAAGGAAGGCTTGTTCAGAATCAAAGATTAAAGATCATGGAATATTATGAAAGAAAAGAAAAACAGGTGGAACTTCAAAAGAAAATGTTAGTTTCAATTTACTTTGATAACTATAAATTTTTACTGTTTTATTTATTATTTAATGATGGCTTATGAATACAGAAAAAAGTTTTGTTTTAGAGAACTTTTGTTAGTATTTAATAAGTTAAATCATATAACTGTTATTATCTATCAACATATTGCTTTCCTAAGATAATGTATAGCTGAGAGTCATTATTTGATTAGTACATTTGAATATTCAAAATTTGACTGGAAAGTTTATTTCATGGTGACAGGTTGTTTTGATTTTCTCTGTATTATCATGTACCTGCATTACTCATGTCCCTGACACTGTTTTAGGTGTTCCTGATTTCTTTCAAGTTACTTTTTACATTCCAAAAATCATTTAGTTTGTAATAAACATAGTAAATGTACAGTGTTTTTTTTAAATTTGGGTGAACATTAATTTAATTATAGACAAGATACTGCCCTCATTCTTTTTCATTATACAAACTAAACATTATTATCGATTCATGGCTTTATTTTAACTATTCTTCTCTTTCTCTCTCAGTTTATTATTACCTAAAGATTGCTAAATTTTCCGACCACATAAAAAGAAAATAACATTAATGTTGTGTAGTATAAAGCTAAACGAGCTTATGGTTTGGATAGTCCAATATTAATTTTTAAAGAATCTGATTTTCTGAAGTATTTAAAGAAAAAAAGACTATCAACTCTGGAAAATGTCTGCATTCGGGGATTCCTGATAAACATTTTGTTAATGATCTTGATGTAAAATTTTAGAATTATCAGGCCCAAAACTTGATGGTTAGTATAGCAATGGATTCCTAAAAACATGAGTTCAATTTTTTTTTAAATATATATTTGTTATATTAATCAAGAGATATAATGACCCTCCTCTAGTCTTTTAAAAGTGAACACTTGCCCCTTCCTTGCGTCAAGGTAAATTCTTCCTTTATTTTTATCATACAAAACCGGTAGTAGATCTGGGACATGGTCGATAGAAGTGGATAACTTTTTCAATCCTTCATGATTCAGTTAATCTTGTTCCAATAACTGTCATCATTGAATTTTATGAGACCAAAATCAAACTTCTTACATTATGTGAAATTTATTGTGATAGCTGTATCAGAGATCTGTTTGTGGAATTTCCTGAAACTAAGTAAAATGGAACGAGGAATGTATTTCATCATTAGAAAGATATTATCGATGAAACCCTATGCTGATAGAATGATTGTTGAACAACTTCCCAAAACTACAGTGCCATTCATTTCTAAAACCGTGGCAGGAATAAAGGGAGAATAATTATCCAAATAGTGTTACTTAGCCGTGTAATAGTAAAGTAACAACTGATATTATAAATTAAAGGACACTTTTTTTTTTATTAGAAGTTCTTTTTATTGAATTAACTTTTACAACAAATCCACAATAGGAAATATTTTTTTTCTCAGGATTTTCTTGCCTTAATTAGCTTCTTGGATATCATATTATCTTTTCAATTTAATGGATTTGCAAAAAATGTTGCATATATCTGTTTAGAAATGATTACTAATTCAGGTAAAATAATTCAGATAGATTGATAGAGCCGATTTTGTTATTTATATTATGGATTTTATTAGTGTTTTGTTAAATTTATAAGTAGTTCTAATATGATACAAACTTTGTTTCTTCAAAGTTTTGGTATTAAAAAAAACAAAACAAATTGTCATATTCTTCCGACACTTATCCTTATCCAACAAGTATTCTTTCAGAATTTTTTTCTTTTAGTATGTTCAACAAGCTCTTATGTACCTCTGCAAATAATCTGTTCTCCTCTATCACTATACTTATTCCCATTGCTGTTGTATAAAAATGCAACTTTGCTCATTTCTTGTCAATTTTCATGGATTATTCCTCTGATTAGTTGCTTAACCAACAATGTATAAAATGAACTGAAGTTTCTTATAACTGCTCTCTATACTACTCTATTAGAAGAAGGTGCTATATCTCTATTTGTTTTTTGGCTTAACCACGAAGGCTGAAATGTTGGCACATGTATCTTTTTTTTATGTTGGTCACTCCGTCCTACCAACTACTCGATGGTATCTACAGTTAACAATATCTTCACTATTATAAAGTGTTAGTACATTTTCTTATAGCATTAGTTAGTTTAATAGGTGATAATTTACAGTAGAATGTTTTTCATGCGCACTTAATGTACTCAGACATTAAAAACATTCTGCCAGAAGTAATTGGATATACACAAAATATTATGGACAAGGTGATAATTTACTGTTAGTTTAGGTTTTAGCCACTTAAATTTCAAATTATGAAAACATTTAATTTCTTGTATTAGTTTACAGTTTATATAATGAGAAAAGAAATCTTCTGAAATAATTTGGAAATGCTCTTTTTAATAATAAATCATTAAGTTTCATTCATATTTTTTAGCCAATCTTCAAATATGTTGAATCAAGCTCGACTCAAAGCTTTGAAAATACGTGAAGATCATGTTCGCGATGTACTCGATGAGGCCAGGAAGAGACTGTTGCAATCAGTCAAAGACGAAGCACGTTACAAAGATATCCTTGAGAAACTTATGCTTCAGGGGTTGTACCAGGTATTATTTAATTTTGAATTATTATTATATGCTATTATCAAGGAAAATAAGCTTGTTATAAACATTAGGATTCTTAAAGAATTGTTGGGATTGGGTTATATAGATACTTATTTTTTTCTCTCCTTTACATAACTTGTTGATGCCACCTCTTTGTTATCTTTATCTTTATCTCTTCAGCTGGCCTATCTAGTGCTAGTACTTTTCAGTTTGCAGCACACAGCTCTGCAGCATCTTTGTTGATTACGTCTATCCACCTTCTGTTTGACCAACTATTTTGGCATTCATTGCTGTGTAGAGACTTCCTGATGAATCCCTTCAGGTCACATATTTCATTCATGTTAATCTCCTTGTGTTTATATCATGAGATATAAACTGACTAGTTTCTGTAAGTAGTTCTTCATTGGACTTCCTTCTCACTGTGTTAATATTCTGATTCCAAATCAAATCGCTCTGATTATTGTGCAGGGGACTTTTCTCTCAATTTTTTTAATTCTCCTTTCTATTGTGCAGTACATCTGTACTGGCTTTATTATTTAGTATTTTAATCTCTTAGTTTGATATTTCTAGAATTTTGTTTAGAATTTCTGAATCCTTGATATAGGGAAGAAAGCTCTATTTTCTAACATTTACCATACTTGTTATATGTTAGTCTATCAATGTAGGATATACTGGATTATATATAAGACAATCGAATGTATCTTTGGAAAGAATTTATTTATTATTTATTTATTCATTTCCAAGTTTTTAGAAAAATAAATTATCACTTTTATTTTTCTTGTACTTTATAGTTATTATTTCTAATATTTTAGATTCTACAATAGTTAAATTTATTGCATTTTTTATTATTTATAAAAGTAATTCATAATCTTGATAATTATAATTAATTTAGTGAATACATTATACTGTTTAGAATATATTGTACTTGGGGTTTGAGCCATCTATTAATACATTAATGGATGAATTTTAGATGGTTTATCTCAATTCTATACAACTAAACCATAAAACCTGTGTTCTATAGTATGTGTAATGTTTTATTACTGAGTGTACTAATTAAATTTATTTGTTACTGATGTAGTACTTGTATAAGGGTTGTTTCTTGTTTACTTAAGTACTGAATAAAATATTCCAATGTAAGAATACTTCAGAGTGAAGAGAAAGTACTTTGAATTGGAGATATTGCAAGCTTGAATTGCTCTCAGCACACCAAATAGAGCAAATTCTTGAAGTACTTTACTGAAGACATTAATTAATTCAAATATTTGAATAAAATACACAGTATGATTTGGTAGAACTTTGATTTGATTTAAGAATTTAATTTAATAATTATTACTTTAATTTGACTTTGTAACCTGTTTGCATTTTACTATAATAGCTTCATGCATTTTAAATATAATAATTGTTATCTAATCCCTTATGCGTTTTGCATAGTTGATGGAATCAGACATTTTGGTTAGAACTCGTGAAATGGATGGCCCAGTTGTGAGCTCAGTGTTCCCTGATGTGCTGGTGAAATACAAGGAATCATCAGGTCTGAGAAATAATTGTTATTAATAGATTTTTAGTAGGTTACATTAATTTATAATAAAAACACACTTAAATAATACATATTAAAAAAAACAATTTTTTTTTTGTTGACTTTCTGAAAGGAACAATTATTTTTTATCTGACCTGTTTGTATTATCTAGGAAAGGCTTTGAACCTTTTAAATTGTGATTTTGTACATTTAAATTATTATAAATTATTTCTTATACCAAAATATTTTAAAATTATCTTTTGACTTTTACAAATGTTCAGGCTGTCTAGCCATTTGAACCATTTTAATTCTTCCAAAATATTTGAAAATCAAAAACCAATTAAATTACAAGAAGTTATTGTATTTATATAGTAAAGTTGAAGTTACAAAACAAATATGCATTATATGAAAATCAATGTAAAACAAATTAAATAAAATGTTAAATGTTAGAATTAGGTTCAATTTTTCAAGAAATAAAAATTCTGTTTTTATTAAATATCTGTGATATCAGTCTCCAATCAGATTTAATCTCTTTCAGCTTTGTACTTATTACGCTCAATTAAATTTGCAAAACTGTGTAATGTACCTTGGTGGTGATACATTCCTTATCTTAAAGTAGTCAATAGTGAATTTTGAAAGATTAATCATTTAATTATAAGTAAAGTAAATAATATAACTTCTTCAGGTACATTGTATATACATACAAGTATATTGTAGAAGGTTCTAAAAATTATCGTCTTCTAATCATTTTTATTTTCTTCTCGCCTCTATTACTTGACGTGATAATTAACAAATTATAGTACACCTATCCCTCATATTTACATGTTTCAATTAATGCAGATTTATATTTACATGATTGAAGAATCAACACTTTTCCTCTGATTTGTGTGGTCCAATTTGGTTTTATATAAAATTTAATTTATTTTTATGTCACAATTTCTGTTTGTTTTCTTTACCTCATTCTTGACTTCTTTTGGTGTAAGCACTTATATTTTGTTAAATTGGTACATAGATCAATTGTCATATAAAGAATGGACATCAATAACAGGTCGTGTCAAACCAAAAATCAAAATCTCAATGCCAGAGCTCAATCAGAGCTTCAGGATGGGTATGGGTGAGCAGCAGAGCTCAATGCCATTGTCTACATTCTATAAAGCTGGCTAAATGCCCAAGTAATTAATATTGATTGTTTATATTAACGATGTGTCGTTCAGACTCTTTGTAATGACATTGAAATTCCCTAAAATTTTCTAATACTCAATTTTTTTAGTTTGGCAATTTATTCTCCCCTCTCTCACTCTCTTCTCCCTCACTCTCACTCCCTCTCTCTTCCTTTCTCAAGGAATAAACTTGAAACCATGTTCTAATTTACCCATACTAGCAGGTTTTTCATGACTTTATGTTCATTTTCTACAGAATAAAAAAGAAGCTTTCCCCTCTTTTGGAATATGTTGATTACCGGAAGTATAAGTCATTTTTCCTGCCTTAGTTTAGTTTAATGTGTATACATTAAATAAAAATTCAAATAAAAATCAATGATGATGTTACCAGTCTTTTTCAATTTTAGCTGCTGTTTTTATTTGAATAACTATTCAATAACTAATAATTACCTGTATGGGTGATACATTTATGCACTTTACCATGGTGTTTATTATTGTAACATAGAGTTTAATGTTAACATCTAGTGAGAAACTTGTTAAAACCTTATTAGGCCCATAGTTTCTGTCAATTTGTTGATTCATTTAAACTGTTGCATTTTTAAATTCAGGTTCACCGAGGACATTCATACATTGACTTATTTGATTAAAATATATTAATCTCAGAGAATCTTTAGATTAATCAGTTAATCTTTTGATAACTCTTTTCCAATGTATGTATATGTTTGATTTTTAATGAGTGGTCGACCAGTTGTAAACTGTTTCTTTTAGATCAAGACATTTTTATAGAAGAGATCCCTGTTAAAAGCTATACCACTACTTTAAAGGGTATACTTTAAATAGGTCTCTCTGTGATAAAGTTTAACTAATTTGATATAATTAGAATATGTCAACTTATTCATAGCTAAATCTTAGATTGGGACCAGACATATTCTATCTGATTTTTTTTTTTTTCCTTTTCAGGTATTCAAATAGAATATTTTGTGAAAAAGAACCTAATCCCATACCTATCCTCAATCTCCATACTCATACTGTCCTTAAAATGGTTAAAACAGATTCATAAATTTTTGTATATAATTTATTTTAGTTCTAAATTGTACTAAATTTGTGATAATTGAAATTTTTAGGTAAGGATTTGCAGCTGAAGTTGGATACAGAATTGTACTTACCATCTGAATGTGCTGGTGGCATTGAACTTTACACTGCGAGAGGCCGTATCAAGATTGTTAACACTCTTGAATCCAGGCTTGATCTTATTTCAGCACAATTGTTGCCTCAAATTAGAACATCCTTATTCGGTCGTAATGTGAACCGTAAATTCACTGACTAAATGTCATTAACATGGTTGGTTGAAAAAAATATGGAAATTAATCAGTTCAGCCATTCTGTGAAATACTAGTTATTCTCTACTTAGTTATGTGGAATTTAAAAATCTCATTTTCCATTTAAGTATTATTGTTTTTTAAATTATAAAGAAGAAAAATATGGAACCTTATAGCATTTTGCTTTTTAATTTTTTCAGTCACAGAATGGAATGAACTTCATGATTAATCCCATTTCATACCACTACTACATTCCAGAATATTTTGTCTTAAATAATAAAAATCAACTACAGCAAAAACACAATATAATAAGAAAATATTTAATTAGCCTTTTGACCGAACTTTTAATTCCATAAATCTTCTGAATGCCTAATTTCATATTTTATCATAGGTGTTGGTTGAGAAAAGTTTTTGAATTTCCCCCCTTACATATTTATCTGTTTATGGTGTACATAACAATGTAAAAAATTAATAGTTATGTCACTGCTGTTACTGTTATATTTATTTTCTGAATAGTTATTATTGTTATGTATATTTACTGTAAAATCAGTAGTGCAAAAAATAAGAAATGGTTATTTTGAATGTTATTATATTTTATCAGGAATATGTTGCTTAAAAAAATGTAGATAGAAAAAAATAATGTATTTTGAAAAATAAAAATGAAAAGCAACTTAAAGTTAAATATCTAGATAGAAACAATAATTTATTTTCAAATATAAAAACAACTATAAGTATTTTGCAAATTGGATTGTAAGAATTTAATTTTGTTTTTAATTGTTTTGAGTATTAACACTGTTCTAAGAACTAGTTTTACAATATGTATCAATCATGTAACTGATTGTTCAATATGAAATATATTGTGTTAATATAAATATATATATTATTTATGCCCTGAGATATTATCTATATTTGAAGTGAGATTTAAGGATTTATTTTATAATAATTGCTATTGTTTCATGCTATGCTAAGAGGAACACTATTAGATAAATATACTTGTGTCATAAGTATGTAAAATTAAGTAGTATGTGCCTGGTTAATTATATCATGTAGATATCTTGTAGAAAAAAGATGTTCAATTGGGCTGGATTTGGAGTGAGAACTAAAGGGTGGATCACTTTCTCCTGGCAGACTTTAGAGGGCAGCAATATTTGTTTTAGCTTAAGTAAAATATATTTATTTCTGCTCTACAGTTGTAATGACCTTAATGTAGTCAATATACTTGAGTTAATGTTATAAGATACTGATAATAATCTCAAAGTATATTCTTAAACTATTCTTATGACAAATAACTTTTATTAGGCGAGGAAAGGGGAGAAGAAAGGAGATGAATAAACAAGTAAACAAATTAAGATTTCCACTGCTGGCAAAAATGGTAGTTATGGCCTTTTGTTCAACTGTCAAAGTATTAGTTTAAAAATTTAATTAATTTTTATGAGTCTTTAGCCTCATTAAAGATCATTTGCATTAAAAGAAGAAAAAGCGAGCATTTGTTAAAAAAAAAGAATGAAGTGGTTAGATTATTTTATATATATATATATATATATATATATATTTCTAAGTAACACGTAAAAATAGAGCTTTAAACAACGAGGGGTGCTCAAACAAAAAATTCCTTTTTTTTTCTGATATTTTACATAGAACAATATTTAATGAGGAACTTAAGGTCTAGGTTCTATTAATGTTGGAAGTAAGACAGTTAAATTCTTATTTTTAACTGGTTTTTCAATTATCTTATTGAAATTCGCAAGTGTTTAAATCAAAAATTATTTAGAAAACCTTGCAGAATATTGAATATATTTTTTTTACCAGCTTTTCATTTTCTATGTATTTTTTATTGAGTATTTATTACTTTGTATATAATTACTCAGTTACTGTATTAGGTAGGATTACATCGTCTTCCTTATTGCCTTAAGTTGCATGTATCTCTTTCAATGCACACTTTTATTTTTATTTCATATTATATTTTTAGGAATATTATCTTTTCTTGTCATGTGGCTAGCTGATGTGTCATCACATTGAGGGACTGGATTCATCCCTAAATTCCTAAACTGTTGGTTGCCTTTATTTGGCTATTGAAATATCAGGTTCATCTTTGCTGGCGATTCCCTCTAACCTGTTTTATAAATTTCTCTGATATTGACCTTTGTAAAGTTGTTTTAATTACCTTTATTCATAATCTTGAGTCTTTTAATTGACCTAAGATGCATTACATTTTGACTTGGCTATATATTAAAAAAAAAAAAAATATATATATATATATAATAACTAAGTTGTGAGAGAATTAACTAGATCATGAAAAGAGGTATGTAAGGAATTACAAAACAAGGAATCCATATTAACTTTATAAACAGTTATGAAGGAGTTCTTCATAATCCTGTGTTATCTCTACTCTTACTGAGAATATAAGAATCAATTGTGAATCTGCAGAAAGAAAATATGTCAGTCCTATCTATGAAATTTGAAGTGTGAGAAATGCTTCTCAGATATTCAGAAAACTATAGATCTAATGAATGGTTTGGCTGTCTGGCGACTTCTATATAACAAAAATGATCTGTTTGCAAGTTGAGTAAATTTGCAGGAATAAATTTACCACATCATAGACATTAAAGAATGGATAGTTTGTATCCTGGTAAGTTGTAGAATAAACAATTTAGACAAAGCATGGAAGTTAAATGTTTTGTAAACGGCATGTCAGGAGGAATATTCTGGTGATTATTAAAAATAAAAATGGCAAAGTACTTAGATTAAAAGAAATTAGCCATCAGATGTTGGCAAAAAGACCCTAGTCTTGGGGCCTGGACTTGTTCCCCTCACCTCTAGCAGTACCAATGCCACAAGTTTGTAAGACAAATTTATCTACGCTTTCAGGATCATTCATCAGAAGTGTCCCACCGATGGGAACTTGCTTGTTGTTCGAAGCTGGAGGACAGCTGCGCTTAATTGAATGCTACTTGGGGAGGCCTGGACTCAGTGGTAGGTCGTAGTGACACTTATTAATGATGAACCTATTTGTAAAAGTCAGTGAAAATAAGGAATCTTGAATCAAATACTGAGTAGTGGCACTATTTTAACAAATAGAATTTGATGCTTTTACGAAGGAAGAGTAATTAATTTTATGTGGAAAATAAAAGTCTTAAGGAGGGACACTACTGACCTCAGTGGAATAGGAAACAACTTCCTACATCCTAGAAAAATATTCACTTTATTAGGGAAGCTTGGAATGCTCCAAGAGCTTTCTACATCAATCAGCAGATTAATATTTAAACTCTAGGAAAAGGGAGCAGGGAAGTAATTAAACAAAACAAAACTTTTCCCCTTTTTACACATTGTAAAGAAATTACAAAAACTATAACACACATCGGCTCAAACCGTCGACTTTTTTATTTATATTTATTACTTTCAACTTAGAGATGCCTTCATCACTTTGATTATTCATCTGGATCTGTTTCTACCACCTTCCTCTCCGTCATGGTTTTTCCTGTTTCCTGATCTAACCACTGGATATGCTCCAAATAATAAAAAATAGATAAATAAACTAGTGATGATCATAAATTTCGTAATTTCTTAGTGAAATGTTTAAATTAATAAATCCTCATCATCTAAATTCTCTAATAGTCAATATACATTTTCCCTTTTTTTTTTTCATTTGAACAATGCTTCTTCAGTTAAGTTATACTGCTCTGCATCAAAACCCCCCCTTTAACAAATATGTTTTGTTTTATTATGTTTTGAAGTATGCTGAATGTGAATCCTAAAGCAACAAATCTCAATCAGGCAACATTTCATGCCAAATTTGTGTTGTGGGTCAAAAAATGAGTTGTTTTTCGAGATTTTTTTATCATCGAAAACTTCAACGAAAAATGAAAAATTGTTTTGATATTGAAGATATTACAATCTATTATAACATAAATAAATTCCAAGAGCTCGAGTGTTAGGCTTCAAGATATTTTTTGGCCAGATATTCGCGCTATATTTAAGGACCGGGAAATCAAAGACAAATTAAATGAAAGAGCTACACTTGAAAAAAAAGAGCTTGGACTGCGTTTGAAAACACGTGTCAACAATATTTGGGCAGCAAAAGAACTACAAATTACAAATACATTGTTAAAGAATTGCTTTTATCATGTATGGCTATGGGTTACATACATGTCATTAAACATTCATTTTTTGCACTCTTGCTTGGATTTCTTTCCTTTAAACTTGGGAGCACTTTCAGATGACACGGAAAACGGTTTCATTAAGATATATCCTAAATGGAGTAGAGATACAGTCACAGGCGGATCTACGAGGGGGGCTTTCGGGCTGAAGCCTCCCCCCCAAAATGGTAAAATGTAACCATGTTTTACAGAAAAAAATATTAAAAACTATTTCTTAAAGTATTCTTGCTCGAGTAATTATATTTAATAGGTCTTCAAGAACCACTTCATATAGGTAATTAATTTCTTTATTTTTTTTTCAAATTAATTATCGTTATATGTATATAAAAAAAAATCTTTCGGGCTGAAGCCTCCCCTCCCCCAAAATTAAATCCTGGATCCGCTAGTGGATACAGTGGTTTTTGCAATGAGAAGATGCTTATGCTCAGGGATGCCCAGAAAGGAGTTTTAAGGCGCAAGTTGCTTCATCAAAATTAATCAGGGGGCACATTTCGATAGGGTTTTCAATTTTTGAGGGGGGCACATTTTGACGGGATTATGGATTTTCAAAATGAAAAGTTCCAAATCAAAAGACAAGTGAAATCATGTAACGCACCACAGGATATGTAATGGTATATAATCAATGAATATTCAAATTCTACTTTTATTTGCATTGTTTTTCAGAAGAAGAGACGAATCAAATATTTTGGGAGGGGTGGGAGAAGGTTTATGCGCCATCGGCCTTGAGGGAGGGGGATGGGCCCTCATGCTTATGCTGACCACTGTTGGACACTGCAACGGGAAAAAGTTAAGAACACTGTCAAAGGAAAAATATACAAATTTACTAGGCATAAAGTAATATTATATTCAAG